ACACTAGCAGCGCTTCGACTTCAAAATTTGAATATAATTCTAAAATAATTATATATATATATATATATATATATATATATTAGGGCTGTCAAAATTATCGCGTTAACTCACGTTAATTACATTTTTTATTAACGCGTTATTTTTTTTTTAATGCATTAACGCATGTCCGAAAGACCCGCCCGTTTATCCATAAGAATATCACTCAGAATGCTGCTTGTGAGATGGCCTCCTCCGTGGCCGCTCTGGTTGTTGTTAGCGGCTGTGAGTGAGTGCAAGCTTTGCACGGGCTGCAAGCTTGGATCTAGCTATTATAATAACAGCAGCAAGCGATTGCTCCGTTCACATACTCAGCGCTCTGCTCACTGTATTCTCCCTGGTTCTTGACTGTCAGGCGCGAGTGTTGCTCGTGTGTGTCTTTGGGAACTAATTATTTTAAAATAGTCTCTTTCAATTGCAAGTTTTGTAATCTGTTTGTTTGATCAACGGATAAAAATAAATGCAATTTAATTAAATGGCACCTTGGCCTGTCTTATACCTGTTTGCCTGCAGGACAGTTCCCTAAACTAACATATCATACTAAAATAGGGTGGGGTTGTTGCAACAATTAATCTACTTAGAAGTTATCCAAAATTACAGCCAGCTAAAGCTCGGTACCACGACAAACAAAAAAGTAACGCATTAGTTACTTTTACTGCTAACTAGTTACTTTTATAGTGGAGTAACTCAGTTAGTAAGTCAATTACTTTTTGGAAGAAGTAACTAGTAACTATAACTAATTACTTTTTCATAGTAACTTACCCAACACTGGTAATTATATTTGATAATCTCATTTAACTTCAATCGGAGTGGATTTCAAAATAGAATGTTAAACATGCGATTAATCGTGAGTTAACTCACCATTACTATGCGATTAATCAACTAAAAAAATGTAATCGTTTGACAGCCCTAATATATATATATATATATATATATATATATATATATTCTAACAAATATTAGACAGCCATTATAATTTGAAGTGTATTTAATGACTGCAAATAAAATAGTTAGCTCCCAAAGGTTTCACCGTGACGTGCTAGGCAGGTAACAGCTAAGCTAGCTAGTTCACAAACTCTCTGGAGCTACATGAAAACTGAACAAAGAATTCTGAACATCAGCGGTGAGTTACCCATTTATATACCCAACCTAAATCCATCAGATCCTCAAATGTGTCCTAAAATGTTCGTTTCATTTTAATGGTTAAACAAACAAATTCTGAAAACGTCCGTGCATGTTTGTTAAGGATGTATATGTATACTGTATTGTCCGATTAACATTGAAAGGTGTTGATTGATTGATATGTATTTGTTTATTGAGTGTGGCTAACTCTGCTAGCTCCGCTAGCTTCTCTGCACAGTGTAGTGACAGGCGCCGAAGGCTTGTTGTACTTGTGGAGTAATGTAGAAGCGATATATTGTGTTAGCAGTGCGTTGCTTTAGTACCATTTCAGCAGTGATTGTTGTACAGCTTACAAGAAGTTGCGCTAATGCTAATGTTAGCATACATGTCAGATCATATATTGAGCTAGATGGCTCTGTGTTATGAGAGCGTAGGGGAAATGAGAAGCCATTGAGCGAGTTGGGGAGCGGTGCTAAACATTCAAACCTTGCAGAAACAGGTATAGCGCCTTTAAGTTTCGCCTGAAGTGGCTGCCAAGTTTCTACGTGGTTTGGCAGCCTATCCCTGGCAAACAAAAAAATCAATTAAATATTATTTTTCTAAAGCCCTAAATCACAACAGTAGTAATCTCGTAGGACTTTACAAAGCTGTCAAACACAGATCAGAGAATCAAACACAGGAAATATCATACAAAAACACCATTGGTCCATAAGGGGCAGATGACCAATGAATGTTGTTGAATGTGAGTGTCCACTGTCCCGAGACCCTCCTGCACAGACGTGGCCACCTGGTTAAAGAGGCCAGTATAGTGTTAATAATAAACATATTAGAATGACCTTTAAAATAAATGTAGTTGTGTCTTACCGGGTTATTACTGACACCAAAAAGGTGTCTGGTATTAAAGCAATAACATTCTGGAGGTGCAACATCAGATTAGCCAGACAATGGGACATATTCTTCTGTTGTAATGTTTATGTGATACTAGGGGTGGGCGATATGGCCTAAAATTCATATTGCGGTATAATTTGGGACACAGACGGTAGACGGTATATATTGCGGTATAATTTGGTGTGTGAATTTCAATATAGGTCTAGCAGGTTCTTGCATAAAATAGTCAAGATTGTTACTTATTTATATATTAGAATCTAACATATATATTTTTTGAGTTATTCAGTTGTGAGACAAATAAAGAGACACATGTTGTAACATACATTATTTATGTATGTTACAGTAAATACCATTCACTGTAAAAGCAATTTTTAAAAAGAAAAACATTTGCATTCATTTAAAATATAAAAAACTCACATGTTGAAATCAAAGTCTGTAGGAGTTAGACATGGTCATTATTTATAGTGTGTGAGAGTTTTGTGCAGGTACATGACTTCAGTAAAAGCTATTGTTCGTTTACAAAGCTGGTCATGACATTTGTTGACGCTCCCTAAGCGCTTTTCTCTGCGCTTGCAGTGAACTGGATGATTCAATGGATTTATGTTCATTAAAACAGCGCATTGGATTTGAACAATTGATGTAAATGATCATTTTGGCACAATTCATTTTGTTTAACAAAGTATTTTTCGTGAGATATTGACCGCGGAGGTCCGAATCTGACGCTAACTTTCCCAAACTTCTGCTGTGATGCTGCGGACACGGCACACGCATGGATCTATTTTGGCTCACACTGGCGCTTCGAGCCTACGCCCCTTTGACACTGATTGGACAAAAGGTAGACGCTTAAACTGTGATTACTGTGTGTGTATTTACCTCTGCTGGGGCCGCTGTGACAACAATACATAGACAGAAACGCGGTGTTAATGCCGTGCTGTTGTTCGTTGTTTCCAGTGGTGTCTGCTAGGCTAATGCTGCTGAATGCCGGTTTGTTTTGGTCCTTTCTGCTGGCGTCAGAGCCTGCGCAATTTGATGACATAATGACCTATTGCAATATGCCGGTATAACAAAAATCTCTACCGTGGGCCAAATTTATATCGCATACCGCTTATACCGTTTATATCGCCCAGCCCTATGTGATACTGTCGGAAATTACAGCCAAACAAACACCAGCTCCATAGAAACAAACGACAAATACGAGTCAGAACAGACAAGATACTTTTGTCTGTCTTAAAGTCTTAAAAACATTCAAAGCAGCAGTTCCCTGTGTAGAGTGGTGGTTCCCTTCAGAGATGGGGCTCAGAGTAGAGTCGCTGCTCTGTTGATATTATATTGTCATGACATTGATGTTCTCTCTCGTATTGAGACTATCTCTCCACCCAGTTACATATTCCATATGTACGGAGACTGACCCCACGCGGGTCAGGTGACATGGATAATTCTTTAAGACACACCACCTGTGAGATGGCTGATTGCGCTATAAAAGCACCCGTGTGCCCAGCGCACATTGATCATTTTGATTCCACGTTGGCAGGTGGACGAACGACGGAAGAAAATCGAACAAACAAATACTACAATTGAAGACTGTTTTTTGCCACTTACTTGGTAAGAGGGAGGAATACCTCTTGGGGTGACTGTCTTCAGTGTTAGGAAAGATCCGGTGTCTGGCGTATTGCTCTGACAAGGGGTTTACACGCCACAGACACGAGGACTTGCTGAACCCGTGTGGGGAACGCGGTCTTCTGGATCCACGGTCCTCTTCGCCTGACGCATTGCTCCGTGCGAGGTTTACGCGTCACAGGCAGGAGTTGGCAGCGGTGAAACCTGGTGCGGGGGAAGCCGCTGTCTGTGGTTTCAGACTCGTGCGGGCTCTGGGCTTGTGTCTAGCTCCACGTCTTTGTTGGGGCGTCTACTCGGCTGTATCTCAGCGTGTGGTCTAGTCCACTGCGGTGAGGAGAAGTGAAACATAAACAAGCAGTGCTCGCGTTCTCGCGAGACTTCGCAATGTCACACACATGTGAAGACTGCGGGGTGCAAATGCCCATTGAGGATGGGCATATGAAGTGCGTTTTATGTTTGGGAGAGGATCATGCCTCTGCGGCCAGGGAAGACCCGTCCTCTTGCATGAACTGCTTTATTATACCCAGGCCGTCACTCGAGGCTCGTTATTGTCTGTTTAGGGGCAAGAAGCGGAAAGCCTCTTTTACTGAGCTGAACCAGGAAAAACGTGACAGCGGGTTGGGTACTAGGTCAAAGACCCCCATGATCGGGCCTCCACTTACAATTACTGTGCATGACACCTCTGAGCCTCATGAGCAGGAGGACGTGAGTGATGTGGATGTGGAGTGTTTGTCAGACAGTGATTTGGCACCTGACCAGGAGGGCACGGCATCTGTAGGTGAAGACAGGGAGCCTAATAGTGCATTGCTGCAGTTTAAAGGGCTAATTGAGAGAGCAACTCAGGCTCTTGGTGTGGAGTCCAGAGCTGTAAATGCACCCGCCCCCTCACGGTTTGACAGTGGTTGTGGGCAGCCATATGGATCTTTTTCGGTTCCACTTCTTTCAGATGTGGAGGAGCTAATCCAGGCTGGGTTTACCAGACCAACAGATGCATTTAAAACTTCTGTTAGCTGCAGACGGCTGTCTGTCATGCAGGATCGTGAGAAGATTGGCTGTGCCACTCTTCCTCAGGTGGACCAGTCAATTGCAGCCCTAATTTCTCCGTCCAGTTCTGGGCTGGGGAAAACTACATGTCCCTCCAGAGGTAGTAGAATGGTGGATGCACTTTTGGCTAAGGTGTATAGGACCATTGCTGTTCAAACACAGCTAGCCAATACTATGTCTATACTGACCTGCAAGCAGCAGTGGTAGGGAAGAGTATTGCTTCTCTCTGGGTAACCAGGCGGCAGCTATGGCTCTCCCAGTCACCACTGCAGCCGGAGGATCAAAGTGGCTTGATGAAACTCCCGGTTGACCCTCAGGCCATGTTTGGTCCTGGTGCCACGAGTATGTTACAGCAGGCCCAGGAGGCACGCAGATGTGCGCGGGAAGTGTCTGGGGTGGTTGTGCGGTGGCGCAAGTGGCAGAGTGCAGGTTCCGTATCCAGGCCACCTACACAAACCGGTCAGCAGCAAAACTGGGGCTCACGGGACTTACGACCACCATTGAGGCCCAGCGTCGACGGAACAGGGGCAAAGGGAGGCCATCAGGTTCTGGGTTTCAGGCTAAGGGCCGACCCAAGCCTCTGCCTCAGTCCTGACGCCAGGATGAACCCAGCGTGTTTCCCCGACATCGAGACTCGCCGGACTGCCTGGATGGCCATGGGTGCGTCCCCATGGGTCGTGTCTACCATGACGCAGGGGTACCGTATCCAGTTTTTACGGAAGCCTCCCACCTCCTTTGGTGGTCACTCAGGTGCATTCCGAACACAGGGCAGTACTCCTGTCGGAGATTTCTACCCTGTTGGAGAAGAAGGCAATCAGAGAAGTGCCACCAGGCGACAGACAGGCTGGGTTTTATTCCCGGTATTTTTTGATACCCAAAAAGGACTGCAAGCTCCGCCCCATTCTCGACCTGAGAGGACTGAACCGGTTCATTCGTCCTCTGCGGTGCAAAATGTTGACAGTCTCCAGGGTGAGATAGTTCATTTGCAGAGGGGATTGGTTTGTTACCATCGATCTGAAGGACGCCTTTTTTCAGATTCCCATCTGGAAAGGCCACTGGTGTTTCCTCAGATTTGTCTTCAACGGCAAGGTTTCATTTCAGGTTCTTCTCTTTGGGATATCCCTGGCTCCTCGCACATTCACGAGGTGCATGGAAGCAGTGCTCTCACCTCTCAGACAGGGGGGCATCAGAATTCTGAACTACTTGGACGACTGGCTCCTGTGTGCAGGGACACAGCAGGAGTGTCAGGCTCACTTGGCTCTGCTGTTGGAACACCTGCATCGATTGGAGCTTCGTCTCAACTACGAGAAAAGCTATCTCGTACCGTCTCAAGAGACGCACTTTCTAGGCCTAGTCTTGAATTCTCAGACAGCAAGTCTCACACTATCACAGGCGAGACTGATGTCCTTAGAGTTGTCTCTCGCAGTTCAGACTGGGGGCTAGAGTCACATGGCGGCAGTGTCTCCGCCTCATGGGGCTTATGGCGTCCATGTCACAGGCAGTCCCTTTGGCGCTGCTGAACATGCGCCCAGTCCAACGGTATCTTCTGGGTCTAGGTCTGGATCCTCAGAGACACCTACACGTGTCAGTACTGGTCACCAGGCGTTTTCTATTGACCCTTCGTTGGTGGCGTTGCGCAGAAAATGTGAACAAGGGGCTCACTCTCGGTCCGGTGATTCATCGTCATCTTGTGGCGACGGATGCATCACTGACAGGATGGGGAGCTGTGTACAGAGGCAATGGGGTCAGCGGACACTGGCGGGGTGCCTACACAACACAACACATCAATGTCCTGGAGCTGCGGGCGATATATCTAGCCCTTCGACACTTCCTTCCTCACATACAGGGGCAACATGTCCTGGTGAGGACAGACAGTGTGGCAGCAGCCTCGTATGTGAACAGACAGGGCGGGTTGGGCTCAGTCTGCCTGTGCAAGATCGCACATCAATTGTGGCTGTGGGCTCAACCCAAGTTCCTGTCGCTGCGGGCGGTGCATGTGCCAGGATTGGACAATGTGGCCGCGGATCTGCTCTCCAGGGAAGGGCCGGATCCAGGCAGCTGGAGGTTACACCCTCTGGTGGTGTGGGCCATTTGGGGCCGTTACGGGCAGGCGTCACTCGATCTATTTGCGTCTCGCCAGAACGCCCACTGTCCCCTGTTTTTCTCTTTGGGGAGGGACAATCCTCCGCTCGGGGTAGATGCAATGTCTCACCCGTGGCCTCACGGTCTCCTTTATGCTTTTCCGCCATTCGGTCTCCTCCCGTCTCTCTTGCAGAGGGTGCGGGTGGAGGAAGTGAGAGTAGTCCTGGTGGCTCCCCTGTGGCCTCACATGACTTGGTTCTCGGACATCCCGCGTCTCCTCAACGGGACTCCATGGGAACTCCCAGTACGCCCGGACTTGCTGTCGCAGGGTCTGGGGGCTCTGTTTCATCCGTTTCCCCAGGGGCTGAGGCTCTGGGCCTGGCCCCTGAGAGGTCCGAGTTACTAGCTATGGGACTTCCAGATTCTGTGGTGCAGACTTTGGAAGGTGCTCGGGCACCATCCACGCGTGCACTATATACGCATCGATGGAACTCCTTTGCTAAGTGGTGTGTGCAACATGGGTTTGACCCTCTGGCATGCACAGCACCAGAGATTCTGCAGTTTTTGCAGTATCTTCTGGAGGCGGGCAGGTCACCATCCACATTAAGGGGAATGGTGGCTGCTATCAAGGCACAAAGGGTAGGCAGACACAGTTTACCTGATGATGTGTCCCACCTGATCTCCAGGTTTCTCAAAGGGGCCCGACGGCATGGTGGCAGGTGTACGAGACCACCCCTTCCCTCCTGGGATTTGGAGATGGTTTTGCAGGCCTTGGTGAAGCCTCCTTTTGAGCCTCTGGCTTAGGGCTGGGCGATATGGCAAAAAAAATAAATCTCCAATTTTTTCACACCAAATCCGATTTTCGATTTTAAATCGATTTATTTTTTTCTATTTAAAAACAAACTACAACTGACAAAGAAATAGATTTTCCTTTATGCAGTTTAATCTAAATCCCCATGAAGCATAAGTGTAACAGGAATTAAGCCTTAAAACATGCTTGTAAACGAGATGGCTCTGCCATTGTAAACAGTGAAAATGTAGCTTAACAGTTTTATAATAACTTCACTTACAATGACACTATGCACCTTCAAAATAACTTAAATCACACAAACAAGGCCCATCGCAAATATATCAATCCTATTAAACACATGCATTATTTACATGAAATATCACATTTTTAAAACTGATTACTCAAAATAGAAATGTTCTAACAGTCTTTTCCAAAAGCCTCCTCGGGTTTTCATGCTTGTTCTTTCAACTGTGCCTGAGTAACTGTGCTGTAGTACAACGCTCGGTCCAGCTGGTGGCGCTAATACTAACTTCAGTGACTCCCGCATTGTGCGAGCTTCCTGTTTACATTCTGATGCTGTAGCTAACAGCTACTGTAGCAGCTACTGTAGCTAACACCTACTGTAGCAGCTACTGTAGCTAGCAGCTACTGTAGCTAGCAGCTACTGTAGCTAACAGCTACTGTAGCAGCTACTGTAGCTAACAGACAGCGGGGAACACGTTGTTTGTATCAGAGCAATGAGAGCAATGTGTGAGACGTGTCTTTCCCCAAAGTGCAGCGGCTCAGTGGGACACGAGTGTGTGCGCGCCACGGACACGGGAGTGCGCTTTGGAATAACGAGCGTGAGAGAGCGTGAAAGATGTGGCGTACGAACATGGCATACGAACATAGCGACCGGGGCTTGCGTGCGTGTGTGTGTGTGTTTTGGCGATTAAATAAAGTCTGATTCTTGAACGTTTGAAGTGTTATTGCAACAGCACCAACTGTGAGAGCGAGCATCAGGCCAGAGGGAGACTGTTAGCATTAGGTTAGCTTCAAAATGAATGCTCAACACCATAGACCCGCGGTTAGCGCGTTAGCGCTGTAGTTCTGCGCTGGAGAAAATAAAAATCGAATTTTTAAAAAAAGAAATCGCCCTAAACGTAAAACTTGAATTAATGATTAAAATCGATTAATCGCCCAGCCCTACTCTGGCTACAACGGACCTGAAGTGGGTGTCGTTGAAACCGGCCCTTTTGACGGCGTTGGCCTCTGCTAAAAGGGTGGGAGAGCTCCACGTTTTCTCAGTTCATCAGGACCTCTGTAGGTTTATGCTTGAGGAGGCTGGTGTAGTTTTGCGACCGGACCCGATGTTTGTCCCGAAGGTTATCCTAGGTCGACACTCAGATTTGGCAATCTCGCTGAGGTCCCTGTTCTCCGTTCAGCAGGCAGGGGGTGAGCGGGAACGGTCGCTGGTGTGTCCAGTCAGGGCCCTGCAGGTCTACATGACTCGGACACGGGAGCACAGGACTGTGGATCAGCTTTTCGTTTGTTTTAAGCAAGGAAAGTTGGGCCAGCCCCTTTCTAAGGCTCGCCTGTCAAATTGGCTTGTAGATGCAATCCGTCAAGCATATGTGACTATGGGGTTGAGTTTCCTGTGAATGTGAGGGCACATTCCACACGGGGGATGGCAGCGTCCTGGGCTTTGTGGCGCGGCGCCTCGCTGGATGAGATCTGTGCTGCTGCCACGTGGTCAGCTCCTTCTACTTTTTCTCGGTTTTACCGGTTGGATTTAGCAACGGGCACGTCCTTTGGGGAACGTGTGCTGGGTGCCGCGCAACCCCAGTGATGTTACCCATAACCTTGCATCTTGCAGGTTGGGATGGGGCACCGGGATTTGGGCAACAATGTCCTGCGTTGGCAGAATGGGTTGCCCGTCTTTATTTTTCATGACAGTGGCCTGGCCTTTGCGTCTTGCAGGGCTGTGTCGCCTCGGTTGCGTCTTGCGCTGGGGCCAGTGTGTCACAACTTGCGTCTGGCAAGTTTGGCTGCTAAAGTGTGTAGTTTACTTTGTCACTTGGGTGTTTTTTGTTCTAATTGGTGGCGGCAACGTCTCATTCGAAATACACCCTGCTCGATCCCCTTGCGGTGTGTCTTACAGAGTCCCCGTACATATGGAATATGTAACTGGGTGGAGAGATAGTCTCAATACGATAGAGAACGTTACGGTTACAGTATGTAACCATGTTCTCTGAGTGAAGAGACTATCTCTCCAGCTCGATTCCGCTCGGGGATCCGTTACATCAAAATTTGATCAATGTGCGCTGGGCACACGGGTGCTTTTATAGCGCAATCAGCCATCTCACAGGTGGTGTGTCTTAAAGAATTATCCATGTCACCTGACCCGCGTGGGGTCAGTCCCCGTACATATGGAATATGTAACTGGGTGGAGAGATAGTCTCTTCACTCAGAGAACATGGTTACATACTGTAACCGTAACGTTATGTGCGTGACTCTTCATGTATGTGGTCTCGCTGGTGTCCGAGGCAATACAGAGATGTTTAATATTGCTGTTGTGTTCCCTTAGAGCAGGTTTATTCCTTTAAGTATTGACTATTAAAGGCGCTATACCCGTTTCTGCAAAGTTTGAATGTTTAGCACCGCCCCCCAACTCGCTCAATGGCTTCTCATTTCCCCTACGCTCTCATAACACGGAGCCACCTAGTTTTATTTGCGATCTGATATGTATGCTAACATTAGCATTAGCACAACTTCTTGTAAGCTGTACAACAATCACTGATGAAATAGTACTAAAGCAACACACTGCTAACACAATATATAGGTAAAAGAATACTGCTAGTTTCGCATCTGAATGTATTCGTTTAACATTAGAATATATTCGAATATTTAATTATAATTTATTATACAGCTCCTCACAGCAGCAGTAGAACACTCCATTGACTTGAATGCAATTCTTCCGATCATTTTTTCTTGATAACAGAACTCTCAAATCAATAATGACCGCTGCCCTTTGGCAATGCAATCTCTGTTTGTAATTCAGGTGTGTAAAATACTAACATTACTCTGCAAGTACAACAAGCCTTCAGCGCCTGTCACTGCACTGTGCAGACAACTGTGTGCAGAGAAGCTAGCGGAGCTAGCGGAGCTAGCCGAGTTAGCCACGCTCAATAAACAAATACATATCAATCAATCAACGCCATTAAACGTCAATCGGACAATACAGTATACATATACATCCTTAACACACATGCACGGACGATTTCAGAATTTGGTGTTAATGTTTTCATGACAAAATTACTATTTTAATGTGACAAAAAGCGATCGCGAAAAACCCGGAAGTAACCATTAACATGAAATGGAAATTTTAAGACACATTTGAGGAGGATCTGATGGATTTAGGTTCGGTATATAAATGGGTAACTCACCGCTGATGTTCAGAATTCTTTGTTCAGTTTTCATGTAGTTCTAGAGTTTTTGAACTAGCTAGCTTAGTTAAAAAACTAAGCTAGCTAGCACGTCACAGTGAAACCTTTGGGAGCTAACTATTTTATTTGCAGTTATTGAATACATTTCGAATTATAAGGGCTGTCTAATATTTGTTCGAATATATAAAAAAAAAAAAATTAAAATTAAAATTATATTCACATTTCGAGGCCGAAGCCCTAGTGTAGAGGCTAGAGGACGCAGGCTGTTCGCTGCTCGTTCTGTGAGTGGAGTAGAAAGAGCGTCCCGCTAAGACTCTACTCAGCACTTTTCACAGCAGCAAACTCATACACCGCTGAATCAATTACCTCAAGTTTTCAATTAAATTATAGATTATAATACAACCTGTATGTAGTAATAAGCATTTTTATGAACTACTAAGAAAAAAAATCGCGTATAGCTTCTTTAAGTCAATAATGTATTGTCAATGCATGGTTTTCCATCACGTGCTTATTACCCATGATACTTTGCGCCAACGCCATGTTACGTGTCAAGCTTATATTGCACGTATGATTTCCCCATGTCATCTAAAGCCACAAATTCGACCGACACTGACCGCGTTAAGTATATTGATACACTGGAGTAATCTGTGGGGCAAGATCCTTGGAGAAATAGTGATTGGAGATTTGGATCCATATGAAACGCGGCGAGACCAGTGGACCTTGTCAGAAATGGCTTACTTTCACTTAACAGTTTTGCAATTAATTATTAAAAGGTCATGATGTATATGATGCAAAATGTCTTTCAATCAATAATTTTTGAATGAAGCAGTTGATATCACAGGCCATAAATCACATCTGTCTACCACCCTTCCCCCCCCCCCCCCCCCCCCCCCCCCCCCCCTCTCATTCATTTAGATGGGATGCTCGAGGCGCCTATATAGACAGTATCAAAGTCAAATCGCAGCTCTGAATATAGACCACACATGCACAGATTTAGCTAGCTCTTACCTGTTATGAAATGGTCAGAACAGACCTTATAGTGCCGTTTTTCAAGGGGTTAGGGTTGAATCCCTCTCTGTTGATCCTCCCAACTAAAGGGTCCTTTTCTTCGTCGAGAGTCGCTCCCCTGGCTCGTAATAGTCTTCTGATTGTCCCCACAATCTGCGCGGTTACTGCACCCCCAAACAACGCAGGTAGTCGGCATGTTTTAGCGCAAAAAAGTGATTTGTTCCGCTTTGTTTACCTACAACTAGCGGCGGCTTGACTTGCAAGATGGCGAACTGCGGAATTGTGGGTAGTGCATACGGCAATGGAAAACCATGTATACTGTGAAGTCAGCAGCACTGGTCGTGTGTCTTTCAGATGTGAGCAGTGCCCCCTGATGGCGAGTGTGTGCAGCAGCGCCCCGGAGCTGCACAGCGGTGCACCCGTGTCTGTGTGCAGCGACCTCCTCTTCACTCCCACCAAGAGCATCTCTCACGGCCGCCGCACCTTCTGCCTCTTCGTCACCTTCGACCTGCTCTTTGTCTCCCTCCTCTGGATCATCGAGCTCAATGTGAGCGCACTCTATCACTCTTTATCATTCTTTATCACTCTATCACTCTATCAATCTCTATCACCCTTTATCACTCTCTGTCACTCTCTGTCACTCTCTGTCGCTATCTCTGTCACTATCTCTGTCACTATCTCTGTCACTATCTCTGTCACTATCTCTGTCACTCTCTCTGTCGCTATCTCTGTCGCTATCTCTGTCGCTATCTCTGTCGCTATCTCTGTCGCTATCTCTGTCACTCTCTCTGTCACTCTCTCTGTCACTCTCTCTGTCACTCTCTCTGTCACTATCTCTGTCTCTCTCTCTGTCTCTCTCTCTGTCACTCTCTCTGTCACTCTTTCTGTCACTCTTTCTGTCACTCTCTCTGTCACTATCTCTGTCACTCTCTGTCACTCTCTCTGTCACTCTCTCTGTCACTCTCTGTCACTCTCTCTGTCACTCTCTCTGTCACTCTCTCTGTCACTATCTCTGTCACTATCTCTGTCACTCTCTCTGTCACTCTCTCTGTCTCTCTCTCTGTCTCTCTCTATCACTCTCTGCCACTTTCAAATAAGTGGTCAAATGAGTGTTTATTTTTTATTTTTTTTATTAAAATTATCTTTGAAATTATGGCTCTGATGGTTGAACATAGTTTTTTTGACATTTTTGGTCGGTTCCTACATAGGAGTGTTAAATGGTGCCCGGTCCCAGTAATGGTGCTGTGTGTTTCAGGGCAGCTTGCAGCAGCTCACTGAGGAGGTGCTGCAGTATGACTTCCACCACTCCTTCTTCGACATCTTTGTGAGTTGCACAGATATTATTATTATTATTATGATTATGATTATGATTATTATTGTTGTTGTTATGTTTTCCACACAGTTAAAGGTTCTGGGTGGGATTCGCTGCTCCATAATAATATGTGCAATCCTAGCCTGTATTTATGGACAATGCTAACCTGCTAGCTCAGTGAAGCCCGATAGGGAAAGACTCATGGTGGAGTTTGGCCTCAAATCGCTCTGGCTCCTATTGACTTGCATGTATAACTAAACTCCTCTCGCTCAGTAACTGTTTGTGTCTGAAGCAGTGAATAAAATAATCATACAAGAAAGAAAAAACAAAGACAATGTGGATCAGTAAATTAGAGTTTTAAACTTCCAGTTAAAGGAAGGCCATTTGATAAAAGTGGGTTTTAAGAAGTGATTTAAAAGAAGGTACTCGAGGTTCTAAGGCTGCGGGGGGCTTGTGTGGGGTTATATCTCAGTAATATAGTTTGGTGCCAAATCTAAACCAGCTTTAAAAGTGATCCAGTAAAATCTTAACGTAAATTCCCAACTGCACAGGGAACCAGTGTAGGGATGATAACACTGACTAGGGTCATGTGTTCCTTTCTGTTAAAACTGGTGAGATGTCTGGGTGCTGCGTTCATAACCAGTTTGGGGCTGGAGAGGGATTGGAGTCGATACTGGAGCGTCAGGAGTTACAGCACTGAGACTGCTCTCGTCAAGGTTACAAACGATATCCGGCTGAACACTGACGCAGGCAAAGTCTCAATCTTAATCTTGTTAGATCTGAGTGCTGCCTTTGACACCGTCGACCATGAGGTCCTCTTAATAGACTTTAAAACAGCTCTGCTTGTGTACAAGTCTCTCCATGGCCTCGCACCAAAATATATTAGTGACATGTTAGTCCCATATGAACCAGCCCGGACTCTGAGGAGCACAGGGACTGGACTCCTGTTAGTGCCCAGAGTCAGAACTAAACATGGGGAGGCTGCTTTTCAGATTCATGCTGCTAAAATCTGGAACAGTCTTCCTGAAGATGTGAGACAGGCCTCCTCTCTGACAATGTTTAAAACCAGGTTAAAGACAGTTCTGTTTAGCTGTGCATACAACTGAGGGATTTTATATTTTTATCTTTCTTTTTAATGTTCTGTCATTATTTATGAGTTTAATGCTTTCTTGTTTTGTTCAGCACTTTGAATTGCCTTGTGTATGAATTGTGCTATATAAATAAACTTGCCTTGCCTTGCCTTACAGTGATGAAGTGAATAGACTATTGCTCTGTAACCTGCCTGTCCTCCACAGCTCCTGGCAGTGTTCCGCTTCAGCGCGCTCATCCTGACGTACGCCGTGTGCCGGCTGAGTCACTGGGCAGCCATCGCGGTCAGTGCTCCGCCTCTGCTCACCACCATAATATATATGATATACAACTATATATATTACACACACACGCAAATGACAATTAACAGTGCAGAAAATCACACGTCCAGAGGTATGAGATTATAATGAACTAGTTTTACTATTGAGCACAATCTGATAAATATTCTATACTTTTGGCAAAGCCACTCTGGGTGGAAACTGGGGACTTTCTAAAACAATCCAAAGAACACATACTCTTACTATGTTATACTATATTTCAATACTCTTGACAAGGTGACGTTTCTACCCTTTTCTGCAAACTGCATTTGCAGTTTTTGTGATCCGCATTGTTTTGCAAGATGTTGTTGTACATCTTTGCCATGTTTTTGTGGAGTTCAGCGGATTTTTTACTGCCAAAGCTCTTTGCTAGCAATGAACAGAGGATGTGTTTTTAAAAGTAAACACACAGTTAGCATCTGAGCTAAAGGCTTTTTGAGCAGTATTGAAGACCTACAAATCCAGAGGTATCATCTTCTGAAGCGCTGACAGGTCACCGAGGGCCCCACGCATCTGCAGCACAGTGGAGGCGTCACAAGAGGCCCTACAGGAGTCCCGGCCTCCGTTGTGTGCAACTTCTACAGAGGGACTGTAGAGAGCATCCTGACCAGCTCCATCACTGGGTGGCACGGCACCAGCACTGCCTCCTGTCGAAGGAGCCTCCAGCGCATCGTGAGAGCAGCAGAGAAGATCTGTGGAGCCCCTCTCCCCACCATTAAGGACATGTACTCCACCCGTCTCACCCGCAAAGCCGTCAGAATCACCAGGGACCCTACGCACCCATCACACAGGCTCTTCAGGGTAATGCCTTCAGGGAGGAGACTGCAGAATTTACGGAACAGTTCCAGTCGACTTAAAAACAGTTTAATTCACAAGGCCATCAGGAAGCTGAACTCCCTGCCCTCCCTCCCACCCCTCTTCCCCCACCCCCCGCTCCACAATCAAGGATGAGAGAAATATAATTTCAAACCATTCACTTGGTTTGACAAATAAAAATCTTGAAATCTTGAAAAAATTGAAATACATGGGACCTTTCTTTTGTGAGGTTTAGTTCGTATTGGTGCCTGATTTGTCATGTTTGTGCTCACAGATGACCACTGCAGTCAGCTGTGTCTTCCTCATCGTCAAAGTGCTTTTATCAAAGGTACGTCTTCAGCTTTCATCATGTTCTGTTAAATAGTGTGGCTCCATTTTCACTGCACTGAAGTCACTGGAGACGAGTGCTGCTCATTCCAGTTATTTCTTACTTCATTTTTTACATAGATTTGTATATGAATATTTAAGATAAGATAAGATTTTCTTTATTTATCTCACAAAGGAGAAATTTACATGTCACATTTGGCATGGATAGAGACACTCAGATTGTGCAAAAGGAGGAGATGTGCAAACATGTTACATGCAGGATATATGTACAATAAAGTGACAATAATTATGTACAATTAATTTGATTATTTGATTTCCACAGCCTAAAACATGAAGTGAATATTCTATGAGACGTTTATATTCCATGGTACATTCTGTTGCAGCTGCTCTCACAGGGGCCTTTCGGGTACGTCCTGCCCATCTCCTCCTTCATCCTGGCCTGGATCGAGACCTGGCTCCTGGACTTTAAGGTGCTGCCGCAGGAGGCCCATGAGCAGGCCTGTGAGTCTCCCTGTCCTTCTTTATTTTTAGCCCTAAATCACAACAGCAGTTGACTCGGAGAACTTTGCTTGATTCACCAACAACAGATCAGAGAATCAAACCGTTAGAACACAGGAATTGCAATAATAAACTACACATAGAGCCATTGGTCCATAGGGAGCTGTATAAATGTTAATAAATGTACAGAGACAAAAACCCAGTGGGAAAAATGCCAGGTCTGAGGCTTTTCACTGTGTCATCCAGCCAACTTCAGCTCCACAAAGATAGTCATGTTACACCCCTGATCTAAATCATATTATTTATGATGATTCATCATGTTTGTAGACAAAGCGGTGAATGTGTCCGGTGTGAGTCAGCGGCTTCTCCTAAGTGCATGTGCTGTGTCCGTTGCAGGGTTTGCTGGTCTGAGTGAGGCACAGCGGGCCCCTCTGCTCGCCTCGAGGCCCATGTCTGATGGACAGTTCTACTCTCCTCCTGAGTCTGTGGCAGGTATTGTATGCACTGGACTTGCTCTGATTGGTCCTGAGTTTCATTTGGATATGAAAGTTGACGTGAGTGAATGAGTGGAGTGAGTGAGTCCCTCTGTCCTTCTCCCCTCTGTCCTCCTTCCCTCTGTCCTCCTTCCCTCTGTCCTCCTTCCCTCTGTCCTCCTTCCCTCTGTCCTTGCAGACTTCTTGACCTTCTGTGTCTGATGTGTGTTTTGTAGATTCAGATGAGGAACTCGACGACAAACATGAAGCAGAGAAAGGCCTGCTCACAGATTGAACTTAGAACAGGTGTGTAAAGGCCGGTCTTGACTCGACTCGACTCTACTTTTCTGACAGTGTTAACCAGGAATTTCCATGGATACGGGTTGGTTGCTACAATAGTGTAACACAACCTGGTAGAGTAGAGTCCCACTAGAGACCAACTGGCTCCTCTGGGTCTTGGGACTGGGGTGATTCCAATAAACCCTGATGTGTTTGGATCATGTCTGTTTTGTCCTCATGTCTCCAGGTTCTGTCTCCATCAGCGGACGTCTCTGCTGTGGACGTTTACTCATGGACACTGGCACTTACAAACTGCACGTAACATAATGAAGGATCTTTTTGAATGAATGTGTTTGAACTGTGTTGATTTGAGGCATTTTAATATGTTGTTTTAAAGATTGTCCTTTTTATTGTTGTTTGGAGGCGCGTCCTCTGTGCCTCGCCTGAAGTGTTGCGTTGCTGCTCCTGGTGCAATGTGACGATGACATGTTCTGTCATTTATACTCATTACTTTGTGTTCATTTGCACATAATTTTTGTATTCCTTGTTTTGAGGTCACGTCTGCTTCCTCCTCATAGACTGTTTATAATCTGTGGGCCAGTATATGCTTACAATAAATGTATTTTCCTTTGGGATCTGAGTTGGTCCATCAGTCTACATGCACAGACAATACTAAAAGTCATATTCTTAGTTTTACTTGTGAGACTGGGAGCAGCCAAACTTTAGCCCCGCCCACATTATGAAGCGGTCCGGCTGCTTTATTGTCCCCATAGGGAAATGTGTCCTGCATTTGACCCATCTTTCCAATGCGCTCTTATTTAACGATTTCACTTCTAAGAATGTGTTGGGTTACAATTTTAGAATGAAATTAAATTTGGGTGTTTTCCTGAGAAAATAGATTATGTATAACAAGCCTTGGTCGCCCATTACCATCAATGCTGCAAGTTAATAATAATACTAATTGGTAATCATCTGGATTTGGCCCACAAGCCTGAGTTTGACCTGCCTGGTGTCGGCGTCTGTCAGGAGCAGTGGTCCCCAAACAGCGGGCCCCACCTCCAGATGATGCTCTTTGTCAGGACCAGGAGCTGGTGGTCAGATGCTTTTAGTGGTGGGAAACATTTACTTTAGCACTGTTAAATCATTTTGGAACAAAAATCTAATTCCTCATAAGAGGTCACAGTTTGCGCAGCTAAATACTTGTTTGTCTAAAGCTAAAGCCACAATAAGTGCAGCCAGTCTCTCTGGAATGTTCTCAACATTCCATTCTCAGATGATGCGATCACTGTCGACCTGCTCAACAAGAGATACGAACATCACTGGTCTCTAAATATAAACACTACAGTAGTGTTCGTTTGACCCTCGGGCGGTGAAAACTCATCATGAAGACGAGTTATTTCACTTTTGCCACATTTATCTCAAACTTCCCTCATGGAGAAACTGAACTCTGTATATATATTGGAGAACCATTGATCCAGCAATGTGTAAGATTGGCATTGGCAGGCGACGGGGAAGATGAAGAGCTGGATGAGGAGTTGGAGCCAGAGGGACACATGTCCCACAATGCACTGCTCTCATGCGTCGCTACTGCCTAGGCTCATATGGTTCTACACACATTCACTTTGCACTTTTCAAAATGAAGATCAGTTAACAATGGCATTGAAGTAAAACTAGAAATAAATCTTTACAAATGCAAACAATGTTGGTTTTATGTTTTGAAACACTGCAGTAAGTGCACTGTACTTTAGATGAAGCAGAACATTAAAGCCATGATGTTGAAAAAATGTTAAATGTATTATATATTTTAGTATAGCCCTTAATCACAATCATTAATTTAAAAAATGTCCCAGATCATCACTGTACTTAAACCATCCTGTATTAGCAAGGAACCACTCAAACGACTGAGGCTGTAGATCCAGGACTGAGACTGAAGATCCAGGACTGAGGCTGTAGATCCAGGACTGAGACTGAAGATCCAGGACTGAGGATGTAGATCCAGGACTGAGGTTGTAAATCTAAAACTGAGGCTATAGGTCCAGGACTCAAGAACATCACCATGCCCCCACAGCTCAAAGTAACTCTTGCTAAATGTCCCCAACTATGTAAAATTAGTTTTGAATCATATTACAATATTTTTCCTCATCAAAACTGGGTCTGGATTACTCTAGTGCCATCCACGCTAACTTCTGGCACAATCATACACACTGCCCTCTTCTGGCTAAATATTATTTTTCAATATGCAATGAAAAATCCTGACATGTTCAGAGCATAGACTGTTTATCAGGAGACTGAGTGTGACATCACCATAGTGTTAGCCTTAATGCGGGAGAGGCCGATTTGACCATAAGCTGGTGCCGGTTTCCTTTTATGGGCATTTCTTCCGAGGCCTTAGCTTTGCGCCGAGAAGACATGTTGCCAAGGTGGTTGCTAAGGCAGGTTGCTGGAGTTTCCCCCACAAATAAAGGAACCTGGTTGGTTAATCCTTAAGGCTCACATCTGCATTTACAAAGACAATATCACAATATAAACACCAGTTGTAACAAAACATTGTCCATGACCACTTTCCTATTGAGCTTCATGGAGCTTGTGGGTAAGTATGGTCCATCTGTATAAGTCTATGGTTCAGGGCAGTTTTCTCAATTTTTGAAAAAAAACTATTGCCTCCAGATTAGTTTGATGAATTTCTATACAAATTATGATATTTACAAATAGGCCACACCAGGCCTCATTGACACCTAGTTTTGCATGTTTATTATAAGCTTTAGGTTCACGTTTACTGTCTCCGTACTGAGCAGCAGTTGCCAGTGTAGGAGCCAGGGTTGGTTGGAGGCAGAAACCGGAGCACCAGGAGGAAACTCACCAAGACACAGGAAGAAACATGCAAACTCCAGGATCAAACCCACAACTTTCTAGCAATGAAACTTGAGCACGACCCAAATGTAGATTCCCACTTCCACCAGACAAGGCCTTTTTTGCTGATCTTTAATTTATCCATTAAACATGTTAATATTGTCTACTCACGTTATTTCAAATTCTAAAACATGAAATGCCAAAGTAAATATTCTCAAGACCTGAAAATGAACCCAACTAATACATATGGTTTGTTCTTTACAGGCAAAAACCAGCCCCCAGTAGGACAGTCAGCGCGCCCTGGTGCATAGAGCCGACAGTTCATTCTTTGTCCGAGGGAATCTTTTGCAAATGCAGATGTGGGTTATCATTTTTTTTTTTTCAAGGGCACTTCTCCAGCCGTCAAAACAAAAGCAGTTTTTGTCAATAACGTCCAGTTCCATGAGTGACTTTGCTGTACCAGCTGGGTCCACGTGCCATGGTCCAGTGCATGTGATTGTGTGAGGCCCAGAGTGATGCTCTGGCTTTTTTAGTCGTTCCAAAAGAAAAAACAAATTTCTAATTTTAATAACAGCTAGATTGTCCATAACTATTTTGCGCTCGGCCTCATTTTCGTGGCTGCGGGCGCTCCACCAGGCTGCACCTCACAGCCCTTCGCTCCAGGATTGTCGGAGCAGGACCAGGCACTCCGCCTGGAAGTCCTGCCCCTAACGACCTCTGCGGACCACGGCTAAACGGGCGTTCAGCAGCCAATCACAGGGCTCGGTCTTCAAGGTCAGACCATGGCAGAGAGGCGAGGCTCAGAGCTAGAGGTGAGTGTGTCCGCGCCTGTGGGCAGAGAAAGAGGAAAGTGACTTAAAGTGAAACATTTTGAACCAAGTAGAAGCTCCAAGAACCTCTCCATGATACACCAGTGTCATACAGCTGATTTATGAACCTACTTTGCACTTTGAATTTCATCAAACTTTAACAAGTTGATGCGACCCTGGCGCTGACAAAAACAAAGTTGTGATAAACACTAAAGTCCTCTTTGCCACAGTAGAAAGAATAGCAAAATTATTCTCGATCAAGGAAGAATACTTAGGAAAATGTAAAAGAGTACAACTCACCTGTGGCATAGGGCGTGTCCTCTGTAGTGGGCGTGTCCTGGGCAGTGGGCGTGTCCTTGGTAGTGGGCGTGTCTTCTGTAGTGGCCTGCAGCTCGTTGCCAGGACAGGAGTGCGTGCTGACTCCGCGGTTCAGGGAGGTGGGCTCGTGGCGGGGGATGTTGACGGGGCAGGACCGGGTGCGGGCGTGACCCTTGTGCCCCCCCGGGTGGCACACCAGGCTGCCCACCGTGTCGGTTGGAGACAGGTGGCGCTTCAGCCACACCTCCACCTTCTTCTCCCGAGACTTGATGGAGTACCAGGTGAGGAAGATGAAGAGGAAGCCCAAGAACTTGAGGCTGGCGGCCAAGCCGAAGTAGACGAAGCGCAGAGAGGTGACGTCATATTCCCAGCAGGAGCCGTGGACGCCGCAGTCCTGCTGCCACAGCATGCACGTGGTGTCTATCACTGCACCGAAGTATATGGGCGTGGGGATGTAGGCTGGGACACACACAGGCAGATAATTCAAGTACATTTATTGTACATCTTTACAGAATTGCTGGTGTCTGTTCCAACCCAAAGAGTCAAATAGTGACTCACAGGGCTCTACCTTACAAGTATATAAAAGTTCAAATGTTTTCTAATACGATGAAGCGGCATGTTGTGGTCGTTCTGTTTGGACAAATGACACAGTTTTACAGATGCATATTAATGATCAGAAAGAATCACCCATGGCTCAATAAATATTTATCACATTCCAAATTGATCCGAAACAGATCCGTAAACTGACTGTAGATGTGGCGTCTCCTTTAAAAGTCCTTTCTCATAATGCAACCGTTTAACCTTATAATCCCACAGATCCGTCTGGTGCATCCTCTGCAGCCTCCAGTGCATGAATGACAGCTGCGCTGAGCGCACTAAAGCTCTGGTCTCTGGTCTCAGTCCATCAGTACTTTCCGCTGAGCACATCCAACTTTATTCATTGCATTAAACACACAGCGTCAGCATTATCTGTGTTCCTTTCGGTCTTTAAACAATTCCTTAGGGAATTAAATCTTATAGTCTGGAGGCATGGAATTGTAAGATAGCATAAAATAGCTCTTACACAGTTATACTTAAAATTGGGGTTGGGTTGGGGGGGTATTGTAATCGTGTGTGTGTGTGTGTGTGTGTGTGTGGGACTGTGCAGGATTGAGATGAATTGTGTAGATAGGACGTGATGGTAGGAGGACCTCATTCCAGTGCAGAGATGATCTATGGTGTTGGTGGGGTATGTGACAGAGATGTGTTATAGGTAAAACAGACAGTACTCTAATATAACACTTGATTTAGATAATAATGAAGAAGGAGCAGAGTCCAAAACAAAGATTCTCTGCTCAGTCTGCGTTCCCAACCGAACATGGCCTGTTTTTGGGTTCAATTACTTTATACATCATTCATATATGATATATTTTTTATGTATGACTAATTTATATTTATTCATGTATTAAGCATTAACTAATTTCCTGTCAGTTAATTTCAGTACAGCCTCTGCCAAATTTACAAACCACAGTCTAATGTCCACAACAGCCTAATGTCCACAACAGCCTAATGTCCACAACAGCCTAATGTCCACAACAGCCTAATGTCCACAACAGTCTAATGTCCACAACAGTCTAATGTCCACCACAGTCTAATGTCCACCACAGTCTAATGTCCACCACAGTCTAATGTCCACCACAGTCTAATGTCCACAACAGTCAAATGTCCACAACAGTCTAATGTCCACAACAGTCTAATGTCCACAACAGCCTAATGTCCACAACAGTCAAATGTCCACCACAGTCTAATGTCCACCACAGTCTAATGTCCACAACAGCCTAATGTCCACAACAGTCAAATGTCCACCACAGTCTAATGTCCACCACAGTCTAATGTCCACCACAGCCTAATGTCCACCACAGCCTAATGTCCACCACAGTCTAATGTCCACCACAGTCTAATGTCCACAACAGTCTAATGTCCACCACAGCATAATGTCCACCACAGCCTAATGTCCACAACAGTCTAATGTCCACCACAGTCTAATGTCCACCACAGTCTAATGTCCACCACAGTCTAATGTCCACCACAGCATAATGTCCACCACAGCCTAATGTCCACAACAGTCTAATGTCCACCACAGTCTAATGTCCACCACAGTCTAATGTCCACCACAGTCTAATGTCCACCACAGTCTAATGTCCACCACAGTCTAATGTCCACAACAGCCTAATGTCCACAACAGCCTAATGTCCACAACAGTCTAATGTCCACAACAGTCTAATGTCCACCACAGTCTAATGTCCACCACAGTCTAATGTCCACCACAGTTAGCACACAGTCTAATGTCCACCACAGTCTAATGTCCACCACGTCTAATGTCCACACAGTCTAATGTCCACCACAGTCTAATGTCCACCACAGCTAATGTCCACACAGTCTAATGTCCACCACAGTCTAATGTCCACCACAGTCTAATGTCCACCACAGTCTAATGTCCACCACAGTCTAATGTCCACCACAGTCTAATGTCCACCACAGTCTAATGTCCATAACAGTCTAATGTCCACAACAGTCTAATGTCCACCACAGTCTAATGTCCACAACAGTCTAATGTCCACCACAGTCTAATGTCCATAACAGTCTAATGTCCACAAGTCTGTTCCATGTCCACCACAAACAAATCTTTCTCACCAGCTCACCATGGGCCTGTATTTGGACCATAAACTGTTTGAACATGCCTGATAGAAATAATATAAAGAGCTATATAAAAAAATATAAAGCCTGCCTCCAGACCACACCCACCACACCCCAGACCACACCCCAGACCACACCCACACTCCAGACTTACCCAGAGTACGAAGCAGAACAAACTGCATTCCCAAAGCGAAGGGCCGCTCCTGCTCCGCCACAGACCTGCAAGAGAGCGATATCTCCATAGATATGACTGGTAACGGAGCCTCTGTCATATAGTGGGACATGTGCTCACGCGGAAACCGGAAAGCAATGCACCTTTACACCGTTTTTGAGCATATGCTGAAAACCAGTGTATTACCGTGACGATGATGGCGGAGGGCTGTGTGTTACTGTGACGATGATGGCGGAGGGCTGTGTGTTACCTGAGCGTGACAATGATGGCGGAGGGCTGGGCGCAGGCCGTGATCAGCGTGACGATGAAGAGGAAGATGAGGAAGGGGATGAGCGTGCTGCAGGCGCGCTCGCACTTCCCCGACAGCGCGTAGCCGTTCTCGTTCAGGTACGTCTTCACAATGACGAGCTGCAGCTGAGGACCACCCTGACCGCCCGAGGACGGCGTGATGACCTGCCGGGACTGGACGCACGCGCAGTCCGAGTAGTTACGCACCTGCGGCCATACACACAGACACACACACACTTCAATAAAAAATACATGGCTATGATGATCATGATAATCTGCTTAATTTACTGTTCCTCAGATTTCAACCGCATATTAGTGTTAATGCGGAAGAGGCGGATTAGAGCTGACGTGGGGTCAGATTAACGTAAACTGTGTTGGTCCTGAGTTACAATCAGAAGCATCAATCAGGAGTGGTGCGGTCTGTCCCCACTAGGGCTCTTGATTGGTCGGTTGTTCGAGTCATATCTGGATTTACAAAGACAATATTACAACAGAAACACCAGGATCACAAGGAACGCTAAACCACGGTGAGTGTGACGGAAACGGTTACTGAGCTCGAGGAGTTTACTTTTCAACTCAAGTCAATAAGAGCCAGAGCTAAACTTCATCCGTGAGCACTTCCCTATTGGACTTCATTAAGCTAGTGGGTTAGGATTGTCCATTTATATACAGTCTGTGATTTCAATATGCAAGTATGAAAGTTGTGTTGCATGTTTGGGGGGTTATTCTTTGGTCAAAATAACTATATGTTAAAAGTAAAAGATTAGATATAAACAACCTAAAAATAGCAATACAGCAAAACAATAAAGGCCTTGGGAAACCTTCCGGCGGTGTGGCTCTTACCCCGGTGGAGTCGTTGGCCACGCTGCTGCAGCCGGCCAGGCAGGGGTTAAAGTATGTGATGCCGTCAGAGCCGCACACAGGGGCGTACTCGTGGATCTTGCAGCCACAGTTCACGTTACAGCCCCCCGTCAGGTTCCTCTGGGTCATGGTCAGTGTGGGTCTGAGCAAGAACACAGGACACAATTCAATTCAAGTCAATGCATTTGTGACCAGGGACTGCATCACTGGACACACTGCACCGATCTGTCAATCTCACGCTACATCCTTCCCTCACTTGTGAACAACACCCAGAGATACTTGAACTCACTTTTTCCACCGTACATGTAAAATTAATTTGAATAAACTTGCATAAATGTCCCAGAAAAATCCATGTCCTAAGTCACATGCACAGCCTGAAGCCAGGGCCCACTTCGCGATTAGATCCAGGCTTTAGGTGCTATGTGACCGCAGCAAGTGGGCACGTTTGAAGACTTGGGCCAGGGCCCGCTTTGTAAAGCCCAGATGAGGGGGGTCAATGTGGCAGGTGGTGGGGGATGAGGTGTGGTGGGAACTTGATATTGTGCGTCACATTACGTCTTCTGTTGTGATGGGCATTTTCACACACGTCTCTGCACTTTAGTATTCTCCGCTTGTGTTAAACCTTTCATATAAGCCCCGGACCGTAGTCGAGGGGCGCTGGGGGGTGTGTTGCTGCAGGGCCAAAGGGAAGCGTTTCCTACGGAAATAACTCCCTCTGTTCTGACCCTCGCTCTCAGTGTGGTGATATTGGGTCCATGTATTTAATGCAATAACACTTCAGACATTCAAGAATCAGCCTTTATTTAATCGCCAGAACACACCAACACACACACGAATCCTGCCTGTCTCCGGTCGCTCTGCTCGTACGCTACACTTTTCATTCTTTCGTTCTCCTTTATTCATTTCTCAGCGCTCTTACGCTCGTTACTAAAGAGTGTGTGTGTTGTGTGTGCACTCGTGTCCACGGCGCACGCACACACACACGCACGCACGCACGCACGCGCGCACACACACACACACACGCACACACGTTACCCACTGAACTGCTGCACTTTGCATCAGAGCAATGTGGACAAGTGTGAGATGTGTCTTTCCCTAAACAACGCAATCCGTACAGGAAGAGAAACGGAAACACAACCGGGACAACGAGGTCGTCGCTGGAGTTAGAATTAGCACCACCAGCTGGACCGAGCGTTGTACTACAGCACAGTTACTCTGGCACATTCATGTGACCGCAGGCCGTTTTCACACCCCTGTGCCAACGATCCGGGCCACTTGGCCTAGTTTGCTTGTAAAAACCTATCTGACCGTGTCCTTAGACTCTCCTGCATCGGCAACAAACGACTCAAGAACCTAGTGGGATTTTTTTTGAGAAACCTTGACGAAATTATTGCGATATTTTTGTCTTTCACCTAAAATTGCATTGAAATGCAAGAGACAAATAACAACAAATAAGATCAACGTTAATGACCTTCAAATGCATATATTTATATACTTGTTTTTTTGTATTTGTTGAATGTTGATGTATCTGTCTGTCTTCTAAAACAGACAGACACATCAACATTCAACAATAATTCAACGTTTTTTTATTGCGCATATTTTTGATATGGATATTGCAGGCACCAATATTGCGATAACAATATATTTTCGATATAGTGTGCAGCCCTATTGTGTGCCGCAGACATTTCCCCACTTTAGAACCACCAAAAACCACCATTTTTCAACAATAAATTAATGTTCTGTTCTGTTGTAGATTTGTCTGAGTCATGTGTGAGTGGCTCTAATAGCCCTGCGAGTTCTGCATGTGTGTCCCAGCAGGTGGCAGCAGAGAGCACTCCTCACCCGGTGGTGTAGGGGATGTTGATGCCCCCCAGGTTGATGCTGTCACAGCCCACGATGAAGAGTGTGGAGAAGCAGAGCAGGGACACGCCACTACAGATCATGGCCAGCTTTGCAGACTCCCGCGCCCCCAGCTTCAGCTTCTTTATGATGTACCCTCCAAGCACAATGCCCACACCAGCACTGGGGACGATGATGACGCCTGGAGGACAGTGAGGGAGTGAGTGTACCGTATATACATCTTACAATAAACACTTCAACACATGAGCGAGTCACTGATACAAGAGTCAGGAGGTTTGGAGAGGCCTAAACTCCAAGAAGTTTACTTTGTAACGAGAAAGGATAAACTACAAAGACCTGCCCGAGGAGACATTTCCCCGCTGTGGGACGAATCTAGTCGAATCTCAGATTCAGTATTTTCAGTTTATTTTGCTCCATCCACCTTCCCATCAACTCTGACACTTTTCCCTGTTCCTGCTGATGAAAAGCAGCTTCAAAGAATCTTCATTGGATCTGAAACTGGAGCTGGTGCACTGAGGGTAATGAGCAGTGTCTATTGTGGCTTTTCTTTTTACGACTCCTGCCCCTGCTGAAGAAAAGCACTCCAACTACTCCTGTGTAGGACTAGTTAGTATGTATGGAGTGGTAATTATATGTAATGTACAGCAGACATGCAGTATTTAAAGAAAATAACAAAAATGTTGTAAAAAAGTATTTCAGGAGGGGACTGCACTGAGTGCGATATCACTATAGCGGCTGAATGTGGAAAATCCTTTTGGCTCATATCTGGATTTACAAAGAAAATCTAAACACCAAGATCATAGAGAGCACTGAACCACATCAAGTCCAAAATGATGAGTGTGACGCAAACGGTTACTGAGCTAGAGGAGTTTACTTTTACATGTAAGTCAATAGGAGCCAGAGCAGGTTGGAGTCTATGAGAACTTCCCTGTTGCCCGTCTGTGAGCTAGAGGGTTAGCATTGTCCATCTGTCTACAGTCTATGATGGCGCCGCCGGAGTGTGCACGAAGGCCTACCTGTGTAGATACTGGCACTGGAGGCCGGGATGCCAAACTGTGACTCGATGAACTTGGGGATGAAGGTGATGAAGGCGGTGACGATGGCGCACTCAGCCGTGTACGACAGGCTCACGAAGAGGAAGGTCACGTTACTCAGGATCTTCATGGCCGCTCGGGGAAGGTCTGCACAATGACAAACACACAGTTACACAAATATCACTGCGGCGGTCCCTGTGAGGGCTGCTGCACAGAGGGAAGTACACTACAGTCATGCTCATAAGTTTACATACCCTGGCAGAATCATGATTTGTTTGCCAAATTTCAGGTTGCAAAAGGTTATCAGCATGGCATTCAATGTGTTTTTTTGTGCCACCAGTTCTGTTGGCAATGCAGGGGCTATTGTTGAGCACAGCAGTCAAATAAATCAGCATTATGAAGCAGCACCAAATTGTGAGATTTCTGAATCAAATCTGAGGAAGATCTTTATGTGTACTGGAAAAGTTGCTGTTGCCCCTGAACTAACGAGGGGAGCTCTGACCTCTCATGTCCTTGCCGAAGCCCATGGAGGAGGACACGTTCTGGCTCTTCTCTCGGAGCATGTCGTCATCGCTGGAGTCTTCCCGGTTGAGCTTTTTCCTCCTCTTCTTCTTGTGTCGTGGCGGGAGCTTCTTGGGGAATGCGAACATGGGGAAGATGACCAGCAGCATGGCCACAGCGCAGAGCAGGAAGCCACTCCACCTGCACACAGCAAAGCACTGAATATCAGGAAGTATGGGTACACCTCTGACCTACGAAACATTCTACACAGTAAACTACTAAAAAAGAGCAAGTCTAAAGTATACAGGCTCCCAATATACTTTAATTATCTCTAAAGAACAAGCCTGACATAATATGCATTTAAGGACAGGTCTGCTGCAGATGGACACAGGGGGAACATGCACACCGGGAGAACATGCAAACAGGAGCGATATGCTGGACACAGGGAGAACATGCAAACAGGACAGATCTGCTGGACACAGGCAGAACATGCAAACAGGAGAGATCTTCGGGACACAGGGAGAACATGCAAACAGGACAGATCTGCTGGACATAGGGAGAACATGCAAACGCATTGAGAATAGGCAAACATAGGGAGAACATGCAAACAGGAGAGATCTTCGGGACACAGGGAGAACATGCAATCAGGACAGATCTGCTGGACACAGGGAGAACATGACAACACAGGGAAAACAGGCAAACACATGGAGAACATGCAAACACAGGTCCTTCTCACCAGTTCCCGATGAAGCGTGGGTCGCTCTGGTCGATGTGCACGTCTGTGTGAGGCTCCACATAGAACCCGATGAGAACTCCCCCCAGAAGGTACCCCACGGCAGGCCCCAGGGCCCCCATCACGTACATGAGGGCTAAAGACACACACATATGAGAATTGAGGACACACACACACACAACTGAAGCCACAACATACGCACACAAGAAAACCCCAAAGCTAATTGGGAAGTAGTCACGGTACGGTACTTCGATAATGGAAGAAATTCTCAGACACCAGGACAATAATTTATGAATTCTCTTTTTGGAAAATAAATTGTAGTTTTTAGGTAATAATAATAGTTTTGGTAATAATAACAATCATTTTTGTATTGATTCTTATCTGGACAAGTTTTCCTATGTCTCCTTTGTATCTTCACTCTTTTTAATACGCTGTTATTATTTATGATGTGAATGTTTCTTGCCTTGTTTTGTCTTTTGAGTAGTGTATGAAAAAATATACTTGCTTTGCCTAAATTATTGAGGATTTACTATTGAATGAGATTTTTTTACAACCCTGATCACGATTTTCATTGACTTAACCCTGCTGTAGTGGACAGTGAGCTTATGCCTGTAATCCCGCCTCAGGATCCGTGGTCATATGGGCAGGTCATATGAGCCACATTCCGGCCCAGCGCAGGTTTTCCCTCATTAGAAGGATTTAACCTCCACGTCTTTGGACAAAGTTTAAGAGAAATGTGGAAACCCAGTGGCCTCATGTTACCTAACGCAGGAACAAAGAGCCGAGGTCCCGAGAACACAGACTGCCCCCATCTCCTCGCGGTCAGCAAGTCAAAAGCCATTCTTTTCAGATTAGTCAAGACCGACCATTTCTCGCCCTACGAACCCCGTGGCCCGCGTAGACAAGGCATGTATACCCTCCGTTGTTAGTGATCATGATATAGTTACACTTCAGAAATTTTTGTACATCAATCTGTGAAATGCAGATGATAAGACATCGTTGAGTAAAGTTTTGGATTTAACAGGGAAAACATCCGCTGATTGCTAACTTGATTTGTGGTCAGGACCTTTTGCGTAAAGGGGCAGTACTGAATACCGTGTAGCTTAATGACATTGTTGTAGAGGTGCAACGGTTCATCACTGATCCGTGATCCGTTCGGTTCAACGTCTTCGGTTTGGTACAGACGTGATCCGCGATTTGATTTATAAAAAAAAGTTTTGCGCTCCCACTATGTTGTTCAGTCCACTCACAGCGCGGTCATTGCGAGCGGACAAACAGAGAAGCCCGCGTCATTTAAATCCCCAGTATGAGAGCATTTTGTCTTCACTGTAACTATACTGATGATTAAAGAGTCGATAAAACTGTTACGGTGTGTAAACACTGTGGCACAAGAAAGACATGAGTGAAAAAAAAAAGCTTTGCAACAACCGCTTATTGCCGCGGCATTTAAGCAGCCCCTTTACGCACAGTCAGACCGGGCTCAGCTCTCCCGCGCATCCACAGTTGCGCTCACGACTGACGCTTGGACGTTCCGCTCATAGATCTATAATAGATCTATGAGCGGAACGGACAGCTATGTTACGATAGCCGCTCACTTCATCACAGCAGACTGAGAGATGAGAAGGCTGCAGACATGCCCCCTCTACCAAAGTCACGTAGGCACATAGCGCAGGTACTAACACAAGCAGCGGAGGAATGGAAGACAAAAGGCCCAGTACTAATATTCCAGTCACAACTGATAATGCTAAAAATTAAATAAATGCAGTGAATGAAGCTGGACTGGGCCCAGAATGGACCCCCTCCTTGGGAGAATCAGGAAGGTGGTTTAATATATGAGGGTAATTATCCTCATAAAGTGCCTTCTTATGTTGCACTTTGTGTTGTTTTTCATGAATTATGCTAATAAGACATAATTGGATGGATGGATGGAATATGCCTTCCATCCATCCATCCATCCATTGCCTTCCCCTTAATCCATTTCTAGGTCAGAGGGGGTGGCAGTCAGAGCTGCACCCAGTAAACAGAGCACCAGCCCCTTACTGATCCTCCTGCAGGTGCCGAGCCCACATGAGCCGTTATTAAAAAGACAAAACTTTTTCTTTTGAAAAATGAACCGAACCGTGGCCTCTGAACCGAGGTACGATCCGAACCGTGATTTTTTCAAACCGTTGCACCCCTACATTGTTGAGATGATGAATGAGATTTACAACATTCTAAGTACATATGCTAATGAGGTGAAGGAAATCCTTCAATCATTGTGAAGCAGTATTCACCAAGCTTTGGATTGTTCACACACTAATAGGGAATGTGAGCCGGGTGTAGATTGTCGTGAAACAGGTTAGTTTTACTGATGATGTGTTGTTGCAGTAGTAGATGGGCCATGCAGGCGCAGTGCATTAGGCGTGCTTTGAATGTGGGCTGATGCCACATGCACGCCTGAGTATGGTCCCTCAGACAAACAGTGCAGACACAAGCACCTAATGTCTCCAGTGTTAGACTACTGTAACAGCTGCTCACTGGTCTCTGCAAACGAGCTGCAAAACAGCTGCAATATATTCCAAACTAGGGATGTACCGAATCCAGGATTCGGTTTCGGATTCAGCCGAATATTGTATTTTTTGACGGGTTTGGTTTCTGCCGAACCTTAGAATTTTTCCCCACCAAACCAAGCCCTACGCTATGCGCGCTACGCTGGTCAAGGTCATGACACCAGCGTTGATTATAGAAAGGTGCTTACGTAGGTGGCCCGTTCGAATGCAGTAGCTCAGGCTGTGTGAGTGAGAAAGTGAAAATGGAACTCGTGAGTAGAAAAAGTACTTTCAGTCCAAAGAAGGTGATTCCAGTTGAGCTACATGTTCAATTTGCGATGACGATTTGTCTCGAGTTGTTGGGAATGAAGGAATCTACAGACAGCAGCCAAAAAGCAAATACACACTACTGTGGATGTTATTTACTTCATAAATGTGTTTACTGTGAACTCCCACTGATGACTGCTGTCGTTGTGTCCTTGGGTAAGACACTTAACCCAACGTTGCCTGAAGACCCCCGCTGAAAGATCAGGGCTCCTGTGGACTCCTCACCTGCAGAAGGATCAGTGAGGGGCTGGTGCTACGTGTACTGGGTGCAGCTTCGACTGCCACCCCCCCGACCCAGAAGTATGGATTAAGGGGAAGAAAATGGATGGATGGATGTGTGTACTGTGTTAATGGACTGAGGATGGAGTAGGATTCAGTATTAGGTTTCGGATTTGAACCTCTAACACCCGCCTTATTTTGGCTTGTGCACAAAAGTTGGGCACACCCAGATGTCTTTGCTTATTTAAAAACACATCTTACATGTCACATGCTTGTATAATGCATCATATTAAAGCCAGAGCCTTCTAGTCTCCTATTTCACTCTCCATCCTTTGAAGTTTGGGAAAAAAACCTTTTTTTTTTTTGTCTCGCCTAATAATCATTTCTAAAGGCCCTAAAAAGGCATACTTCATTGTAAGTTCACAATATTCAAACCCTATGGTCATTGTGTTGTTGACAACAACTGTCTAAAGTTTCAGACTTCTAAGTTTTATAGTTTTTATGCAGTTTCTCCTTTTCATCAAGTAGTGCACATTTGGAACCAATATCGCACAATAAAAAACTATATTTTTTATTATTGGTACTTATAAGTTACTAATCTATGTGTTTTTTTTATTTTTTATGTAAACTTTATTTTTTAAAGTTAATTTTTTATGATAGTAAATTCATTGCGGCTTCGAGAGCGTCTTTCGACTGCCATTACGCACAGTTCTACTGGCACAAAATAAGACAGTACACCTTTGTCCCACCCCTTGCTAGAAAGCTTTCGCTAAAGATAAATGCACATTGTTTGATTATTTCTCCAGAATGTATTATACTTTGGGAAATACAAGTGGATATTATTTTTCAATGGACTGTTCCAGAGAGAAACAGATATTGGAAGCTGGGAGGAGATCTGATTTATTTATGCAGCACAAGTCCAAAGGTAAAAAACGTTTTCGTAAGTGTTTCTTTTGTGCCCATATTATGTGTTATATCTTTTGAATGCAGTCTGATATTGTTGACACTTGTATATTATTGTAGATAAGAAAATAAGCTTTAAAATGACTTACAGCTTTTGGGGTTTGGTGTTCAAAATGCATCTGCTATTGCCAGCAGAACATTTAAAAAAATGACAAACGGCTCGCCGGTGGATGCCAGTGGATTCAGTATTCGGCCGAACCTCAAAAATCTGGATTTCGTGCATCCCTACTTCAAACACTGCAGCTAGAGTCCTGACTAGAACCAGGAAGTCCTCTCACATTAGTCCTGGTCTCAGGTCTCTGCACTGGCTTCCTGTGGCTCAGAGAATACACTTGAAAGCAGCTCTGCTGTGACATGTTAGTGCCATATGAACCAACTTGGACTCTGAGAACCACAGGGACTGGCCTCCTGCTGGGACTCTGAGGAGCACAGGGACTGGCCTCCTGCTGGTGCCCAGAGTCAGGACTAAACATGGGAATGCAGCGAGTCCTGAAAATGTAAGACAGGCCTCTTCTCTGTTTAAATCCAGGTTACAAACAGTTCTGTTTAGCTGTTCTAGAAATGAAAGGTTGTATCTTCACTAAAGTATTGTGATAATTTACTTTTTAGTTGCCTTGTACTGTGCCTTGAACTGTGCTATACAAATAAACTTGCCTTGCCTATCCTAGGACCGAAGAAAACGTTTATTTTTTATTCTATTATTATAGAATATTTATTATTCTATAAGCCAATTTATCTCTTGATTCATTGGTTTGTTGTTTGGATCCCAAAGTTCAAGTGTTCATGTCATTTTGCTGTCAAAGAACTTGACAAGGTTTAGTCTTTGTAAGGTTTAAAGAACGATTCATGGATTACTTTTTTAGTTACTTCATGTCTTCTTTAACCTGCTCATTCTGACCATGTCAGACAGAACGGTCAGAGGCGGTCAGCATTCCCAGCATGTGTGGGAACAGTGGGATTGTTTGTGTTGTGTTGACGATGGAGCGTTGTTGTGGCTCTCTGGCCCCGGGGCCCTCAGGCAGACATGTGTTACTCCCAGTGCCCTACCACACAGGAGTCATTGTCCTGTCACAGGACCCTGCAGACGCAGTGCTTTAGGCGCGCTTTGAATGTGGGCTGATGCCACGCCTGGTATGGGCCCTCAGTGCCTCACTAGAGCCTGGGTATAGGCCCTCACTGGAGACTGGGTATGGGCTCTCACACTTACCCTAACTACAGAACAATTGGACGGGTTCCTAACCATTTAGAACCTGAACCATTTCCTATCTATCCTATCTCACCGTACTTATTTTTCCACAAAGGCAAAAAAAAGCAAAAGACGCCGGTGCTGGTGCCTCACATCAGTATTACTGCAGTGTCGCTTAAAAGCCATAATATATAAAACCACAAATCCCACAACACACCTTAAATAAACTTTGCTCACAATAGCTACAATTCTGCACATAATTATATTTTGGAGAGTTCATCTTTCTAACATGTTTTCTAACAAGTTTCTGGAATTGTTTGCAATCTACAGACTCAGAGTGGTCTGAGTGTGCGGCCGGTTCTTCGTCAGGAAGAATGACTAAGCAGCTTTCATAACCTGCTCCTTTGTTGGATTAGGAGCCTGGAATTCTTGCAGACCGACCTCCTGCTGGGACTCTGAGGAGCACAGGGACTGGCCTCCTGATGGTGCCCAGAGTAAGGACTGCATTATGGAGAGGCTGCATTCCAGATTTATGCAGCTATAATCTGCAACAGTCTTCCTGAAAAAGTGAGAGAGGCTTCTACTCTCACAATAATTTATGATTAGATTATTTCTTACCATTGTTTTGTTACACACTTTGAGTTGCCTTTTGAGATTGTGAACTGTTCAATACTTTGCTAAACTCGAGCAGTCATAACCACAGGTGTCAGATTCTCACTATAGGAGCACATTACACCCTCTCATGGCCAGCCTTCAGGGCATGTGGTGTGAGTGTTGCCTTACCCAGATAGAGCGAGGCGTTCTCCTTCTTCACGTTGTCGTCCAGGTAGGTGGGTCCCAGCGTGTAGATGGGGGTGGAGCCCATGCCCACCAGCACCTGTGCCACGATGAAGAGCGCCACGTACAGGTCGTGCTCGTTCCCTTGCTGGTCCCGCGGACAGGCTGACACATCCACGCCGTCCCGCGCCGAGCTGTTAGCGCTCATGCACAGGCCCTCGTTAGCCAGCGACGAGTTTACCTCCTGGATCTGGTACGGCGGGGAGATGAAGTGGGGCAGCGAGAAGAGCCCTGCGCCCACCGCGATGAAGACCCCGCCCACGGCCAGCCAGCGAGGCCTCTGACCTGTCACCAACAAGCAGCAGTTCAACAACTACACTTATTGTCATGTTGGTCTTTTCATGATCTTGGGGTTAAATGTGTCCACTGTCAGTTTACTTTACTCATCAGTGCAAAAATAACTAATAATGTCAGAATGTGCAATGAGGAAACCATGTGTGTTCACCCTCATGCTGCTAACACGTACAGATGTATACATACAACAATATATTTCTTGCTCTAGAATATACAGTATTTATTACTTCTTTATTATGCCAAAAGTAGAGATTTTATACTATCTTTTTATTATGCTAAAGTTAAACATTTTATATTATTTTGGTATAGAGTTAATGTTCATTTATCTTGATGTGTGCCTCTCATTCGTACTGTTCTGTAGCTAAATACAGTTCTTCAATTATGATGCTGGCAAAAAGGATAGACGATATACGACTGTTTTAACTTGTGTGTGTGAGTGCGTGTGTCTATAATGTGATTTCCAATGTGTTTTGCCCTGAGGCTGCTCAAATTAATTTGGATAAATAAATACCACTGTGTATGAGTGAATGAATAATGACATGAGAAGAATCTTTGAGTGTCAAAAAAGTGCTATATAAAACTGGTGTGTTATTATTATCAAAGTCTGGGATTTTGCATGCTCTGCTCTTGTCCTTGTAAAAAATGTGAAAGTTCCTCCACTTCATAAACTCCATTGTAATGCGATTCCCTCTGGTCTGGGGTGCTTGAGCTGTGACTTTAGAAGACTTATTTTGACCGTCGTGCCGGAACAACGTGTCATTTCATAAAGCCGCGGCCGTCACAATGTGGCACCCGGTGTTCCCAGAGGTCTCCCATCACAGTACTAACCAGGCCCTGCCCCGCCCTGCGCTGCTTAGCTTCAGGGTCTGACAGGATCTGGCTTTCACTTGCAGCCGTCTTTTATATCCATCTAGATTGAAGACAAGCAAGTAGCATCTTTGAGCCAAGTTACAGCTCATATCTATGTTTTTAAGCAGTGAAAAACACCTCAATAAACCTTGTTCACATTAAATATACACTACAGACCAAAAGTTTAGACACACCTTCTCATTCAAAGAGTTTTTTTTATTTTCATGATTATACAAATTGTAGATTCACACTGAAGGCATCAAAACTATGAATTAACTCATGTGGAATCATGTACGTACTAAAAAATGAAACAACTGAAAATGTCTTATATTCTGGGTTTCTCAAAGTAGCACCTTTTGCTCTGATTACTGCTTCGAATTCTCTTGATGAGCTTCAAGAGGTAGTGACCTGTAATGGTCTTCGAACAGTCTTGAAGTTCCTAGAGATGCTTAGCACTTGTTGGCCCTTTCGCCTTCACTCTATGGTCCAGCTCACCCAAAAACCATCTGGATTAGGTTCAGGTCCAAAACCATCTGGATTGGGTTCAGGTCCGATGACTGTGGAGACCAGGTCATCTGGCCCAGCACCGCCACTCTCCTTATTGGTCAAATAGCCTTACACAGCCTGATGTGAATCTACAGTCAATAGTCATGAAAAGAGAAAGTGTGTCCGAACTTTTGGTCTGTACAGTATCTCTGAGGAACATTGAATAAAAACAATAATCATCTACGGCAACAACATTGCACCTTTTACATGACACATTGCAATTGAAAACACATAGTTGTAAAGAATGTAAATGACTGGAGACTATTTTGGAGAAAACTGCCCTTGAGGAAAAACGAAGCTAGAGGGACATAGCTTCTGATAGCAGTGTGAATACAACAATCAGCCAAATCCTGACAGGGGAGAGGAAAGTGGCAGCACTGACCTCGCCCGCCGAAGTAACTGATGAAGACGACCACCAGGAGGCTGCCGATGTCAAAGCAGCTGACGAGCAGACCCGACTCAGAGCTGCGCAGGCTGTAGCGCTTCTCGATGGTGGTGATGACAGAGCTCAGGTAGCCCGACACCATGAGCGACTGGATGAATGTCAGGTAGCACATGCAGAAGAGGAAGCAGCGCGAGTCCTGCACACAAGCCAAGGTTATTGGACACTGAGCAGGCGTTCTGGGCATGTCCAACCGGAGGAGACCCAGGACAGGACACGTTGAAGGGACTATGTCTGCCTCAGCTGGCCTGGGAACACCTCAGGATTCCCCCAGATGATATGGAGAAGTGAGTATGGAATGGAGTTGGAATTCTGGGGATCTCTGCTAAACTGCTGCCCCCGTGACCCAGCAACGGAAGAAGTGGAGGAAAATGGCTGGATAGATGACATCTCTTGTAACTGCGGTCTAGCACTACAATAACAATTTGGTTTGTGTAATTGACCTCATTTGACGGCCAGTGGAAGCAGCTGTGTTTGTTTGGAGCCAAATGTCCAACATTCAAGGAGAAAAAACGTCACCGTTGGAAGAAAGAATCGCACTGGAATATAAGCCGCAGGTTTTCATGTTGTAATGAAATAGACAGACGACTGTTTTAATTGGTCCCAACATGATTTAATGACAAGGTGTTAAATTTGCAGACATTTTTCTAAGCCAGATAAAATGTCCATTTACATCCATTTTCTTAATCCATCTCTGGGTCGGGAGGTGGCAATCAGAGCTGCGACACAACAGCAGACGTCAGTGGGAGTCAGTGGAGAAGGTCTTGTGGAGGGATTGAACCCATGACCTTCAGGTTCAAAGGCTAATGCTCTACCAACTGAGCCACATGTGCACAAAACTTTGCCCCAAGTGACTTTTTCTTCTAATCATTTTAGACTCATATTTGGATATACAAATGTCCATGTAGGAAAAGTCACAGGATCGCCACATTTATAGAAAAAAATTAAGAAATCAAAATAATATAGTATAACATCTGTGATGGATGTCCAACGCCCTGCATGATTACAATATGGAATAAGTATTCAATAAAACCTTCTATTTGGTCCTAATCAGGCAAGTATATTCTCTTTATCAGCTGAAACTATGAAAGACTGTATGTAGGTCAAAAACATCATTTAAAGTGCATACTGTTTGGATATGTTGATGGTTTATTGAAATACATATTATTATATGCACGGTTATATCTGCTACATGCCATGTACAAAAATACTCGGACGATACCGCTGTTGTAGCATGTGTGAAGGGGGGATGAAGCAGAGTACAGGGAGGTGGTGTCTGCCTTCTCAGACTGGAGAGAGAGAAATGGACTGATTCTCAATGCGTCCAAGACCAAGGAGATGATCATCAACTTTCACAGGAGCAATTCCCATCGACCGGTCACAGTAAATGGACAGGACATCGAAGTGGTTCACTCCTATAAATATCTGGGAGTCCACCTGGACCACAGACTGGACTGGTCAGCTCAGGCCAATGCCATCTACAAGAAAGGTCAGAGCAGACTTTTCTTTCTGAGTAGACTGAGGTCCTTTGATGTGAGCAGTCAAATGTTGAACATTATTTACCAGTCTGTTGTAGCTAGTGCCGTGTTCTTTGGGGTTGCGTGTTGGGGCGGCAGTCTGACCTCGAGAGACAGTAACCGGCTCGACAGGCTGATTAGGAAATGTGTCTTTGTGATGGGGAGAAGTGTGGACTCTGTGGGAGCTGTGCTGGAGAGAAGGATGAGGGTTCTAATGCAGGGCATCCTGGGTAACTCCAGACACCCTCTGCATGACACTATGGCTGCTCAGAGGAGTATTCGAAGCAACAGGCTTCTATCACTATGCTGCTGAACGTAAAGTTTCAAGAGATTCTTTGTTCCTTCGACTGTCAGACTGTACAAAAAACCTGGATGAGTCTTCTGCTGCTGGACACCTGAATTTCTCCTACGGGGGATCAATAAAGTATCTATCTATCTATCTATATCTAGGCCAATTATTCAGCTTGGTTATTTACTTTGAGAATATAGACGCAAACACCTACTTAAAATACCTTTCTTCAGAGAAGAGGCAGATGACGGTTGGTCCAGGGCTTGGGCAGTGCTAACTGTTGACATGCTTTAAGATTATGTGCACTGTAATTATCATTGAGCAGATGTCACTGTTAATGCCCTTGACAAAAAGAGGTTTAATTTGACCTCTATTCAAATGGACCAGCCATGTTCTGTAGAAACTAGTGTTGTCAAATAATTCAAATAAATAATCATGATTAATCGCAATCTCACATTTTTCCCTGTTCTAAATATTTGGTTTGAAAAAAAAAGACTGGATTAAGCAAAAAGCTTATATTAATCCAATCCCCTCCAAAAAGACAGTATCCTTAATCTCAGCTTTAGTTCTTGCTGTGAACAGCGTATAGAACTATTGAACATAATAGAAATTACTTGAATGATCAAATAAAGGCTTCTCTTTTGTTTATGTTTCAATTTAAGTCAGTTCTTTTTCTGTGTGACGATCACCGCAGTGGAAATAACTATAGTTTTTGTTTTGTCAAAGTCTGCTGTACCTTACGTCCTGCACACGTCTTTTTTCAGACACGTCCCCGTGGTAGAAGCCTGGAGCATGCAAAACTTACACCGACATGGCGAGCGGCCAGGCTCTTGTCAGTCCAAAATATGACTCATGCATATCATTGTATTGTGCGATTAACGCAAGTATGCAAAAAAGCATACAAAATTAAAGCCGCAAGCGGCATCAAACGGCCCTCGTCGCACACCGCGCGACCCCCCCGCACCGCGCGACACCCCGCACTACGCCGCTCCGTGCCGCAGCTCACCGTGCTGCACCGCGCCGCAGCATGCCGCACCGTGCTGCACCGCCCCGCAGCATGCCGCACCGTGCTGCACCGCCCCGCAGCATGCCGCACCGTGCTGCACCGCCCCGCAGCATGCCGCACCGTGCTGCACCGCCCCGCACCACGCCGCCCTGCAACAAGCCGCGCAGGCGTTTTTCAATTGGCTGTTGTAGGTGGCGCTAATGAGCCAATTTCAAATTTCTAACTTTCAAATGACCTAGACCCAAGAGTTAAACAATGGATTCAAGTTTTGTGCAAATCAGACTTTGTTTGTGAAAATGTCAGGGGGTGCAAACGGAAGCAATTTTTCGATTGTCAAACACTGAAAAAAATACGCCACTTTTTGGCCCTCCGCTGCTCAAACAACGTTTTACTGATAAAAAGTCTGTGAAATCAAAATGATGGTACATGTGTTAAACTTTAGACGATGTGGAGCCATTTTGAGGCAAATCGGTGAAACGGCCAAGGAGGAGTTGCTATCCAACCGACATGTGTGAAAAGGATAATTTTTCGGGCCGTCTTGAGATGAGGAACATGTGTACCAAAATTCATGCCTATACGACAAACTTGACCTCGAAACCCTCCCATACTAAAAACTTTGACCACATCTGTAGGGGGTGCTAATGAGCCAAGCTCATTTATTTCACTTTCAAATGACCTAGACCCTAGAGTTGAACAATTATTAAAGTTTTGTGCAAATCAGACTTTGTATGTGAAAACGGGAGCAAATTTAATAGTGTCAAAAACGGCCAAAAAAAACTCACATTATGCCGTTCTTCTGCTCAATCAACGTTTCACTGATCAAAATTCCCTGAAGTCATTTTGAAGGTACATGTGTTGAGATGATGTGGAGCGATTTTGAGGAGAATCGGTGAAACGGCCGAGGAGGAGATAGCTTCCAACCGACATGTATGAAAACTTTTTCTGTTAATTTTTCCATTTTGCAGTGAAATTTATGGGCTTCCTGTTTGTCAGAGGGCGGAGCCATAATAATATTTTTTTCTTGTCTTGACTTGAGGAACATTTCATGGCTCTACGAAAAACTTGATCTCCAAAACTCCCGTTGTAGGTGGCGCTGTTGTGGCACGTACCGCCACCATTTGCATTCACCATTGTGAAAGCAATAGGCCCTTACCCCGTTCGAGGCTCTGGCCTAATAAGTAGCTCATGTTTGCACCATAGACTGTATATAGTATATTAGTTTGCACTGTTCTTGATAATGTACCTAAATAAAAAGAAATAGAGAAACAAAACAATACCTTTTTTGGAGAAAAGGTGACTTGAGGTCAGTTTGGTACAAATTTAATTTGGCTAGGTCTGCATCTAATACATGTTATAGCTCATATCTTAGACTAAATTGGGTTATAGGATTTTGGTAAATAACCATTATAGAATGTTTCATGAAAACATGAATTTGTGCATGCTTTAGCCGGCCCTTGCCCCATTCATTTAATGGCAAACTAGAATAGGCCAAAAAAAAGGGAGTATTTTTTTTTTTTTTAGACTAGTCGTTTGGGCCAAGAGCAGACTTTTGGATCATCCTGTAAAGCCATTTTCAATAGGAACGACGACGCCATACAAAAGCTTTGGGTAATTCTCTTTCTGGGTACACCCGCACCGACTAGGAGTGAGATTCCAAGCATGTCAGCGCATGTGCTCATGGACCTAATGGAGCTGGGACCCGCCCCCACTGGTTTTCACCATCCGACGCAGCAACTGACACTACTACTTTAATTGAACTCCTCTGATGTAATGTATCATGTGACAAGTGTGGGCTTACCTGTAGAATGGCTGAGAACCTGCGGCTGGGCGTGCGGAGCTTGGCCAGAGTGGAGCGCAGAGGCGGCCCGGTCGTGGCGCCTGCTCTTGGAGTTAGTGTGCGTGAGTTGGAGCGGTTCAAAGCGGACTTCCCCTGGCACTCGCTGCTTTCGGGAGGAATCTGGAGGAACTTGGCACATTCTTCGCGATGGAGAGCTGCCGACCCGGTCAGCAGGCTCTCCTGGTGGTGCGCTCTGGGACTCAATAGGCTTTCTTCATGGAGTGAGCGATCAGGGAGTAGGCTTTCCACGTACGGCGCTCTCGTGCTCAGGGAGGTTTCCATGTAGGGCGCTGCTTTATTTAACAGGCTTTGTTTGCAAGCCACTCCATTACTCATCGCGCTCTCCTCGCACTGCGCTCCCTCGCTCAGCAGCCTTTCCTCGTAGGTCGGCCTGTCACAATAATAATGGGCAAAAAATGTATATCTTCACTTTTTGTTTTTTCAAAATTTCAGTTATAACCTAACGTTTGGGATCATCTTTTCTTAGTTCAGACCAAAAACAAAATGTTCACTTTTCTGTACTGATTTGATCTGTACAAATGAACGTGTGCACCGAGTATGAAGTGAATAATAATGAAGCGTCACGAGTGCCTAAAACAGTGCTATATAAAATCGATGGATTAATATTATTATGATTAAAACAGACATGTCCAAACCTAGGCCCATGGGTCAAATGCAGCCTGCAGTGTCATTTTATGTGGCCCTCTGCCTTGCTCATTTTCACTGTCATCCAGCCAACTTCAGCTCCACCAATATAGTCCTACTGTAACAAGTTAGACAACTCAGACAAAAGCATGAAACACCCAAATAAATTGATCATGAGGGAAAAACTCTGGTTTATAACTATATGATGTTTACAGTGTGAATGCACTGTAAAAACCAGGGAACTGGGGGTTCCTCTGGCTGAATAGGAACTGCTGTTAATAATAGGGACTAGTTCCTGGTGCTGGTATGTGCAAATGGTAAGGTTCACATGCCTAAAACTAAGATTATTGTACAACTAACTATTGTGAAAGATTCATATCACTTATGTACTTAAATAATTAGAGAGTAGCTCATGTTTATATCCAGTAAATAAAGCTCTCCGGGACAAAAGGTTAGAAACTCTCAGGTCCCACTCCTCGTGCGCACGGCTCTAATGAAACTGCTAATGAAACGCTTCTCACTGAGCGATCAGTGGATATTAATAGGACATTCTTACTCGCAGGCTGCTCTGTTAGTCGGTCGGCACGGGGTTGGATCATTCAGTGCGTTCTTGGTGCCGTCTCCTCGCTCCAGCAGTTGGCTCCTCTTGCTTGCGTGTGCTCTCTCAGCCTGGAGGTTTCTCTTTTGGGCTCTGTCAAACCGCTGCGCCTTCTTGTACAGCTGGCAGTCCTTGCGAGGCCCTTTCTCTGTGAGGATGGGCAAACTCTTGGACTTGAAGTTGGCCCCCTCTGGTTCATCCAAGAAGACACTGTGGGTTTTGAGAGACTCCGACAGCTCAAGGTCTTTGGCACTCGCCATCATTTGTGGTGTTCTGTAGAGAAGAAAGGAGGTTATTTAGGTGAAGGCTGTAATATTGTGTTCAAAGTATGTTTTAGAATAGAATATTTCTAAAGTTTATATATATTTATGAGATCTGCTAGGTTGTTGTGACCGTATTCTTGTTCTATTTCCATTGATCCTCTTATGGTTTGTTTGTTTGTTTTGACTTCCATTCAAGGCTACAAAAAATATATACAGTTGGGCAAAAAAGTATTTAGTCAGCCACCGATTGTGCAAGTTCTCCCACTTAAAATAATGACAGAGGTCTGTAATTTTCATCATAGGTACACTTCAACTGTGAGAGACAGAATGTAAAAAAGAAAATCCAGGAATTCACATTGTAGGATTTTTTAAGAATTTATTTGTAAATTATGGTGGAAAATAAGTTTTTTGGTCAATAACTAAAATTCAACTTAATACTTTGTAATGTAACCTTTGTTGGCAATAACAGAGGTCAAACGATTACTATAGGTCTTTACCAGGATTGCACACAGTAGCTGGTATTTTGGCCCATTCCTCCATGCAGATCTTCTCGAGAGCAGTGAACACGGACTTTCAACTCCCTCCAAATATTTTCAATGGGGTTGAGGTCTGGAGACTGGCTAGGCCACTACAGGACTTTCAAATGCTTCTTACGGAGCCACTCCTTCGTTGCCCGGGCGGTGTGTTTGGGATCATTGTCATGCTGGAAGACCCAGCCACGTTTCATCTTCAAAGCTCTCACTGATAGAAGGAGGTTTTGGCTCAAAATCTCACGATACATGGCCCCATTCATTCTTTCCTTAACACGATCAGTCGTCCTGTCCCCTTAGCAGAAAAACAGCCCCAAAGCATGACGTTTCCACCCCCATGCTTCACAGTAGAGGGATGCAACTCAATATCCAAACACGACGAGTTGAGTTTATACTAGTGCTGTCCAACGATTAAAATATTTAATCGCGATTAATCGCATGAATTTCATAGTTAACTCGCGATTAATCGCAAATTAGTCACCCATTTGCGTGCTGTGTGCAATTGCTTTTTTTATTGAAAACAATGTGTAGTGTTATATTACACACTAACATTTGATGCAAAATCATCAATAAATGGATGACAAAATAAATAATTGGTAACAAAAAGCCCCTTCAATGTGTGTGTGGAGTGTGTGTGTTTATGGGTGTGGGTGTGTGTGTGTATGTGTGGGTATAGACCATAGACTGTATAGAAACATCATGGTGTCATTATGATGATGATAAACAATTTTTTTGTAAATTTGTTCATGTAAATACTCTATGCTGTTTTTTTCTGTTTACTTTCGGTATATCTATGACTGTATACTGTTTGCTTGTATTGCCTTTTTTATTAACCCCTCCCCCCCATCTCCCACTTCATGTCCCCCCCCTCCTATGTGCCCTTCTGGGTTTCTTCTTTGGCCCCCTGTATCTCCAACTACATATTGTTTGTAATCTCTGTCTACAATGTATCTTAACTAGTCCTTTTCTTTGTGTCTATTTTTTTCTGTATATGTGTTTGTCTGCAATAAAAAGTAAAAAAAAAAAAAAATTTTTTTTTTTTTTTTAATAATTATTAAAAAAATTAATGGCGATAAAAAAAATGACGCCGTTAATATTGATTTGCGTTAACGCGTTAATAACGCGATATTTTGGACAGCACTAGTTTATACCAAACAGTTCTACTTTGGTTTAATATGACCACATGACATTCTCCCAATCCTCTGCTGTATCATCCATGTGCTCTCTGGCAAACTTCAGACGGGCCTGGACATGCACTGGCTTCAGCAGGGGGACACGTCTGGCACTGCAGGATTTTATTCCCTGTCGTTGTAGTGTGTTACTGATGGTAACCTTTGTTACCTTGGTCCCAGCTCTCTGGAGGTCATTCACCAGGTCCCCCCGTGTGGTTCTGGGATTTTTTATCACCGTTCTCATGATCATTTTGACCCCATGCGATGAGATCTTGCGTGGAGCCCCAGATCGAGGGAGATTATCAGTGGTCTTGTATGTCTTCCATTTTCTGATAATTGCTCCCACAGTTGATTTGTTCACACCAAGCTGCTTGCCTAATGTAGATTCACTCTTCCCAGTCTGGTGCAGGTCTACAATTCTTTTCCTGGTGTCCTTCGACAGCTCTTTGGTCTTCGCCATAGTGGAGTTTGGAGTCTGACTGTTTGAGGCTGTGGACAGGTGTCTTTTATACAGATAATGAGTTCAAACAGGTGCCATGAATACAGGTAACGAGTGGAGGACAGAAGAGCTTCTTAAAGAAGAAGTTACAGGTCTGTGAGAGCCAGAGATCTTCCTTGTTTGAAGTGACCAAATACTTATTTTCCACCATAATTTACAAATAAATTCTTAAATCCCTGTCATTATTTTAAGTGGGAGAACTTGCACAATCTGTGGCTGACTCAATACTTTTTTGCCCCACTGTATATAGGAGGATTTACTACTTCCGGGTGGATCATCAAGACTCTTGGTCCTCCTAATTGTCAATCATTCTAGTGATACGTGCTCATCAAATAAGGCCAGAAAGTTTTGTTCAAAAAGTGGAGAGGGCGGATCTTTCCTAAAATTTGGGAAAATCCTCCTATATACCTATAAGTCAGGGGGTGGTCTCGGACAGGAAAACAGTCCTGGACTTTGGTCAGCTCCAGCCCATCAATAGTGCCAGTAGGATGCACTATATAACAACCTTAATGTTAGCCTTTTAGTGAGCTTCTATTTTCACCATTGCAATCAAGGCTTTAGGAGTGTTCATGAGGAGCTGATCACTCACACACACACACACACACACACACACACACACACACACACACACACGGAGCGGTGTTCCTTGCCATTTTTCCAAGTGGAAAATTGAAAATTGAACAAATATATAAATAAATATAACTATCATACTCTTCACTTGACTCCTTCCACTACTACCCACCTGTGCTGGCACTAACCTCTGGCATTTACACAGTGCTCAGCCCTCCACTAAAGCTGGTTACAGCATACCGTTTTTTCCCCCCAATTTTCCTCCAGAAGTTTGAGGAGGTGTGGCCTGAGTAACGTTATTTTTTTTTCAGAAACACGAACTGTGTCTGTCGGCTGACACAGTTCGTGCTTCCCATATTGTTTTAAGTCCAAAGACAGTGAAACAGGACAGAGAGAGGTTGTACATTTAGGGCTAAAAATACTCCATTCAAACATAACTTAATAACAATCTAAAGCCTTTCCAGGAGTATTTCCAGATTCAAACACATTTAGCCATTGTACAACATTGAAAATAGGACGGTATCACATGATCTTTTTGAAATATCAATACATTCAATAGTAAATGCACTATTCTAATTTTAGAATATCAAATATGATAATTCAGTGAAAAAGTATATTACATTCTGCTGAAAATAAAATTATGGATAAAAGGAAATGGAGATGTAGCTGTGGCCCTAACCGGGACCCCGCTTTTTGTTTTCCAGACATTTGCAGTTCTCGATTGTGATTAAATGAAGCGACCAATCGGAGTTTATCCTTCCTGACCTCAATGAGAACGGCCGATACACATAAGAAAATTAACCAAAGAATGAACAAATGTCCCCAAGTTTGCAGACCCTCCTTTGGAACTAGTATTGTCTGGAATAGATTAAGTTCTTGTAAAAATATGTATGTATTGGGTCGACTCACCAACTACATCTGTAGTTGTACAGAGCCTGTTATGGGAGATGGATATCTCTCAGAATGCCACAAAGTGGACTCATGACAATTGAAAAATAATGTTTACAATACATTTACGATCCATAAACAAATCTGAAACAAAATCCTTTGGAGGTGTCTTGTGTCACAACATAATCTTGTTCTGGGATTGCCAACAAATCACTAATAATAATATAACATTGTATTTTTCATATAGTATTCCTGACTGTATCCTGTAATGTTGGGTACAGTACTCTCCCATACTGGCAATGAATATATTACAAATCATTTACTGAAACAGTAACATACGAATAAGGCAATCATTGACACATCATATGAAAGTCTTCAGAATGCATGATTCTGATAAGACCATGTATCAGAATATTTTGATAAAAAGAGTGTGTCCGAGCTTCAACTAGAGCCTGAAGGACAGTGATGAAGGACACAGGACAGTGATGAAGGTCCGAGGCTGGAGCATTGCTCTATTATGAGCTGGAGACACAAGTGAAGCTGATCGCTGCGATTAGACAGTGCCACTTGAGCAGCGACAGAGCGGTATGTCACTGCGCTCTCACGGGACTACATTCACGAGTATCCACCGTTCTGCATACATTCCACAATATTCTGGTCACAGTCTCACCGTCACCGACGCTCCACGCTCAGCACGGAGAAGGCCCGTGTGCCGCAGCGCATCACTCCTGTTCGGGATGGGGAGGACCAGACCCGGAGCCGTGGATCCGTGGAGCCGTGGATCCGTGGCCGCTTATCCTGCAGCTGAGCTACAGCCGCGTCCAGCCGCAGCTTCACCTCGGCGCCAAGGACATGCCCTCCTCCTCCTCCTCCCGGTGCCGCTCCGGACCAGCGCGAGCACACACACGCGCACCGGGCCCCCGTGCGCGTCTGCGGAGCAGGAGGAGTCACATCCGAGTGTGAAGCATGGAGCTATGGTAGGGGAGAGGAGAGAGGAGCAGAGGGGAGAGGACGTAAGGAGACGAGAGGAAGAGAGAGGACGAGAGGAGACGAGAGGAGGAGAGAGGACGGGAGGAGAGAAGGCGAGATGAGAGGAGACGAGATGAGAGCAGCTGAGAGAGATGGAGCCGCGCTGCCGCAGTGCTCCTCCGCTCTGTCACAACAACACGTCAAGCTGCAGCAAACACCGGAAGTACGGGTGTTTGCAGTTCCGGGAAGTGGGACCAATGTTTCACACACACGAGCTTCGGTAGTGCCATGGATCTATTATATTGGGTAGTGCGCATACCTGGTGCATGCAAGTGCGCTTGGCAGGGTTTCCTCCAGAGGGGAGGATGGGGGGGATCGTTCCCCCCCTAGCCATGGCCCCCCCCTCAATTTTCTTACAGATGCATGTATACAATTCTCACATCATAAAGTGCAAAAACATTATTTTCATTGGGATATATCTGATCTGGCTCACTGTCTAATCTATAATTTAAAACATGATAGTAAAAAAATTACTTACAAACACCAAATCAGAAACTTCCATACAGGAAAAATGTGTTATTCTTTATTCTGAATCGGAGTCTCCTCAGCTGAATAGCGATTCTCTTTTCGCGGTCTTGCAGATTTATTTGTAGCATGATTTTCACTGTATATGAACTTGCAATGTTCATCCTGATTGGCTAAGGAAGAACCAGCGTACTGTGTTCTGCGTCCTGATTGGCTAAGGAAGAACCAGCGTACTGTGTTCTGCGTCCTGATTGGCTAAGGAAGAACCAGCGTACTGTGTTCTGCGTCCTGATTGGCTAAGGAAGAACCAGCGTACTGTGTTCTGCGTCCTGATTGGCTAAGGTGTAATCTCTGTGCAGTGTTTGCTGTACATCACAGCATTCAGACTGACAAATGTAAATCCATGTCTGAGAGCTAGCAGTGTGACTGTAAGTGCTGTATGCTAATGTTCTCCTTGACAAAACCATGGACTAAACCCACAAGATGGTTAGTGCTAAAAAGTTGAACTTCTGGACATGTTGCAACGACGACAGCAAAGAGGAGCACGGTGCGGAACCAGGCCATTGGCGAGGGATTTTCATGCAGCACTAAGCCCATTTCTTTCAAAAAAATTACAATTACAATTTCGATTTCAAGATTTCAAAAGGCTATAACTTTAAAGTAGTTTGATATGAAGGCATATTGTAAATGAGAAATATCTTCAGTATGAACCAAACTTTGGGATGGATGTTGATTCGTAATCTAATTTGCATACTGTGACGTCATCAAGGTGGTGGCCATTTTGGAAAATGTTTATTGTATAAAGATTTCAAAAAGCTGTAGTTTGAGAGTGTATTTTGAGCTCTGGGAATACTGTCAACAGTCAATGTGAAATATCTTTAGTATGAAAACACAATGTTTTCATGAAATAAATTCACTGATCAAATTTATATAGAATATTTTAGCACTGGTCAGCAGCCATATGGAATTGTATTATGTATTAGACCTTCAATGATCAAGATGGCACTGCTTATAGTTTACCAGTCATGAAATCTGCACTTTGGTTTCAATATTACCCTTTCAAAAGACCTGGTGGCATACAGTTTGTCTCAGTGGAAATGAGGCTCCAGAATTCATTGTTTAGAAACAGAGTGATTAAATGAATGGGCTCAGAACTTGTCAGATTGTCTCAACAATAAACAACAAGCTCTTCAACACTTCTGATCCACTTCTATGGATTTTCTTCCTCTCTGCCTTCATCATCATCATCTCCGTCCGTAAAGGCAGATTAACGGTGTGTTTTCTTCCGCGGCTTCTGCCACGTCTCCTGCGTTCCCCGCGGTTGTTTAACCCTGCTGCATTCACCCACATGCCCGGTGTTATGACCCCCCTGTCCCCTTCACCGCGTCCCCTGCCTGGCGTTCGCAGAATGTTTCCACTGCGGCCACACATAGCGGTAAAGAGGCCCGGGTTTTCGGAGTCAGCGGTAAAGAGGTCCGCACATTAAAAGCGGGTGGCCGCTTTATGTTAAAACGTGCATTGTGGCGGCTCATCCCCACGTCTTCTTTCCAATGTTACCGTGAGTAACAGCATAAAGCGGCTATCCGCTTTTAATGTGCGGACCGCTTTACCCCTGACTCCGAAAAGCCGGACCTCTTTAACACGGGGCTACACGGAGGAAACTGTGGGTGACTGTGGACTATTATGACGCGGACTCCTGTCACTAATAATGTCTGTGTCTGCTTCACTGGACACCTGCGTGTCTTCCTCCTCTGAATCTGAGTGAGCCAGTACCAAATACTTCTCTGATCTCTGGAGACCTCTGGCTCTGCTCTGGCTCCGCTCAGAACTACGGCTCCTGCTTCGCGTCGCTGCGCCGCAGGTGTTTTACAAACTCATTTTACTCTAATACTTTGAATATAACCATTCCCACAAAGGCCGCTCATATTAAAGGCACACTAACTCCTCGTGAAAAATATTAGCAAAACCTTACCTTACCTACAGTGAAGCCACATTTTCCTGTTGTCAATATGAAAATCGTGTCACGGTTATTATTATAGATCCATGATCCATGATAAAGAATGGATCATTATGGTGTGACACTGCCCTCTTGTGGACACCAGTGAAAAGCCTTATCCTGCAGCAGTAGCAGGCAACAGTGGGCTTTCTCACAGGCACAAAAAAATCCCAACTGCCAATATATCAAGCATATATCAGTCTGCCTGCATGGATTTCTTTCATACTGATAAATTGTGTTTTTTCAGCTGCCACCTGAAGCCTATCTTAAAGCTTTTAGTACAAGCTGTGCATGATAACAATTTAAAAAACAAAACTTGTCATAAATATAAGGTCACTGATCTGTGATAAACAACCCACAATTGACTTTTCCGTGCAGTAGAATGACTAACAACAACAAAGTCTACTTTGTGAAGGACATGTAGTAGCTATGAGGCAGGTAGCAACTGACCACAAAGACATTTTGGCAGTAAATAATTTCAACAATCGGTTAGTTTTAAACCGACAATCAATAAATCTTTTAATACATCTTGTCTCTTGTAGTCTAATCAAATTGATTTGTTGTATTTCATTTTCCCAACTGTCTGAACTTTATCTCAGGTTTACTGTTTTCTCCTAATCATGAAAGCTTGTGTTTCTCCACAGATCTGTGTTGACAAGACTCAGTGCTGTTCCAGGCTCTCTTCCGGGCTCCAGACCGAGGACCAGGTGACCTCTGAGACCAGGAGTGTGGTCCACTAAACCAATTTGATTTTATTCTGCTTTAACTTGTTTGCACCATGAGCCAAAGCTATTTCCTAGTTTGTGACTTCTTGTCACGCAATGGCAATAAAAGGAATCTGATTCTGATTCTTAAATGTCATGTCAATCGACATTAGTTTTATCTTATCTAAAGTCTGTTGTCCTCTGCCTATCCAAGGTCAGCGTTCCAATAACTCAAGAGTCATAGGCTATATCCACACGAAGACAAAACGCTTATAATTTCAGAAACTTTTTCTGTAAACACGGAGTTAGCTCAGTAAATGTGTGCGTCCATATGAATGTAGTCAATACGCCTGAAAACTCTGTGAAACTATGCCAGACCTGTTGGTGGCGCTGTGACGCAATGACGGGATCAAGCCCAAACTTCCGTGACGGGAACTGGGCATGCGCAGAATTTTGTAAACAGACAACATGGCGAGTGGGCGAGCTGGTACTACATTAGTATGGACGGACGATGAGGTTGAACTGTTGCTTCGGGTCGCACTGGATTACAAAACCAACAAGCTACATTGTTGTTGTCATTATTTTCTGAGTGCGGCGCATGCGTGCTTTAACAAAAGGCGGGGCGATGACGCAAGCGTCTCAGATACATTGCGGAGAGGCAGTAACCACGGAGCGGCATATACGGAGTTTTGAAATCTTTCCACTCTGGGACCTACTTTCAAAAATGTTCGTTTACACCCCCCCAAAACGCCGGCCTCGTATGGACGATACACTGGATTGATAAAGTATTTTTGCGTTTAGGCCTGAGCTTGACTTCGTGTGGACAGGGCCATAGTAAGAAAGAATCTCCTGGGTTATTGAGTCATCCAAAGCAGATGTCTCCTCTCACCAACAAACGCGACCCAGAGATGCTGTACTTGAACCCCTCTCGCCCAATGGGGAAGGCCAGGGCCTTCCTCCAGTCGGACACTGTCCTGTTTTCAATGGCGCAAATGAAAACTCTTAATACATGCCTCTGGTCTGCTGTGGTGTCTAATTTAAAAACCCAACAGTTACAGCAGAGGAGTAAATGCTCTTATAAAGGTCGCACAAAACAGAAAGTGTATCAGAATCAGAATAATTTTTATTGCCACGTAAGTAACAGGAAGTCACAGACTTGGAAATTGCTTTGGCTCAGTGCAACAGTCAGAAAGAGTGAATAAAAAATAAAAGAATAAAAAACACTTCTAAGGAATACATTTAAATTTAAAATGGAGTTACAGTTACTATTTACAATATACAAGTGCACATGGTGCATGGTATACTTTTTCCACGGTCATTGATACGTTTATGTCCGCCATCACTGTCCAGGTGTTTGTAGTAAACTGTCTCTGTAGTGATGGGCCTCCTTGACTAACGTTGGTTGGTTGTTTGTTATGCATCGTGGCCATTTTAGATAGATTCACTGTCCCGTCTCCGTCTCCAGGATCGTAAAAATGCTCCTGAAAAGACAGAATAATCCCTCTTTGAGGGAGGGAAATGCCATCACAATCCCAAGGGGCGTACTTTTGGTCTTTAGAATGTAGCTGAAAATAAAAACAACCATGAGTAATATAGGAACTTTTAAAAATGTGGTGCTCAAACCTCAAATAGAATAATGAAAGTAATGTTTTTTATTAATGCACAAAGGGTTCAGATTAATTTAGACATAGATCAAATACAGAGAACAAAATACCTTGCAAGTTTGCATGGTACTTCACTGTGATTAGCAGCGCCATGATAATTACACCTAAAGACACAAGCACACTTTACCAGCAAAGTCTTGACAATGGCGGCTACAACACATGCTAACACTGAGCTAACGCTAGCAGTGCTACATGAACATGAGCTAACACACCAGCAACATAAGTTATGTTATTTTAAGAACCAGTACTAAAGCTAAAATGAATCTCATTGTTCCAGTTCAGCATTAGTTGTGGTTAAAATAACATAACTTGAACACTTAAATATGCAGTATCGAGTTAATCCTAAGACTGTTGTCTAGCATTTCATAAAAGTATGATGATGAAAACACCTTGGTCAAGAGTTTGAGCCGTTACAATATACTTCAAGGCCTGTTGAGTGTCAGTAAACAACATTTTATTTACAATAAAACCATGTTTTCAAAATCCAGCTACATGTGATCAAGACCACGTCAAGCAGAAAAATGCTGAGAACTGTTGGGTTCAAACTGGATGGATCTGGTTCTAACCTGTGTTCACCCCTGATCGTGTTCACTAGTGTCTGAAGATGTTAAATTAACACTGAATAATGTTTCAGAAATCATGATTCTAGCAACACTGACGAATAATCCGAACTCTGACCATGATCGACTTTCACAGTGTTAAAATGACACTTATAAACAGATATAGGAAAGAAACATGCATGTATTCCCATTGGGGTGATGACTCGGGGCATGGCTGTGGAGGGCTGGTGTGTGCTGCCGGGATCATCCTCTGTTTGTCTGCTGCTATAGTGCTGCTCGTTGTCTCTGGGACCGGTCGGGGTGAGGTGCTGAGCCCGCTGCGGCGTATCATTCAAATGTGATGCGAATTGGATGAATTATTATTTTTATGAAACATTATGATTTATCATAATATACATGGGGTGGGAGTTTATACGTTTTTTCTTCTTCCCACTCCATTTCGAGCTCTTGGAGTGTGCTTTTGAACAACAAGGCCTATGTGAATATAGGTGGTTTTATTTTTTATTTTTTTATTTTTCTTCAGTGCACAGGAGCATTAGTGAATCATGTTCTGTTCTTGTGCTATGTTGTGGGATGCTTGTTGTGTAAACAAATGTGTAATGTTATGGATTCGAAAGAAATAAACAAAAACAAAAAAATAATGTTAAAAACAACTCTGCAATATTTCACCCTGTGTTTTTAACACTCTAGTTTTTGCTGTGTACGGAGTTAAACAAGTACACTTGAATCCGGTATCAGAAAAATAAGTTAAAAAGCTGGAAAACATTGAGCTTTACTGAAATCGCCTTTATGTATAAACAAATATATATATAGCTTAGCTATATGTATACAGCAAAGATCAGTCACCTCCTCTACATGGATGACATCAAGCTGTACGCCAAGAGCGAGAGGGACATCGTCTCTCTGATCCAAATCTCAAGGATGTACAGCCATGACATGGGGATGTCATTCGGACTCGAGAAATGTAGCAGGATGGTGACTCGGAGAGGCAAGGTAGTCCACACAGTAGGGATCTCACTCCCAGAGGGAACAGTAGCAGACGTTGAGGACAGTTACAAGTATCTCAATATACCACAGGCAAATTGTCTAAACTAAGGTTGTTGTATTAATATCAGTAGGAAAATGCTTTATTTTGACACTTCCTGTCTCAACCGGAAGTCGAGTGGCTCGCGCAACATCAGACGGAGAAACGTTACAAAGTGTATGGACGTTTCACACAGATGGTCTAGACCAGGCATGTCAAAGTCAAATACATCAGAGGGCCAAAAAAAAATGTTTGCTACGCGCCGAGGGCCGGACTGGTTCAATGTTTCTCAACATCCAGAGGCAGTGCCGGTGACACCTATTGGCTCGATAAAATATGCTCCAAAGCCAATCCTCATACTGTACATATTAGATGTAATAGACATCTGAGAACATGAAAATAGTAAAAAAAAGAAAAAGCTCAAACTTGGTGAAATGTAAAAGAGCAGTCTGGACCTCTTTTCGGGGCGTTTTTTGATTAAATCTGAAGAATGGATTATACTTTGGGAAATACAAGTGGATATTCTTCTTCAATGAACAGTTACGGAGAGAAAGCGACTAAGCAAGGATGGGGAAAGTCTAATTTGTTGGAGCAGCAGAAGACGAAAGGTAAAAAACAAATACAGACTGATTTATTTTGTGCCCATATTATGCGTTATATATTTTTAATGAAAAGTCTGATATCGTTTACACTTATATATAAATATAGCTGAGAAAATAATGTTTAAAATGATATATAGCTTGTGGCTTATGAAGTTAAAAAAACATCTACTATTGCCAGCAGATGTTTTTTTTCCTCGTTTGCTCCCGCCGGCGGGGGCTAGCGAGCTTAAGGGGTCAATACATTGCCTCAATGGCAGGCAATGTCCCGGGGGCCATAGATAATTCATTCGCGGGCCGGATTTGGCCCGCGGGCCTTGACTTTGACACATGTGGTCTAGACAAACAAACGGTCATAAGAAACTGCATTAATATGGTATAAAAAACAAATACAAAGTTTAGCTACAGTTGAGATAGAGGGAACAAGGTATGGATTGATTTAATTTGTGTAACAATTGTTAAGTTTCTTTAAATGTGTAAAATTAAATAGCAAAAGTAATGTAACCGTTAACAATGTATTTGATGCTAGATAGTATTTGGACATGATTGTAAGTTGATTTTCATTTCTGTTCCTGCTCTTACGTTGGTTATATGAATATATGGAAGGACAAAATATACTTCATTTTAACCATCAGTTCTGGCTTCAACTATACACTCAACTGGACGCTACAAATGGAAACCTTGAACAGGCGACGAGGAAAGCGGCAAATACCTCCAGAGAGCAAGTAGCAGCCAACTCAATGGCAAGAACAAGGCATGGACAATTATCAGCTACGCCCTGCCAGTGATCAGATTCCCTGCAGGAATAATCAGGTAGCCAACGGAACAGATTCAGACAATAGATGTTAAAACTTGCATGCTCCTCACCATGCATGGCAGGTGAGGAGGATCAGTGAGGGGCTGGTGCAATGTGGACCGACTCAGAAATAAATTAAGGGTAAGAAAATGGATGGATGGATGGATATATAATTATATATTATTTTTAGCTAGTTGATAGACTATTAGTTTTGTGAATAAACTTAACACTAACTTGGAAAAAAGTGTTTGAAGAACTAGCATGCATTAAAACTGCAAGTTTGTTGCTACTGCTCTCCGGATTCCAATTTATAATAACAAAATTACAGTAAATATTGCTCAATTGTTTAGATGTTGAAGTTTGACACAAAAGATTATTGAATAATTACAGAGTATGTTTTATTTTTTTCAAAAATTGAGGTTGTGGTTTTAAATATTTGGATATTAAGAAAAATAATAATTTATATTCTAAGGATTCGGGATACAGGCACTACTTTTTCCAAAGTAACGAAATGCTATACGAATACATTTTAGGAAATGTATTCAGTATTCTGGAACGGAATAAGTTTTCAAAGTATTCTACCCAACACTGTACATTAATGTAATCTATTATGTATTTTGATACGTTTCAGCTACTTCTTTAACAACAATTAAACAAGTTCGAACGGGTGTCCCATAAGGTTGTTTAATGCATGTGACATTCTCCCAGCAGGATTAGTACATTCATAGTCATATTTATAATTTTCTGAATCTGAATAAGCTGACAGAAGGGCACGAACTATGACATAAGAAGACGTCCTCAAATCACTGTCTGTAGCGCCCGTGGACTCTTCCATTCAAAGGGGCGACCAAACTACTCTAGCATTAAATGTATATCACCTGCACTTCCACTAATATTTTTGCAGCAGCATTGCCCCAATAAGTAGAAAACCACCGTCAAAATAACTTATGTTCACAGGGAATTCAGGAAAAAGGCTGACATTCTTGTTTGAAGGTGTCGGACCCCCCCTGAGCTGTGCGGTGGTACGGTCCAGGGCGCGCTCTTCACCTCAGCGCTCTTTCCACACACATTTCATCTCTTTAGCGCCTTATTTTTCCCTTTTTAACCCTCAAACCCGCGCTTTTATGGACAATCATGTCTGGCGAGGAGAATAAAGTGTCCGAAGACCTTTTCAAAGACGTCAAATTCTACGTGGTGGGAGACATTGAGCAGGAGGTGAGGGTTTTGGCAGGTTAGCCGATGTTAGCGTTAGCATTTCCCATTAGAAGTCAATAGGAAGTAGGCTAAACGTGCTAGCCGAGAGATTAGCGGGCTAACTTTGGTGGGAAATACTCTAGTTCCTTTTGGAAATGTTTGCATGTGACAATAATACCCCCAGTGCACGAAATCTGCAGCCTCTTGTCTACTGCGTTTTTCATGAGATTGCGACGTTTTTATATGAGCATTAAAGTGTTTAACCAGATGCTAGCTTGAGTTTCTGTGTTGAGGATGTAAGGTGATTTAATTCATTAAAAAAACATATATTTTGACTCTCACTGTTGCAAAAGCTACTCAAGAGCCCTGTACTGTCTGACCTGGCTGTAATACGGATTATCGCAGCTCATGTCAAAGTGTGTGTCCCCTGTTGCACGCTAAACTCATTATTATGCGTTCGTTTTCATGAAGACGTTCTGTTATGGTTTGTTCAAATCTACTGCACGTAGATTTGAACAAAGTTCAAGAACCCCGTGTCGCATCTACACCTTTAGTACACTGTTTACAATTGAACCCTGTGAATGTGGTGGCTTACTTTAAGCGCTCATTCTGGAACTAATGAATAGGTGTCAAATAACGAAATTATGATGAATATTCATATTAACGATATTGGTGAAATTAACTTATCTAGTGTCTGGTCTGTATGCTACCAAGTCACAGAATCAGCCTGGTTAAAAGTTGAAAAGGGACAATAATAATAATGCCTGGGTTGTATAGCTCTTTTGTGAACACTCAAGAACTTTACCGCAATATACATTCACTCTGTATTAACCAGTGATGTTCAGATGAGACATGTGAAGCAGCAACACTTTCAGTCTACTGTGATTGTACATATACCAATGCTTCATAATGTTTCATTTACTCTATGACTACATTCAGTGGCGATTCAGTACATTACAATTTCTCAATTTCCATTACCGCACTATCATCTAAACAAATTTGTTTCATAACATGTGATAGGACCCTGAGCTTTGCAAGCTATATTTGATATAATTATTTATTTTTTTACTTTATATGAAATGATGAAGTAAAAGACCACTGGAGAATACTTTTAGATGTTTTTCCTGTTCCATTTTCAAGTTCTTGCAAATACCAAATCAGCAACACGAGATGTGCGGGTCTTCCCAAACCAGAAAACCACTTTTTAAATCAGTCACATGGTGCAGTGGTTCAGGACTGCTCAATTGTCATCGCTCCCAGTCTGAGCCACACTTCGCTTTGAGGCTTACAGTATTTATGTTGCAAATAAAACCTAAAAAAATATAAATATAAGACAATGTTGTAGCTCAGGGAGTATTTACAGACGTTTGTGTTTGTGTGTAGGTGGTGCAGCTGTTGAAAGCGGGCAGAGGGAAGGAGGTGTCGTACAATGCGCTGGCCACTCACATCATTGCGGAGGACGGAGACAACCCAGAGGTCAGCGAGTCCAGGGAAGTGTTTGACCTGCCAGTGGTCAAGGTGAGGACAGACCTGACCTGCCTGTGGTTGAGGTGTGGACAGTAGGGCTGGGACAACGCGTCGACGTAATCAGTGACGTCGACGCAAAAAATACACCGACGTATAATATGCGCGTCGGTGCGTCACACACAAAACAAAGATGGCGGCGAGCGGTAGCAATGCAAGTGTCGTGTTAGAGAAGTGCAAGCCGGTGTAACGCTGAGATACACTGCCTTGAAGAGATGCACAGCCTCAGCTGTTTATCATGTAATGCAAACCTGCGCATGCGCGTCTCACGGCAGCCGAAGCAAACCAAGATGGCGGACCGTGAATTTCTTTAAAAGCTAAAATACGAACGAATTCAGACACAAATGTCACTTTTAATGCAATTTGAGGCGATATGTTGATGGTTCCGTTTTGTCACATGTGGGTTTTAAGAGTCAAAGTTTCGTGCAAAGTTTAGTTTAAGCAGTCAACTGCGCCTGTGAAACAACAAAGCTAATGTTTTCATAGCAGTCCCCGGCTGCTGACGTAGGCTGATGACGCGTCCTGTGGCCACTCTACACTCTTATGTAGCCATGACAGGCTGATGGCTCCCACTGTTTTTGCTGGAAAAGCACTCTTTGTTTAGCTTAAAGCCTTCAAGTTTACATTGGTTACTGTTTTCTTTTATTTGCTCTACACAAGTATTTGGCTGAACTTTTTCATATTTTTATTGAATGCTAAGCATCAAATGTTTGTTTCAAGAATGATAAGATGCACTTTTTTTCAGTAAGCTGTGTTTTCAAGGCTTTAAGGTTTTATGCTACCTCTAAGAATGTCTTATTTTTTAATTTTAAGAGCAAGCAATACATATTTTTTGTGAAGGAATTCATGTTTTTTTCATTAAAATATTTAAATCAACATGTATACATCAATATTAGTCAATTAATGGGGAGATAATCGAGAATCGAAGCGAAAAAAATAATCGTTAGATTAATCGATGCATCGAAAAAATAATCGCTAGATTAATCGTTTAAAAAATAATCGTTTATCCCAGCCCTAGTGGACAGTGTTTAAGGACCAACGTTAACACTAGTAAAGCAGGCATTTGTATAATGTATATTTTAATTCTATGTGTGTGTGTATTTTTTAGCCATCGTGGGTGATTCTGTCAGTGCGCTGTGGGGACCTGCTGCCGTATCCTTTTCATTGCAGTTAAATAATCAAAGTAAAAGAACCGTGTGAACAGTTTGGTCTTAACCACAGATCAGGGTGACGGGCTTCTCGCCGGAGTCTGGACAGATCTTCTTTGGGGTCACTGCTTGTCTCCCGCGGGTGAGTGCCTGTGTGCAGTTTCCCTCAATACAGATAAAGTACAGAAGAAAAATAAATGTGTTTTTTTAAAAACTTCTATATCAGCACTGTGAATGGGTTAGGGTGTATGTATTTGTGTATCCCTAAATCACAATCATCAAGTTTGTGTAGCCCTAAAAGGAAAATAAAACAGTCCCAACACATGAAATTCAATAATAAACACATAGGATCCTGTGGCCCTTAGGGATCACCTCTGTCCAGAAATGTCAATAAATGTGCAGATATGTCCTGGATCATCACTGACCGTAGACCAGGGGTCTCCAACCTGTTGCTCGGGAGCTACCAGTAGCTCGCCAGCCCCTTTCAGGTAGCTCCCCAAAGGATTTAGAATGTATCACATGATCTTGAATGATTCACTTTTGAGTCATTACACATCTATTATAAGTATAAATGGTATTTTTTCTGTTATCTATGTTTTGTCGTAATTATTACATAGACTTCTATTATGACCACGAAAAGGTGTAGCTCTCTGCCTCTTCTGATTTATAAAAGTAGCTCTCCGATTGAAAACGGTTGGAGACCCCTGCCGTAGACCCTCCTGCATTGGTAAGAAACCATTTAGAAACAGTGGGAAAAAGTAAGAAACCTGTGAGAGGCCCATGTTGAGAGAGGAATTCACTCCATGGACAGACGGACTGTAGATCCAGGACTTAGAATATAGACCCAGGACTAGGACTGAGGCTCTCCAGTGCAGAGACAACTCCTTTGTACCATATGAGTATGAGTATGAGTTTGGTGGCACCAGTTCAAACACTCCTGTTTTTTTGTGCAGATCCCTGAGGACCTGAATGCACTCTGGGCCTTCGTCACATTTCATGGAGGCAGCTGTCAGCTCAACCTCAACAGGAAAGTCACTCATTTAGTGGTGAAGGAACCAAAAGGGGTGAGTCCTGCACACAGCAAAAATGTTAGAAACGTTTTTTTACTAGTTTGTATAATAGCAGTGGACTGACAGAATGAGACATCACTGTTATTATTCGCTTTAATGCAGAAGATGCCGTTTTTTAAGCCCAAAATGTTTAGTCTTGACACGAACGGTTACTGAAGTATGTAAGTTCAGATTTCTCAAAAAGCAGAGAAGTGATAACACTCCGTAATCTAAGTGTAATGTTTTATTAGGATCTTTTTGTTCCATTATTCTCAAACCTGTGTTTCTCAGGCGAAGTATGACTGTGCTGTGAAACACGCTGGTATCAAGATCGTCACTCCGGACTGGATCACAGACTCTGTCAGAGGTAAGACACGTGTGCAAAGTTCTAAACACCCATTGGTTTCAGTAGCCTTGTTTCCAGCAGCCATACTCTGCTTTGTGGGGCGTTCAGACCACTGACACTTGAACACAACTTCAATGCACACTTGACACCTGTGTTGTACCAGTTCACAGCTTTTCTGAACTAGTTAAAGTTCAGTTCATCAGTGGCGGACCCTCAAGGCCTGCAAGGCCTTCGCTGCTGGCCTAAACGTGATTACATACATATGTTTTTCATAATATAATTTTTTCTTAATATTATTATTTGTTTTCTATGTTTATTTTTTCACAAACTACGTTGGTTGCGCAGCTTCCAACTTCAGGTCGACATTTGGGAGGTCTGCCGTCTAACAGAGTTTTTATCCAATCATTGCTCAGCATCATGTGTTGCTATGGCCCAAAATCTGCCTCTGGGCCTTCAGAGTCTACATTGCTGGCCCCCGGTAGTCAATGAAAACAAACCTGTGGCATTAACCAATCAGTTTCAACTCTGTTTCCTGAGGTCCAGCAAGCTGGCCCTGCGCGGCGTCAGAGCATGCACCTCTCCTGATCTACGTTCATGTGATAAACGGAAATAAACACAAATGCTAATATGAATAGCACAAGTTTTAGTTTTTCAACCCTCTACGGCTGAAGGAGGTGAATATATTGTTCTCGAGAAAAAACAGAGACAGAGGGACCAGGAGAGCCAGGACTAGGAGAGCCAGAGACAGAACATTAAAACTCACATGCAATACTTATATTGTAGTTTGACTTTCCCACATTAATGCTCAAAACTGGGTCCTGAACAGTGTTGGGCACGTTACTTTGAAAAAGTAATTAGTTATAGTTACTAGTTACTTCTCCCAAAAAGTAACTGAGTTACTAACGCAGTTACTCCACTATAAAAGTAACTAGTTACCAGTAAAAGTAACTATTGCGTTACTTTTTCGTTTTGTTCTGGAACATAATGTGCACCCGACGTGCGCATTTTTACCTTTAACAGTGCCAATATTTCCATCTAGAAAAGGCTGTTTTGCTGCTGAAGTCCTGTTCACTCTTCATTTCTCACTGTGCTGTAAGCACTAAACACCAACACCCGCCACTGTGAATGTGGAAACACCGGTGAAGCACTGACTTCAGCCCAATCAGATGAACATATATATCATATAAATCAAGTGGACAATTTGTTTGGCTACAGCAAAATATGTTTTATGCCCGCATTGTTTGTTCATACAAAACGCAAAAGTATGAGTTATGGGTCTTACCTTATAGCTATACCTTATGAATGACCTGCACAGTCCACTTCGGTTCAGACCAGTTCCTTATTTAAATCCAGTGAATGGTTTGAGCGTAGATATGTAATCCTCCATTTGGAAATGAGTCCAATGAGTTTTAAAAAGTAAAACAAAACGCGTGTGTCCTCCATAAACTCCTGTGTTTTGCTAGCGGCAGCCGAGTGCATCCAATTTCTAAAATCAACCGTCTTACACTTCACCTCTCTTTCTTATCATTCCTATAGTCATTGAAAAATTACCCTAAGTGCATTTTAGATTATCTAAAAATGTGTTATATGTATGTTAGCCAAACCTGTTGCTGTCCTTAGCAGATAAACCAGGAAGAGCAAGGAGCTTATCGATGGAATTGTATGCAGCCGACTTCTGCGCTCGCATGCGCTCCTCTGTGGCTGACCTCACGGTGATACAAGCCGTGGTTGAGCGCGATTAAGACCCATATTTGTTTCAAAAACACAATTTATGAGCCATCCTCTCAACTGTAGACATGTAGATTGTAAAGGAAATATGTTTTACATCAGCCAATAATTGCTGAGAGGTTTTCTCATCCTCCCTTCTCTCATGACAACACGTTCATTGTGCGTCTTGAGTAACGCGCAGTAACGGGATGTCGGAAATGATAACGGCGTTATAGTTACAGTCAAAGTAATTATTTAGATTACTCGTTGAAAAAGTTGAAAAAAGTAACGCCGTTATTCCCATCACTGGTCCTGAATGGTCGTGTTGCACTCGATCATGTTCTCAGATAATGTCAGAGAAGAAAGTTACGCAGAGTGTGTAGTTTGTCACGCCTATCTCCGCCGTTCAAACAAATGGGCCAAAAATTGTGCTCTACTGGAGCGATCCAAAATGGCCGCGAGTGGTCCCACCAACAAGAAAATTGTGAAAAAATGCATCCGCGCATGCGTCAGCCGGGGAGAGCTCCATTCATTTAACAAGTTACTTCAAAAATTCACAGCAACTAAACTAGAGTGGTCCAAAAAAATTCACCCCCCTCAGCATTGACACAGATGTGGAACGGAGCTTTGGGCCAAGAGCCAACTTTTGGACCATTCTGTAAAGGTGTTTTCGATTTTTATTCCGGGTCCACCCCCATACAATACAATTTATTCTTGTATAGCCCTAAGTCACAACAGAAGTCATCTCAGAGGACTTAACAAAACCATTGAAATCACCAACACAGGTCAGAGAATCAACAGTTAAAACACATGAAAAATATAAAGCACACACAGAAGAAAATGTCCATACATGTTGTAGAATGTTAAAGTGTTGGCTACCCCTCTGGCTCCGCCACTGGTCTGGTGATACATGATTTAAGCGGCACCAGCAAGAATACTGGAGGGAGGAACTTTCTCTCGTTGCGTTTCAAAAGAGAAAAAGGATTTGGAGTTTGTTTTCAATAGAAAACAAACTCCAACGTTCAACGAACTGGTTTACTCACAACACTGCTGGACACACATTCACTAAATTTCAGACGCAGAATGAAGTGGCAGGCGGACTTTGATGCTAACGAAGTTTAGCTAGTGGCTTTTTGTGTAAAGTTCTTCAAGAATTCAGCTCTGCAGCATCACTGTGTCCAGAGACCTTTCAGAGACTTCATGTAACAGCAGTATGTGTTCACGGAGGTGCGCCATAAGTTTATTTCATTATTAATCTTTACTTCGGCATTGACAAACACATTAGCCACCCTTATTTACAGTCACGAGAGAATGAGAACTTAGGCCCAAGGCATATGTTCACAAGCACTGTGTCCCCCTGGTTGTCAGTCCTGGTTTAGTCCTGGTTTAGTCTTGGTTTAGTCCTGGTTTAGCTGTTTACGAGTATCTTCAGTCTGCTCGCTTAGATCGCAAGTGACCCCATGACCACTTTGCGTACAATCAAATGAATAGGGCGCCATCTTGGATCACCAGGGATTGGCTCTACTCTACTAAACTCTTTTCTATTCTACTCAACTGTACTAAACTCTACTCGGCTCTTCTCTACACTTCCCAATTGGGCTTCATTGAACTAGTGGGTTAGCATTGTTTATCTGTATACAGTTTATGGTAAATTCCAGCCCTCTTTTACATATGTGGCTTCATCATGTTTATGTACATTTCCTGGTGTTTTTTAAAGCTTTTGCTTTATTAAAACGACGTCTGTTCTGTCTGCAGAGAAGAGCCGTAAAGATGAGGTCCTGTACCACCCTCGCCTCACCTACACAGAGCCGGAAAGCGAGGACGAGTCGGACCGTTCCAGCTCCAGACATTCCCCTGGCTCTAGCTCAACAGAGTCCAGCCCACGACGACGGCCCGGTCCCAAGAAGTTCAACTCTGTGTCCCCCCCACCACGCAAGCCAGAGCGCCGCTTAGAGGTCAGACCCTGCAACGTCAAAACAAACACATTCAACCGTTCCATCACTGTTCCTCATCAGTCACAGACCCGCATTTTTATTGAGATCCGTACATTCATTAAGTTCTGACACAAACATGAAGCTCTGCCCCTTATACCTAAATGCTCCTGTCTCAGTCCTTGCAGTCATTGTACCACTATGACATCACACCCAGAGAGTTAGAGAGCTCAGAAAGAGGGATGTAATATGGACTAATTTCCTTATTAATGTAATCGCTTTACTTTGTATGACGTAAAGAGTAAGGGTTGGGCTCACACAGCAGATCTTAGGTTTGCCTACTGGAGCTGGGGTGAGTAAGTAAAACACAACCAACAGTAACGGTGTGGTTATGGTACCATATATTGTGAAAGGAGAAATTTACATATTCACAACAGGGGAAAAAATATTTACACCATTTACAAGATTACTGCAGTATTTTGATTAGAGTGCACCAAGTTGTTATAAAGTTCGTTGTGGATCAACAACCGTAGTCCATGGAATAAGAAAACAAAAATATAATCCAGCAGTTGCCAATGACACCCCACAAAGTATGCTAATATGTGGGTATGTGTCAGTAGTGAGAGTGGTGGGGGACAGGCTGTGTCAGCCTCCTACCGGACCAGGGTTGCTCCAAGATCGTCTCAGCTCGCCATCACGTCACCCAGTATAGTCCACCTGGCCTGTATTAATAAACAGGACCAGTAAGTACCAGGAAACTATTCACTAATTAGTTCATATTAAAGTTTAAATTCATGTGCACACAGTATACACCAATGCATCAACAACAGTTAACTATAGTTATAAATCACAACTAAGTGCACTTAACTATTGTTTTACATTTTAAATCACATCATATAAAAATCATAAAATGGGTACATGTAATATACATTGCCAGCATGACAACATACACAGAGCTAACTCGCTAATGCTAACGCAATGGGTTATGCCGCTAGCTTAGCACATTTCACAACAACACACATCCAACTCACCAATTCCCAGCGTATGCCCAGCGCGATGGCGGCACAAGACTCCCCGCGGCCCAGTAGTCAGCTCTAAAAGTGGTATTTCAACACTTAACTTATAGCAAGGCACAATGATAACCCGCAAATATTTTCCAATACGAACCTGTCCACAGCTGTCATCCAGCCTCCCCACACGCGTCTGAGTGAGAGGGCTGCACACAGGTGGACCTAATCGTTCTACTCGCGCTACCATTGGCTGCGGAGGTCACGTGACGATTGCATCGCAAATACAGCGATTTAATAAAAAATAAATAGCGGGGCAGCAGGGATAATATTAATATACTACACACATAAATAATTGTTTTCAATATAAGTATGCATATATTAATAATATTCAGGTTTTTCCACCAGGGTTACAGGGAGCACAGAGAGATACTCCGATGACGTCAGTTTTTTTCTGGGAGGCTGATTTTTTTTTACCCTTCATACTTGTTTCACCATATTTTTCTACTGAAGATATTATTTCACATTTCTAAAACATGAAATGACAAAGTGGGCAACAGTAGCTCAGTTGGTAGAGCATTGGCCTTTGGACTGGAAGGTCGTGGGTTCGAGCCCACCTCGGGACCTACTCCAACTGCTCCCACTGATGTCTGCTGTTGTTGTGTCCTTGGGGAAGACACTTAACCATTGCCTGAAGCTCCCGCTGAAACACCAAGGCTAAGGCACCACTAATGTAGCAGCCATCTTCCTGTGGACTCACCACTGGATTCACTAACAACTAGGGCTGTCAAAATTATCATGTGAATTACATTTTTCATTAACGCGTACATTTTTTTTAAACGCATGTTCGAATGACCCGCCCATTTATCCATAATATCACCCAGAATGCGTTTGTGAGATGGCAACAGAGCAGGTAGGCCCTCTGGGAATTCAAGTTTTAAAAGAATACACACCTGACCGCGGGGCTGTTTGCTGGGAACTGAAGTCCGCCCCCCGGAGCACACCCCGGGGGCAGCTGCAGCCGCTCTGGTTGTTGTTAGCGAACCAGAGCAAATGCCGCAGCGGTCGTTAGACCATACACACACGGAACTACTGCATGTTGTGTGCTTGTCTTTAAAACTTGTGCGTAACCTGTGCACGCAAATATACCGCGGAAGTTTCCGTGTCTCCCCCTGAAACTAAACTCAATTCGCTAAATTAAAGCTGGGGTACGTACATTTTCCCCTTTCATTAACACTAGGACCGCCGCGCTCTAAATATACCTTGCACTGCCCCCTGCGGTCAGTTGACCGCTATGTATTTTGCGCTGATACAGCCTTTTGCCAAATTGTTTGTTCACTAAACCAGAACATGATGTTGCAAGGAAATCGTGATCATAATGAAACTGTAAATTATTTGTCTAAATATACTAAGTACTTGTAATTCTAGCCGAAATAAAAGGCTAAGACGACACATTGTGCGTAAACTGATCCATCAAAATTACAATGGCTTTTCAGGCTATAGATTTATTTTGTAACTTTGCAAACACCTAAAAGGTTGGTCACTATATGTTAAATTTGCCTCAGTAACAATATGTAAATTCAAACAATATAAATGATAGTTTAGAAAAGCACGGGACCATAACGTCTTCGCGCTGCTATATGCGTCTAGTTCTTACGTCATCTCCAGACTGTTTTATCTTTCCAGCCGAAATCACCGTGGGAAATATTATATAGATAATAATAATAGTATTCGTATTGACACAAGATCATCAGCTAGGCTTCCATCGTCAATGTAAAATCTTCAATTTTACACGGGACACGTTAGAAAGACATGTATATATATATATATATTTGTATTCATTTGAGACAAGCAGTGCTCTTTATGATCAGAACAAAATTATAATCATTGCCTTGCAGTGCGCGCTGTACAGAATAACACACAGTGTTATCTGGATGAAATAAGAAAGATATCCTTATTGATATGATATGAGGGCCGCTTCTGCCTCACAGTCGCTCTCCTCCTGCAGTGTCCGCGGGTTACGAGAGGCCTCACAGCGCTCTATCCGCACTCTGCCTTGATAGTTCATCTAATTGTTCTATTTTATTGCGATATTGTATTCTGCTTTATTGCCTTCTTCTATGTATAAATATAATGATGTAATTGATGATGAATGAAAAGGCAGAATGGAGCGACAGCGCGCACACAGACACCTGCGTATGGCTGGCATTACGCGGGTCATGTGCGTTATTGCTTCTGGACTTGTTACAACACTGCTGTCCGTGCCGTGAATGCACTATGGGTTTACGTTCAGATTTAGAATATTATAGGTGTTCTCTCCGCTGTCACTTTCCACCTCAAAATGTGACATCTCACCTCTGTCAGACTGTTCTCATTCACTGTCAGGGCTTCATACCGTGTACTTGCTGCTCTATTCATTTTGTACTCCTCTCAATTCAAAACGCTTTCTCTCTCCCAAATAATAAAAAAAAAAAAAACTCAAGTCCCTTTAGAGTCTAATGACAACATATTGATACATTTTTATAAGGCGCGAAAAAGCCCCGGGAAAGGTTACTATGACAACAGTCGCCCCTGCGCCATGTATCCCTATGGGGCAGCAGAAAGGGCTGTGGTTTAGAAAAGTTAAAATGCGTGTAAATCTTGTTTTCTTTATTTTTTCCAAAACCAAAACACCAAAATATAGACAAGTACCCAGTAAAAGTCATAAAATTTCACCTTCTGGTGTTTTGTTTTGAATACACTAATTAGCATATTAAAGTGAGTGACGGTCAGTTGACCGCTAGGGGCGCTCCTAGTGTTAACAGCTCATTTTGGTTGTGCCCAAAAGTATAAGGTTGTGAACAAATCAAACAGATTTAAGTACATTTGGTCTGAATGACAATGTGCCATTACATTTGATAATTTCATTTAACTTCAATTGGAGTGGATTTGAAATAGAATGTTAAAAATGCGATTAATCATGAGTTAACTCACCATTACTATGCGATTAATCAACATTTTAATCGTTTGACAGCCCTACTAACAACTTTTATTTGTCCCACAGTGTAGACATTTCAAACAGAAAATGCAATAATGACAATGATAGGAGCCATTGGTCCATAGGAAGCGGGATGACCACTGTCCAAAAATGTTAATAAACTTTCACAAATGCATCTGCAAAGAACCACTCAGAAAACTAGTGGGGGGTAAGTGAGAAAACTCAGGGAGGCCCATATTTAGAGAAGGATCTTCCCCCTGTCCAACAGCCTCATTCAATTCCTTATGTACCTGTGTCTCTTAGCGCATGTTTGACGACTCTGATGACGACTCGTCCACGGAGAAGGAGGGTCTGAACCTGAACTGGACCCCCGCTGAGGTGACTCCAGGCCTGGGCACAGTGCGGAGGAGAGCTGGGCCCCCAGGGACCAGAGACCAGACCACCTCCTCCACCACAGCAGGAGGCGTAGGTCCAGGGGCCAGCGAGATGATCAACCTCTGCAGCTCTGTGCCCGTCCATGCCCCCGGAGCAGGAGCAACTGAGGGAAGGCCTGCTGCGACCCCCACAAATCAGGCTCCTCCTCCAGGTAACCACACCCACCTCCAGTAACCACACCCACTATCTAGGCTCCTCCGCCAGGTAACCACAACCCTGAACCAGGCTCCACCCAAACCCCGACGATCCAAGATGGCGCCCTATTAAAATCAATGGCTTGTGCTCGCATGTGCCACCATGGGCACTGAAATATTAGCTTAACTTGCCCATGATACTTTGCGCCACATACGCGCGTGTGTCTCTTATGCACTTGCACAGAGCGGCATGACGCGCCCTGACCAAACAGGTGTTGCTGATCAGAGCGGAGCTAGAGCAAAATAGAGCAAAATATTTAAGAATAAAAAAGTTCAGGATGACAAGGGACACTAAAATCCCCACAAAATCCAACCTTTATGAAAGCTGTAGGTTCTCTGTCAGCTGAGGTTGAGCTGTTTTAGTTTACAGTGCCTTGCGAAAGTATTTGGCCCCCTTGAACCTGTCAACATTTCGCCACATTTCAGGCTTCAAACATAAAGATATAAAAATAATTTTTTTTGTCAAGAATCAACAACAAGTGGGACACAATCGTGAAGTGGAACGAAATGTATTGGATAATTTAAACTTTTTTAACAAATAAAAAACTGAAAAGTGGGGCGTGCAATATTATTCGGCCCCCTTGCGCTAATACTTTGTAGCGCCACCTTTTGCTGCAATTACAGCTGCAAGTCGCTTGAGGTATGTCTCTATCAGTGTTGCACATCGAGAGACTGGAATTCTTTCCCATTCTTCCTTGCAAAACAGCTCGAGCTCAGTGAGGTTGGATGGAGAGCGTTTGTGAACAGGAATCTTCAGCTCTTTCCACAGATTCTCGATTGGATTCAGGTCTGGACTTTGACTTGGCCATTCTAACACCTGGATAGGTCTATTTGTGAACCATTCCATTGTAGATTTGGCTTTATGTTTTGGATCATTGTCCTGTTGGAAGATAAATCTCCGTCCCATTCTCAGGTCTTTTGCAGACTCCAACAGGTTTTCTTCCAGAATGGTCCTGTATTTATCTCCATCAATCTTCCCATCAATTTTAGCCATCTTCCCTGTCCCTGCTGAAGAAAAGCAGGCCCAAACCATGATGCTGCCACCACCATGTTTGACAGTGGGGATGGTGTGTTCAGGGTGATGAGCTGTGTTGCTTTTACGCCAAACATATCGTTTTGCATTGTGGCCAAAAAGTTTTTGGTTTCATCTGACCAGAGCACCTTCTTCCACATGTTTGGTGTGTCTCCCAGGTGGCTTGTGGCAAACTTTAAACAAGACTTTTTATGGATATATTTGAGAAATGGCTTTCTTCTTGCTACTCTTCCATAAAGGCCAGATTTGTGCAGTGCACGACTGATTGTTGTCCTATGGACAGACTCTCCCACCTCAGCTGTAGTTCATCCAGAGTGATCATGAGCCTCTTGGCTGCATCTCTGATCAGTCTTCTCCTTGTTTGAGATGAAAGTTTGGAGGGACGGCCGGGTCTTGGTAGATTTGCAGTGGTCTGATACTCCTTCCATTTCAATATAATTGCTTGCACAGTGCTCCTTGAGATGTTTAAAGCTTGGGAAATCTTTTTGTATCCAAATCCGACTTTAAACTTCTCCACAACAGTATCTCGGACCAGCCTGGTGTGTTCCTTTGTCTTCATGGTTCTCTCTGCGCTTTAAACAGAACCCTGAGACTATCAAAGAGCAGGTGCATTTATACGGAGACTTGATTACACACAGGTGCATTCTATTTATCATCATCAGTCATTTAGGACAACATTGGATTATTCAAAGATCCTCACTGAACTTCTGGAGTGAGTTTGCTGCACTGAAAGTAAAGGGGCCGAATAGTATTGCACGCCCCACTTTTCAGTTTTTTTATTTGTTAAAAAAGTTTTAACCAATGAATTTCGTTCCACTTCACGATTATGTCCCACTTGTTGTTGATTCATGACAAAAAATAAAAATTGTATATCTTTATGTTTGAAGCCTGAAATGTGGCGAAATGTTGAAAGTTTCAAGGGGGCCGAATACTTACGCAAGGCACTGTACATTGAGTTCTATGGGGATCATTTTTGGGCTCCACCTCAAGGTAACCACAGACTTCTATACAGAGATATTTTAAAAGTAACTAGAATTGTAAACTTCATAATGTATCTAAAACTGTTGTTCAAAATGTATCGCAGTAGTTGTGTATTCAGTCCCAACGCAGTGCTCTGCACTCTGCCCCTTTACACAGAAATGAAAATGTGATGGTGTCTCTATGCTTGGAAACTAATGTGTCAAACATGCATGTATAGCTCTAAAACAGTGCAGTGTGTGCATGACGGGGAAGCATGGCTAAAGTTTCAACTCCTTCATTAGGAGCTATCCCTGGAGGTCCTGAGGCCATGCCCGGCTGGAGTCCTGCTGCTCGCACTCTGAGGAACATCACCAACAGCTCCGAGCGCCCAGGACCTATGCTTCATGTGAGATCACCAGATCTGCTTCTACTCTCTCTGGCTTCAGAACATTTCATTACACAATTGATCATTTTTTAAAGATTGAAGAACTGAAAGATTTCAGTGGAGCTGTGAAGTTGTGGTACTTGTTAAACTTGTCTCAGCGTTATTTTCATCTGGTATCAAGTGAGACTTTAGGGTGTCTTTGTGCTCATGGCCACATGTCACCCGATCAGGGAAACCTCAAGTCTAAACATACAAGAGTGTTGGGAGACAACAGGTTCATGATGAAATAAGATTGTCAAAACTTAGTTATAAAGATGTCGAGGCCAACACCTAATGTGTCATACACTCAAAAACTATTTCCAGATTTCACTACTTCATTGAAATTAACATTTAAAATAATCCAGAGTTTAGGTTGTAGATCCAGGACTGAGGCTGTAGACTCCAGGACCAAGTCTATAAGAGTCTATAGAGTATAACAGCACTCCCCCCTCTGCACCAAAAAGTAGAGGGTGCCATCATTGTTATTTGTTTTTATTTTCACAGTACTTTAATTGTAAACTTCTAAACTACTTTTGTTGTGTGCAATTTCAGCCTAAACTGTCGGGTCAGCCTCTTCCAGGAGATCCTCCCCAGGCTTACCCTGTGCCCCAGCAGCAGTTCCCTCCTCAGGGCACACATCCACAGCATCATCCCCATCACCTCCAGAGCCAGCATCACATCATGCAGCTCCAGCAACAACAACAACAACAACAGCAACAGCAGCAGCAGCAGCAAGCACAAGGCTTCCCTCACCCCATGCCCCAACAACAGCTGCAACTGGCACAACAGCAGCACCCTATGTCACAGCAGCACCCACACCCAATGGCTCAGGTACAGAGTTTGACCCATTCAGGCCTGACACACCTGGTAAAGCATGCCTGTAAAGCCAATAGCTGACTTTAGAACCACCCTCTAAAACCTGGAGTTTTCCTGAAATTCAACGTCTACAAAATGATTGATATCTGAGCTTCTGTAGCAGATAGAAACATAATTCCAAAATAATTTGAGAGCTGAAACCTGTGGCTTTCAATAAGAATGGAGAGTATTATTATAAACCTTAAAAGATATACAACTTCCACACAGGAAAGATAATAAAACAACCAAAGAAAATGTGAGAAAAACACATACTTCTCAATACAATAAGTTAACAAGAGTGGCACTATGTGTAAAAAATAAAATTAAAAAATCCACTCTCAGCCCAAAAAGTCAAATAATTACTCAAAGGGCTCTTTCTTAAGAACAGGGTTCGTACAGATCCTTGAGTCAGGAAAATGCTTGAATTTCAATAAGGTGTTTTCAAGGTTTGAAATGTGCTTGAATTTTGAACCGTGTGCTTGAAAATGCTTGATCTTCTCAAATTGTACAGTGTTTTAATATAACAGGAAATGGCATTCAGCACTCAAAAAAAAAAAAAAATTAGACTCCATCTCCATGAAAATGTTGCTCCCGTGTTTTCATGCGTGTTACCAGAGAACTCCACGGCTCAGTGACAGTGCGCCTGTATCACTGCTGACATTAGCATGCCAAGTTGGAAATGATAAGTACAAAGTTTGGTTATGTCTGAGATGAGAAACATAGATACTGCACGATCTGTAAAAGGGACATCAGGGACATACAATGGGTGGCACTTTCAGCCAAAGGTAATTGACAAAGTTATTGCTATCCTACAACATGAATAACTAACACTAGCCAAGCCACCTAAGATATGTTTATCCTGAGGTAATGTTGGCTTGGGGTTTATGGTCTAAAAGCGATATTAGCCTACACCAGTCCTTCTCAAATAGTGGGGTGCGCCGCTATGTAGTGTAGAGAGCGGCTCTTATTTTTTGGAGCGACCCACTATCCCCGGCTTTTAAGTATATGGTCTGGGGTGATAAATTAATTGATGCATTTCATTTGATAAGCTGTCTGTAGCTGAAGTTGTTTAAAGTAGAGACTGGGAGACTGGTGTGCTCCCAGTCAGGGTCACAGCATGTTATTTCGGTGAATTCTACCCAAGCCCCGATGATTCAAGATGTTTTCCTTTTCAAATGAATGGCTTGTGCTCAGTAGCACATGGGACATACACGGGGACCAAAAGATTAGCGGAACTCGCCCATATTTGGGCATTGTCTGGTCTTCCGGGTTCTGCACAGTTGATTATCTCCCATGATGCGTTGCGCCAAATGCGCGTGTGTGGCTCTCATGCACGTGCACAGAGGGGCTCGGCCGCGCTCTGACCAATCAGAGCTGCTGATCTGCGCAGCTGTAGAGCGGAGCGAAAGCGGGAAGGAAACAAGCAGAGTTTGTGGCAGTAAAGTGTGGATTTAAAGAAAACTGAAGGATTTAAGAAGGAAAAAAAGTTCAGGACGACAAGGGACACTAAAATCCCCACAAAATCTTTATGAAAGCTGTAGATTCTCTGTCAGCTGAGGTTGAGCTCTGAGACTTTTTTTTGGGTAGCCCACGTAAATATAGTCTGCACTACCACACACGGTGCCCGTGTGTGGGACATGTCAGGAATGAACCAGACAGAGACGGATCGTGGTGCGCCAAACTCTGGAAGTTTATTTAAGTTTCTCTCAAGTTCCAGTGGTTTCAATTGTTTCTTTCTCTCAGACAAAATGGAGTCAGTACACAGTTTATATAGTCATTGTCACGTCACACATCGAAAGACATACGTGTCACACAGAGACAGTGCACATCATAGTCAAAATAATCAGAGTCCTTGTATAGTTATGCACGTAGGCCATATTGCTATCTAATACTAACAGACAGCTATAAGCTAGTAATACACTATCCAGTTATTATTATAGATCCATGGGAATACCACAAAGCTTTCTCTGGCCAAAGCCAATCAAATTTAAGTCAATTTAAAATGTTGGTTCCTTGAAACAGTTCCCATTTTATCTAGAAAATGCTTAAAGTGCTTGAATTTCACACTTCAAAAGCTGTCCAAACTTTGTAAGTAAGCAAAATAAAAAAAGACTGTTGTGGTTTGTTCTGTTTGATTTGTTCACAGCATTTTACTTATGTGCACAAATAACATGCATTGTCAATGCAAGCGAAAATGTTGCTACATCAGCTTTAATTCAGTGAGTTTTGCTTAAAGTTCGGGAGGATACTCGGGGGAGTCATGGGGGAGGGAAAGGCCTGCAAGTGCAACAAGCTGGGGATACTCCTGTATGCGCGTTATGGTTCTGTCCGCGCTTGATACATGACCACGTTACGGCTGTACGTTCGCTAAGCTGTTGTCAAAGCGGCTGTGATTACAAAGCGGCCACAGTTGCTCAGAATGGAGGATGTGGAATCCTGTTCGAGTACGTAACGCAAACAACTCGCCGCGTTAACACATTTCTGTGAAATCCACACACAATTCCCATCCCTGGTATATCTTGATGCATTTCATTGGTCCAGAGAATTGAAGAATTAAGAGAATTGGTCAAAAAAGATAAACAGACGTGACAAGGTAGAAATGCAGGAACGCGTTCCCGGCCTCAATGGGTTCAGGGCGTCTTACGTCCTGTTTCCACCAACAATACATAGCCCTACTCTACTCAACTCAACTCTGTTCTAACGTGGCTCTACTCTACCCGGTTGTGTTTTTATGCTTCAGTACCTGGTACCATATCCTAGCAACCTACCCACAACAAACCAGTATCCAAGGAAATTCCCTGGCAACCATGGCCGCCAGCAGCACTCTGACCAATCACTGTCAGTTAGAACACTTAACTCATTGACTGCCATTGACGTATTTGTCTGAGACCCTCTATTCGACCGGGGATTACAGGACAATAAAAACAGCTAGAAACAAATTTATTTTTGCTGATTAAAGTAGACAATCCAGTCTTTCAGAATCTGGTTTCATATTTCACATAGTCCTAGGAAATAATATTCTGTGGGTCTTGAAAAACAGTGAAATCATCAAAAACGGCTGGCAGTCAATGAGTTAAGTACCAGCTCAGCCTGGATAGGACCTGGTACCAATCGTGGTAGAGCCAAGTTGGGCTGGTGGCAACGGGGGTCTATTCTCTTACCTAATATGTTATCACTAAAGGTGGTTTTATGACAGTACCTGTCTTTATCTCTCCTATAATTTGACCATCAGAAGCAGCAGAGAAGAGACCCTGTGCTTTTAGAGATAAGAGGTGCAGGGGAGAGTCACAAGTGAGTTTGTAGAGTCACGGTGGCAAGGAATATTGCACATCTGGCCATGGAGCAGCTGGGCAGCCAACAGTCCCAATACTTTTGTACTCTATGAGTAGTACTGTAGGATCTCAAAGAAACTTGTGTTCTCCTGTTATGTATAAGTTTAATTTCTAATTTTGTTCAATCTCATTTTAGGCTCAGCAGCTCCCCCTGTCACAGCAGCGTTTCCTGCAGCACCCACAGCTGCGGCCTCAGCACCCACAGCACCCTCAGCACCCACTACACCAACTGCAGCAGCAGCAGCAGCGAATGCACCTGCTGCAGCAACAACAGCAGCAGCAACAACAGCATTTACAGAATCAGCAACAGATGCAGAATCAGCAGCAGTTGCAGAATCAGCAACAATTACAAAACCAACAGCAGTTACAGAATCAGCAACAACTTCTACAAAATCAGCAACAACTTTTACAAAACCAACAACTTTTACAGAATCAACAACTTCTACAAACTCAGCACCAGCAACAGGCAGCCCTACACCCTCAGCCCCAGGGCCAGGCCCATCTCCATCCACAGCCCCAGGGCCAGACCCACCTCCACCCTCAGGCCCAGGGCCAAACCCACCTCCACCCTCAGGCCCAGAGCCAGACCCACCTCCACCCACATGCCCTGCAGCAGACGCACTTCCTGCACCAGCCTCAGCACATTCACACGCAGAACCTGCAGAGCCTCCAGCAGCCACCCGGGGCAGCAGTGAGCACACCACTGTACGGACACGAGCCAGGACAGGAAGGTGTGTGTAGTCTTGTCTCTGTGTGTGTGTATATATAATATACATATCACATAAAGCTAACACCAAAATCACCATTAAAAACACAATTAAAATCACACAGGTATTTTAATTGTCCCATTACTTGAGACCTCTGTTCTTATCTGTCTGCAGTAAATCTGTTGAGTCAAAAGCACTAACTCTGAACATCTCTCTCCTGATGCAGTTCCTCCTGACGGCTTCTTGGTTGGCTGTGTTTTCGCCATCGCAGATTATCCAGAACAAATGGCGGACAAACAGCTGCTGGCCACGTGGAAACGGGTCAGACTCCCTTTGATTATCACTCACTTTGTAGCACTGACATGATGCTACAATCGCACAGCATGTAATGAATTCACTTTTTCTTAAAAAGTGTCCTGGGAAAACATCTAGGTGAGAACCCTGAGAGCCCAAGCCGAAACAACAGAAGTAATTAATAGTTAGCCAAAACATGAAATCATTCAGCTCTTGTTGTATTGTTTTACAAACAGACAAACCCTTGTGAATAGCACAAATGTTTTGAAACAATTTTCTGCTCAGCTGTTCCAGGGCCACGTGTGCAATATTGCTTTTTTATTCCATTTGTAAGGAACAGGAAGTCACAAAATAGGAATTTTCTTTGGCTCAGGGTGAAAATAAGTTATGAATTGATACGCATGCACAAAAAATCGAAATAAAATGTACAATACACATGTGCATTAATAGACACAATAGACGTTTAACAGTGCAATAAAGTGACAGCAGTATAAGGGGACTGTTGTAAAGGGCAGGGGTCAGATGCGTCCGATCATTTCTCAGCAGAGAGCACAATGTGCTGTGTGCATTTCCCTGACAGTGGCTCCAGCAAACCACATGGTGATGGAGGAGTTGAGGATGGACTGAGGTCCTGGTTGATTGTGGTGCTCAGGAAATGGGCTCTTCAGAGGTGATTGGGGAGTCTATCAGGGTTTGACTATGTATTCAGAACAGATCTGCTCAAGTCATAACAAGGGCAGACGTAAAAATAACTTTTTTTGAACCCAACGTTTTTCTGTTTTATTGTTGAAAGCCCTCTTTTGGTCACAACTATGATGTATCATAAATCACTTGTACATTGTTCCCTTACCTTTCGTGGCCTCGCTGTTTTGCAGATTTTTTGTGTAACTGCTTTTTTCTAGTGTGCTTCTCGTGCATTGTGTGTCTTCTCCAACATGATCATATACAACATATCTACTAGTATCACATGAATGAAACAGTCTGATTGTTCCTTCTGTTTTGCAGGTGATCCAGGCATGCGGTGGAGTGGCTGACAGCTCTCTCACCGCTCGCTGCACTCATCTGCTGTGTGAGAGCCAAGTCAGTAGCATCTATATGCAGGTGAGCGTCCAATCAAGGACTGCTTTTGAACCTGTCATTTCTAAGGCCAAATCTAGTGTACTACAGACGTGCTTACTGAGCGGGACATCACCATAGTGTTAACCTTAATGCAAAAGAATTGAATTTCAACATAAGCTAGCTGCAGCCAACTTCCTTGTATGGGCATTTCTTCCACTGTTTGGCTTTGCGCCATAAATAACCGGATCAGACGTGTTGCAAAGACAAGTTGAGTCTGTCATCTGATTGGGCAGTTGTTAGTGCTCCTATCTGCATTTTCAAGATGATAACACAATATAAACAGCAGGATAAGTGTGTGTGTCTGTGTATCTCATATTGTGTTGTGTTGTAGGCGCTCCGTGAGGGAAAGCGCTGCGTCACTGCTCACTGGCTCAACACGGTTTTGAAGAAGAAGAAGATGGTTCCTCCGACTCGAATGCTTCACCTGCCGTTTGCCTTTCCCCCTGGAGCCAAGCCCTGTGCGCAGCATGTACGGCCCTTTAATGTAGTGTTATCCTGTATACCATGTGTCTCTCAGAGGACATTGTCTTTGAGGAGTCTATGCTGGAGGATAGTGTTGCTTGAAGGATGGGTCAAATGCAGAGGACACAGAGAATAAATGATTGCTCACCTTATTATTGTGCCCTCAAAGACCAAACTCAGATATCCAGTCGGACTTGTCCTCAGATCTTCCTAACCCTCACCACTGTCCTCAGATCGTCTCGGTGACCGGCTTTGTCGACTCGGACCGCGACGACCTGAAGCTGATGGCGTATTTGGCCGGAGCTCGGTACACAGGATACCTCTGCCGCAGCAACACAGTCCTCATCTGCAAAGAGTAAGAAAAGTCTGTTACCAGAGACGAGGGACAAAAACTCATAACTAAAACAGTTTAATTTAGGCGTTTAAATCAATATAATCAATCTCTTTGAACCAATGATGTTGATCCAAGTTTTATTGCAGCCTATTTTAAAGTTTATAAACGTTTTAGAACCCCTAGCTTATGGTTGTTAGCATTGGGACAAAACATATACCCTGAAAACTCCTTACGGCAGTGGTCTCAAACATACAGTATATCATTTTTCAGAGTTCGTCCTAAGCACAATCCTAAGCAACCAAATTCTTGTGTGTCATATGAATTTGGGTGATACACCATACAACGCTCAAAACGTATAGCCATTTCTTGCATGGAGGTGATGTCACCTTAATTGAAGAATGGGGCCGGGCCGGGCCAAGTAGGGCTAAATAAAATTGTATTGATTTGATTGAAGTAAGGTTAGTTCAAACAGGGGTTTCTCTTTAGTCTTTTCTTCCTCTGATTAAAACAAACCGGATCCTGCAGTTCACGTCATAAAGCGTGTTTTATACATGCGTTTTACACCGTTGACATTTCCTTCTCAGACCGAACGGACTGAAGTACGAGAAGGCCAAAGAGTGGAAGATCCCCTGTGTGAACGCACAGTGGCTGTGTGACGTGCTGCTGGGGAACTTTGAGGCCCTGAGGCAGATCCAGCACAGCCGCTACCAGAACTACAGCCACACGGAGCCCCTGGCCCCCAACCCCCAGCTCGTCATCAACCTGCTGGGTACGTGAGACTGGAGAGCCGACCCTAGAGTGGACCCTAGAGCGGGCCGTAGAGCGGGCCGTAGAGTTTTTTTCTTTTTGATTCTGTCAGACGTTAAACTGTTGTGTTTCCAGCTGCGTGGAGAGCTCCAATCAAAGTGTCTCCAGAAGCCTTAGCGGTGAGTCAGAGTTTCCCTGCATTTTTGCCGCTAGAGCACACATAATCTGTATTTAGGGGAGCTCCCAGTCATTAAATCATTTAAAAAAACACTCAAAGAAGCCAAAATAAAGGCGTCAAAAGCTTTAAATTGGACAAAAAGTTTACATTTGGGAGAGTAATACTTAATTTCGCTTTTCACAGTTTGAGGTCTTTGTATGATTTGTGTTTGTAGAATCTGCAGCTGCAAAGACAGAAGCTGAACTCCAACAATGAACCGCCGAACAAGAAGAGCAGGTGTGTGTGTGTGTGTGCGTGTCTGTCTGTGTGTTAACCCCACCCTATGTGTCTGTGGGTGTGTGTGTGTTAACCCTGTGTGTGTCTCAGGTTGGATGAGGTACAGTCACCGGGACAGAAGCTCCCTCTGGACTCCACTCCTCTGGTGATGTTCACGGGGTTAGAACCCGCGAGGGTCCAGCAGTACACCAAGGTCAGTGCGCCTCCTTTACCCCCCTCACACTGTGGTCTTTGCCTCCTTTACCCCCCTTCCACCCCCACAATGTTCTGTGCTCCTCTTTACTCCCACCATGTTCTGTGCTCCTCCTTACCCTCCCATATGTGTTAGCCTCTGTGTTCCTCCTTATCCATTCTCCTCTCTCCTCCTTCATACTTACCCTCTGCTCCTCTGTCTTCAGTGGTTGCATGCGCTCGGGGGGGAGGTGGCAGACTCCGCCCACAGAGTCACGCACCTCCTGGCCTCCAAAGTGTCCCGGACGGTGAAGTTCCTGACCGCCATGTCTGTGGTCAAACACATTGTGAGGCCTGAGTGGTTAGAGGAGAGCTGGAGGAGCCAGAAGTTTGTGGGTGAGTGGTGTGACATCACAGGGAGAGCGCTAAACCATAAATTTTTATCCTAAAACGGAGCGTGTGATACAAATGGTTACTGAGCTAGAGGATTTTACGTTACATGTGAGTAATTGGAGCCAGAGCGAGCTAGAGGCTTAGCATTTAGCGTGTGGGTTAGCATTTCTGTTTACAGTCTATGGTTGAAGTCTATAGCAGTGTTTTCTCTGTTCAGATGAGCAGAGCTTCTCCCTCAGAGACGCAGAGGCCGAGGTTCTCTTCAGCTTCAGTTTGGATGAGTCTCTGAAGAGAGCTCAGAGCTCCCAGCTGTTTAAGGTGAGACCACTGCACCATGTTCTGGTTAGAAACTCAAAAAGGACTTTGCAGAATGTTTCTGTATGTTAAACATTTGCCTTGTGTCCAGGGGAAGTTCTTCTACCTGACCCCAGGCATCTGCCCCAGCCTCAGCACCATGAAGGCCATCCTGGAGAGCGCAGGGGGAAAGCTTCTGCCCAAACTACCCTCGTCCAAGAAGGTCCAGGAGCACACACAAAACAAGGTGAAAGCATGACCATGTGGAGCCAGAGCCACAGACCAGACCCTGACCTGACTGATGTGGAGACCAGAGACCTGACTTAAGTACGCGGTCTTTACATGTCTCATGAAGAATTACAAGTTTATCACAGAATTAATAGTTAGAATAAAGCTGGGGTCCATAACATTAAAGCTGGGGTCTGTAACTTTCAAACCACAGCAACAGAACTCATCAGACCCATATCCCATGTTTCTTGTTCCTGGCTTTAAAACAGTTTGCTTCTATCACTAGTTTGTATTTTTGGCATCTGTTACATCTTTAGAACAGCTTTTTCAGACAGAGAAGTGAAAAAGAGAGGACCACCCTCACTCAGCCAATCATTTATCAGCCCAAGAGTCAAATACTGACTCAGCAGATGACATGTGGTCTAATGAGATGAAGACAACAGTCTGCTTTGTTCCCAACTTTTACCAGACTCTTTCTCTTGGGAAAAACTACATATGTTATTCATCACAAAAAGTTAGGTACCCCAGTGTTAATTTTTGTTTAATAAAATGCTAATTAATTTAACAGTAACTACCATTTGAAGCCTCAACTGACCTAGGACAGAGGTCTCCCATCAGTACTATCCAGGCCCTGTGCTGCTTAGCATCTTGGAAACAATTTTTAAAAACCTTTTCAACTCTTTTCTCCACAGAATCTTCCAGAAATTATCTTGATTTCCTGCGACAACGACCTGCACCTTCTGCGGGAGTACTTCCTCAAAGACATCCGTAAGACCAGGATTCAAACTCATAGTATAGTAACCAGTGTTGTGCCAGTTCACAGCTTTTCTGAACTAGTTCAAGTTCAGTTCATACATGCTCAAAGTGAACAGTTCACAATTTTATTTCTGAACTAGTTCAAAGTTCAGTTCATTTTACTTTTTACGTGAGATACTTCAATAAATATTTTTTTCACAATACGAGCTATATATATATATATATATATATATTTGTGTTATGTATGTATATATCTCCTGTACACCCACAGGAGGAGAGCCTTGAGACTACAAAACACAAGAATTACATGGTTTTCAATGGGAGCAAAACAGAGTTGCTCCATCTCTGCTCATAAACTACAGACAGTAATGCGCTGCAGTGCGTGTGTCTATACTTTATGTCAAATGTAAACGGTGTAAACTTTGTCGCTAACTCACCCTGTGTTTTCATCACGACTCGGGCACATGTGAAAAGCACCAGCTCACAGCGCCGCACCGCAACACGGAGTCGGGGTGCGTTCACAGACGGTGGAAACCGTAGGAATTTTTAGATTTCAGCGGAAAAAGTGCGAGAATACAGGAGGGAGGAACTTTCTCTCGTTGCGTTTCAAAAGAGAAAACAGATTCCTACGTTCATAGTGATGTCTGCCGTTCATGACACATAAAATGAACTAATTCACGTTCAAGTTCTTTTTTTAAAAATGTGTTGCGTTCAGTTCAACGTTCAAGAAAAACTGAGCGTGTTCAATGAACGTGTTCTTTTGAACTCGTTCACGCACAACACTGATAGTAACACACTATAAACCACAGCCTATTGTCCACAAACCTGAACATAAGCCTCTGGTTTGTTGTGATGTCACACTGAACTAACAGCATGTGACCTTTCTATACTAAAAGTCAAAATGATTAGTCCATAACCCTGCTCTGACAACGGGCTTAATCACATGAACAATGTGTCTTTCTGTGCACTTCCTGGTCTCTTGCTCTCTGGTGCGGTGCACATAAACACATTCTAAACTCAGTGTGTGGTGTTTGCAGCTGTGCACAACGCAGAGTTCATCCTGAGCGGAGTCCTCACACAGAAGATGGACTACAGCTCATATCCTTTTGTTGTGTGTGTTTCTGTTTCTGTGTTTGTGTCTAAAACAGGTTTGTCCTTAACTCTCTCACGTTTAAATTCACCTGATGAAAACTTTATGTTGTTGCAGTTTTCTACTATTCGTCAGATATAAAGCTGTTTATTTTTGTCAAATGAATGTTTAAATTAAAACAGATTTTAACGTTTTGTTGTTTACTAAATAGAATGTTAATAATTTTGAAATAAAAATGTACATCTGAATGTGGGCCTAATTATTTTCAACATTGAAATCATAAACAAAGTGGATCTCATTCTCAACACTCTGGTCACAGCACCAGGAGCTTGTCCCTCAGTTCATATTGAGTCCTGGATCTACAGCCTTCGTCCTAATGATGGAGGGACATTTCTCTTCAACAAAGATCTGAGTCAGAGCACAGATGTTCAGGAAACAGATTTGGTATAAAAACATTTATTTACATGAATAAAATACAAGTGAAAATTAAAAAATATTCTCTCTAATCTCAGTCTTGTCCCAGTGCATTCTGGGAGGCTTCGTCCTGTCCCAGTGCACTCCGGCAGATGCCGTCTTCTGCGTCGCTGCTTTGGACCAGATTTCCGAAATACGCAGTGATGGTTTTGAGTTTGTTGTTGAGGAAGTTCTGCTCCACCTCCACTCGACCTCCAGGACCAGCCAGAGACACCATCTGCTCCAGGACAGAGGGATGGGGAGAGGACAGAGACAGACATTAGGTTTGTATTGTGTTTTTACTATGTATCAATGATAACGTGCTCTTACAACAGTGGGAGGGACAGACCTGGTCCATGTCGGCGTTCCGAGGCAGGAAGTAAACTATGTTGTCCGAGATCAGTTTGGCCTTTTGGAAAATCTCAAATGTGGAGAGAGTGAAGGAAACAAGAAAAACACTTGCAAGATCTAAACACAAAGTGTTTCTTAACGCCGAGCAAACTATTTTTCTACACGCCATTGGAGCAATTGGCAACATCAGGAAAAACTACAACACTGCGGATGTAGCTGACCAAGGCTCGCACAGGAAAGTTGCTTCTGCTACTGCTGTGTAGACTGGAGAAGTGTAGAGGGCAGTACAGGCCAGAGGACGGATGTTTGTGTTTGTCCTCGTGGTCTCTGCCTGCCTTCCTAATGTTTCATAGTCATGTTGGTCTTTGACACTATCAGCTCCACATATTCACAAGTATGTTCCCTGTGTGCAGTGACTGAAAGCTGTGTCCCTGCCTGGTGATTACTAACATCTATCTCCAGATCACAGCCCAAGGGGACATTTTGAACAGGTATAAATGTGCCATTCATGTGAATAATCGCATGAAAATATTTGAATCCTTTGAAAGCACAAATTATTATAGATATTCTATGAATTTAACAGGTGAAGGATAGTCCTATTATCATAGTTATAACTATTTTGGTGCTCATTGAAGGATATCCGTCCGGGTCCATCATGCTCTGGATGTCAAACACCTCTGCGCTCAGGTAGGCGGGGCCTCCCCAGGGCGGAGACAGGAAGACCACGTCGCCATGGAGATGGGGAGCGAGCTGCAGAAAGTCTCCCTGAATGAAGTCCATGCGATCAGCAACGCCGTAAACCGCTGCATTGTGACGAGCCAGATCCAGGCGTGTGGCGTCAATGTCCACAGCCAGAACTGAGAACAAAGCATTATCATGGCAACAGACAACACAGAAACCACAGCTGCCCCCTACAGTTGGAGACAAGATCTGCGCACAAGATCCATGATGCCAGAAGCGGCATCAGTAGCACTCGTACCTCTGCTGCCGCTCAGGGCAAACTGGATGGCGTTTCCTCCGACTCCACAGAAGGCGTCGATGATGAGGTGAACTGCAGGAAAACTGTTCTGAACCCGGAACGCAATGTGTGCAGCAATCTTCTCCGGAGTCACAGAGAACCAGCCCTCTGTGGAGACACAGGGACCGTGAGAGCACAGGGACTAAACTACAGTTTTGGTCTGGGTGTGTCACATGGATCGTTCAGCAGTGTTACCTTTGTCCAGCCGTATGCCCTGGTCAAAGCGAGAGAAGAGCCGGTGTCTCTGGGCCCAGTATTTGGCCAGTCCTGGTTCAGACCTCAGCTCCTCTGGGACTGGATCTGACCGGAGCCGCTTCTTTGTCCTCTTCCTCCGAGACACGTCTGCACTGGCCTCTGCAGAACACAGAGTCCTTGGAGTCTTGTCCTTCAGTTTAACCCTCAACTCTAACACCCTAGACGCTCTCCTGTCTGGCATGAGCTGTTGTCCTGTTAACGGCCATAATCACCGGCCTCAGCCTCAAATATGGCAGGGCTGCTTTTTTCAGCAGGGATTGTCTGTATGGGTGGAGCCAAATAAGGGCAATTTAGGATGAAAATACATAGTCAGAGGTTGGGGAGATTTACATTTGATTAGAAACTTAACACCAGAGGTACAAGCACAACGTGTTAGAACGGCCCGAGTCCAGACCTTAAAGTGGTTCTCACCCCCGCTCCTCGGAGCTTACGTCACTCACATTTCCTGTTCAAATCTTCCTCTAAATGGGCGTAGCCTGGACGACTAAAGGGGGCGTGAACGAGACTGGGCCGTTTACATTGCTCTGTGCGGGGGGCTGCTGACGTCAGGTCCAACTTGCAGACGTCAGGTCCAACTTCTGTGCCACTGTTGGCGCCAGATTCAAAATTCAATCGTAGTAATACAGGTCGCCAGCAGATGGCGCCTCACAGACGGTTTTAGGCAGAAAGTTTAACTTTCACCTAATTTGCACCAAAGTGACAAAATTATGACCAGGATATGTAGACAACACTATTGGACACTCATTTTTACCGTTTATCAGCAAAAAAAATGGATTTGAGGGTGAGTTGTCCTTTAACAGTCTTGTATAATCAGACCGAGCAAAACTGTCTATAGACCATGTTCAGTCCTGGTCCTGGTTTCTAGAGTAGGGGTTTCAAACTGGTCCTCAATGGTCTTGTGTGGCTCCAGGATTTCATTCCACTCATTTCCTGTGATTTCCAGGACTTGAGGGTGACAGTGAGGCTGAGGCTGACCAGTTTGACCCTCCTGCTCTAGATGTTCAAAGCAGAGTCAGACTCTAAGGACGTGAGCTCTGATGCAATAGGAGAAAGTTCCACAGACGAAGACCTCATGTTTACACTTTAACCCCATCTGGTCTCATTGTTAGTTTACTTCATGTAACAGTGTGTATAATGTTGTACTGAACAGTTTGTGTTGCTGCTGCTTACCTCCAGAGGCTTGAGGCTGGAGGAAGTCTGGGGTCTCCAGACTGGGAAGTGCTCGGTGGTTATTTGGTCTCTCCTGGTCTTCTTCTGGTCTCTGTTTCGTCAGTGCTCCGTGGTCCTGGGGGTCCTCCTGGTCCGCCTCTGATCTCCACAGCAGTTTGGTCTGTGCTCTGTGGTCTTTGGGGTCCTTCTGGTCTTCCTGGTCCTCCACTGGTCTGGGTTTGGTCCAGTTTGGTCCAGCCCCGTCCTGTGCCTCTCTGCATTCACCTGACGTCTCTGTACTCTGTGAGGTGATGTCCTCGTGTCCCGGGTCACAGTCTGAGGTGGGACCTGATGCAGACACTTTTTGTACAATGCCCAGAAAGTCCTTCACCTAAAAACATGATTCAGTTACAGTAAAGTATGAGGACACCATCCCCAGTGTCAATTATGGGCGGCAGCATCATGTTACGATCTGCTTTTCTTCAGCAGGGACAGGGAGGACTGTTTAGTTAGTTTGGGTAATTTTTCCAGGTGAAATTACATCTTTAGAATCAAACGTCTGTGTTTGCAGCTCCCTCTGGTGGCAGCATAGGGAGTTACAGGGAGACCAGGGAATGAACCACTGCACAACGCTGTTTTTCTTTCACTTCTGTTTGACATGTTTGTATCAGTCACAGAGTTACTGTGGCACAAAAGTATTTAGTCAGCCATCAACTCAGGTCCTACAAGTCCTCCCACTTCAAAAGATGTCTGTAATTGTTATTATAGAGATCTTAGAGACAACATGAGAAAGATTTTTACAGAACATCTTTGAAAATGAAAAATTAGTATTTAGTCATTAACTAAGGTCCATCTCAATACTTGTTATATTCACTTTGTGGCAATGACAGGGATAAAAAAATGTCTTTCTGTGTTTTCACACTCCATGCATATCTCTTCTAGAGCAGTGATGTTGCTGACTGTCGCTGGGCAACAGACATTCATCTGCCTCCAAATATTTTCTATGAGGCTGAGATCTGGAGGACGTTGAAATGCTTCTTACGAAGCCACTTCTTCGTTGCCTGTGCAGTGTGTTTGGGATCATTGTGCTGAAAGAACCAGCCATGGGTCATCTTCAGTGCCCTTCACTCCAAACCTCACGATATTTGGCTCTATCCATTCCTTCTTTAATGGATAGAGCCATTAAAGGCTTTGGGCTGTTTTGCAGAAAAACAGCCCAAAGCCTGATGTTTTTTTAATTTTGTCTCATAGTTGAGGTATATCCATGATGAACATTACATCTCTCATCTTTCGAACTGGGAGGACTGACTGTGGTGGCTGAATACTGTTCTGCCGTCTGTAGTTGGTGGCCCGTCACACAGTTAGTTCCATTTCCTCCCTGCTGAGCGCATGCACCGTTCGAATAATAATAACAAATGTGTCACACCTGTGACTACCGGATGACCAATAGGAGGGCTATATTAACGGCTTATTAACCGACCAAGTGAGGTTAATAAATGTTTTACTATGTGACTTTTTAATTTGTGCAAATATCGATTTCCGACTTGGTTTTCCTAATTGTGTTTTAGCTTTCTGATCTGTAATGAAGTTGTCAATCTCTTCTTGACTGTTATTTTATGTTTTTGTCGTTTTTATGTGTAATTACTTAGAACTCGTGCAGATAATAGGAGAATGCTCCCAGTCGTCGCCCATTATTTCTTTTTTTACCGAGGAAAGATATCAAATGTGATACGCGCTGCGGACCGATTGTCATGGTAAAGGTCCGAGGAGAGATATCAAATATGATACGGACCCATTGTCATGGTAACGGTCCGAGATGGGAAAATATCAGACCGCAAATCAACCAATCAGAGCGCACGTACGATCCAAGTCATATAATATAATCCTCCATCACCCGACACTCCTCCTGCAGAGCCTTCTTGAGAGACCGCAAGGAAGCTCTGGTGGTCAGTCGGGATTCATAGAACCGTAGTTACATACATCATTTTCGTTTTACCTTAGTCAGAGTGGAGCTTCTGTGAGACTCGCTCTCTGTGTCTGAAAACCGGATGTGAGAATTGGTTTTCCTCTTCCTTCCTCTCTTCTGTCCTCTCGGAGTCCCACTGGTGCTGAGCACACTGCAGAATCTGGACACACAAACGTGATTTTAATGATCTGTCAAAGACAAGATTTAGGATATATCTATCCAGAACTAAACATGGGGAGGCTGCTTTTCAGATTCATGCTGCTAAAATCTGGAACAATCTTCCTGAAGATGTGAGACAGGCCTCCTCTCTGACCATGTTTAAAACCAAGTTAAAAACGGTGCTGTTTAGCTGTGCATACAACTGAGGGATTTTATATTTTTATCTTTCGTTTTAATGTTCTGTGATTATTTGATTTTAATGCTATCTTGTTCAGCACTTTGAGTTGCCTTGTGTATGAATTGTGCTATACAAATAAACTTGCCTTGCCTTGCCTTGCCATCTATGCCCAGTGTTGCCCAGCGACAGCCTCAAAACAGTACTACTCTAGTGGAGATCTGCATGGAGGAATGGGCCAAAATACCAGCAACAGTGTGTGAAGACCTTGTGAAGACTTAAATAAATGTTTGAGCTCTGTCATTGCCTACAAAGGGTATAGAACAGTATTGAGATGAACTTTTGTTGTTGGCCAAATACTTATTTTCCATCATCATTTGCAAATAAATTATTCAAAAATCAGACAATGTGATTTTAGGATTATTTTTTCTCCTTCTGTCTTTTGTAGCTTAGGTTTATACCTATGATGCCATTTACAGGCCTCCCTCATCTTTTAAGTGGTAAGTCTTGCACAATTGGTGGCTGACTTAAATATGTTTTTGGCCCACTGTTATTGCACCCAAAGATTCCAGAAACAGAGTGGCCGTGAAAGGTGAACCTCGTTATAACGATGGACTACTGTAAATGTTATCAATGAAACAGCGAAGTGAGGTCCCCCAGCTTTAAGACACTTCTATTGTTCTAGTGTCAGATCTTCATCTTGGTGTGGACCTACAGAGGGTTCTCTCTGCACTTCAGGCCCAGCTCTCTCCAGGACTCTTCAGACATCTGTGGACTTTCCTCTGGGTCCAACTCGTGACTGAGGAGAAAACAAAGGAGATCATGTGTTAAAACCCAGTCAGGGCTTCCCAATCAGGGGGACAGCGCTGCTGGGAAAGTATGGCTGAATGATCACCGTCTGCATATTATAGGGAGCCAGGGACAGTGCTAGCCTGCTAGCTTGAGGAGGCTGATAATGCTAAACTTTGTTGCTACCGTTCTCACTTTATGAGCTCCATCACTGTAACCATTATCCTGAAATAACTTCTGCTAATGGCCTGTGTTAATGTGACATCACCAGTGTTGGATAAATTAATAATAATAATAATGCATCGGTTTCATAAAGCGCTTTTCTGGACACTCAAAGACGCTTTACAAGTCATTATTCATTCACTCCATACACGGTGGTGATAAACTACTACTATAGCCACAGCTGCCCTGGGGCACACTGACAGGTCAGAGGTCAGAGCCATCGGCCCCTCCGACCACCACCAACCATTCACACACACCAGACTCATTCTAGGCAATGGGGGTGAAGTGTCTTGCCAAGGACACACCGACAGTAGACACCAGTGGGAGTCCGTGGAGTAGGTCTTGTGGTGGGCTCGAACCCATGACCTTCAGGCTCAAAGGCCAGTGCTCTACCAACTGAGCCACTGTCGCCACTAAATGACTTAGTAAATGTAAATAGTTACAAATAATTAGTTACTTCTCAGTAACTCAGTTACTGTCAAAAAAGGGAATTGTTTAACCTCAGTCTGTTATTTTCTTCTAACATGGATTGGGATTTGAAACATCTTCTAATAATCAAATGGGGGTGTTGTTTTAACGGCTTATTAAAGGCCTTTTGGTACAGACCGAGCCGTGGCGAGGCCTGTGCAAAAAGACCAAGGTCTGATATTTCTCTGTACAGACCGAGCAAGCGAGGTTAATAAATGTTTTATTATATGATTATTTTTTATTTGTGCAAATAGCGATCGGTTTTACCTAGCAAAAACACATGCAACCAAACTGTCAAATGGTGACATGAAGAACTTGCTTATCAGACAATTGCGGTCTCCTGCTGGTAAGTTCTCAGTCTCTTCTGTGTCCTTACCAATGCTTTTTCGATATTTGTGAAGTATGTTCATGTCCCACTTGGTTTTCCTAATCGTGTTTTTACCTTTCTGGTCTGGAAGAAGTTGTCAATCTCTTCTTAAGGAGTTGTGTTTTGTTGTTACTTGCTGTTATTACTTCCTCTGGCTCTTCGAACACGTCTGGATAATAGAATTCACTGGAGAATGCTCCCAGTCGTCGCTCATTTTTTCTTTTTTTTTCCCGCGGAAAGATATTAAATCTGATACGCGACCAATTGTCATGGTAACGGTCCGAGATGGGGAAAAAATATCAGACCGCAAATCAGCCAATCAGAGCGAGCGTATGATCCAAGTCATATAATAAATGCTCTTATTTTATGGTCACTATTGCTGATTCTGGAGCTCAACGACCACTAAAGATGTAGCTCTGTCATAAATCCATGTCACTAGCTCCTGGCTCTGAAACAGCTTTGTTCTGGCACTTTCCACTTGTGGCCTCACTCACATTTTTTCTGCTTCTTCCACTTTTTCAGACGCTGACCGTGTTTTAATGAGGTAAAGATGTGCGGTTGTCTGACTTGTTCACAGTAAAACACTTAGTCCTGGCTCACTCCTGGTTGGTTTTTACCCATTGAACATTTATAATGGTGGGGGAAACCAGAGCGCCTGGAGGAATCCTGTGACATAACACCCCTACCTGCGTTTGAGTTTGAACTGCTGCTCTCCTGGAGGCTCCTCTTCATCATCCTCAGAGCTCTTCCTCCTGGACTCAGCTCCAGCTCCACCTCCTCCTCCACCTCCTGCTCTCTGCTCTGAACCTAAACACAACAATATAATAATATTATAATAAAACCAGAGAGAGACCAGAGAGAGACCACAGAGACACTACAGAGAGAGAGAGCAGAGAGACCACAGAGAGAGACTACAGAGAGAGAGAGCAGAGAGAGAGCAGAGAGAGACCAGAGAGAGACCACAGAGAGACCAGAGAGAGAGACTACAGAGAGACCACAGAGAGACCAGAGAGAGACCAGAGAGAGACAAGATAGAGACCAGAGAGAGACACTACAGAGAGAGAGAGAGCAGAGAGAGACCACAGAGAGAGCAGAGAGAGACCACAGAGAGACCACAGAGAGACCAGAGAGACCACAGAGAGACCAGAGAGACCAGTGAGAGACACTACAGAGAGAGACACAACAGAGAGAGAGACCAGAGAGAGGGATACTACACAGAGAGAGCCCACAGAGAGACCAGTGATAGACACTACAGAGAGAGAGAGAACAGAGATAGAACAGAGAGAGAGACCATGGAGAGATCTCAGAGAGTCTAAAGAGAGAGACCAGAGAGAGCCCACAGAGAGACCAGTGAGAGATCAGAGAGAGACCACAGAGAGACCACAGAGAGACCACAGAGAGACCAGAGAGAGATACCACAGAGAGACCACAGAGAGAGACCACAGAGAGACCAGAGAGAGAACAGAGAGAGACCACAGAGAGACCAGAGAGAGAGATACAACACAGAGAGATCAGAGAGAGACCAGAGAGAGAGACCACAGAGAGACCAGAGAGAGACCATAGAGATCAGAAAGAGATCAGAGAGAGACCAGAGAGAGACAAGAGAGACAAAAGAGAGACACACATTCACATTTCACATGAAAAGGTGAATTTTGACACAGACCGTTGTTACTGTAGTTACCAGTGTGACCAAGAGAGCTGTTTCGGCTTCCCTCCACCACAATGTGAAACTATCGCTCTTTTGGGAGTGATGTCACGATTGACACGAACACAAACTATTTACAGGCATCAGGCTCAAACCTCGAGAAACTAATCCAATTTCACAGTTATTATATTAATTCATATGTTTATTCTTTGACTGGTTATTGTTATCCTCTACTGTACCTGTTTGATCCTGTACGTTTCCTTGTCTTTCCGTGGGCTTTGTATCGTCACTTCCACCATCGCTCGGCTCTGCTCCTTCCCCCCTTTCCTTCTGATCTTCTTCCGAGTTCAACCCACAAGAATCCTCAAACTTTGCCGTCAGTCCATCCACAGAGCTCGCCACATTGTCCAGGTCCACAGAGCTCGCCACTTTTTGAGAGTCTAAATAGGTTGCCACATTTCCCTCGTTTTGCTGGTCTCTTCTGGTCTCCTCGTTTTGCTGGTCTCCTCTGGTCTCCTCGTTTTGCTGGTCTCCTCTGGTCTCCTCGTTTTGCTGGTCTCTTCTGGTCTCCTCGTTTTGCTGGTCCACACTGGTCTCCTCAGCGGTCCAGCCCTGCTTGCTCCAGTATCTGAACTGCTCTTGGTAGTGGTAGTAGGTGTGTGCGTAGTGGAGGTCCCAGCTCGGCTTCAGCTCTGGATGAGACCAGGGAGGGTCCAGCTCAGGGTTGAGTTCATATTCCGGATTGTTCTCCAGCCAGTGTGACCACAGCAAGGCCTCGCCCTGTTCGGCTACAGGGACAAAGGGAACAGTGGGGGTTATTGTAAGAATTACCCATCTCCTTTTTTTGGACGAATAAATCACTGTTTTACTGAAAAAAAAAGAGCTGATACTTGTATTTAAACCAGATCGATAAAGTTTATCTGTTTCACTTGTACATAGAAGCAGATGTTTGAAAACTGTGAGGAGGAAGAAAAGGAGGAGGAGGATGAGTAAGACAGACCCCAGTACGAGTCCCACGGCTCTGGCTCACAGTCTGCAGCGGCTCCATCTTCTGCTTCTAAAACACAAAAATATTTGAGAAAAGAAAAACACCTTTATAAACTGGTCACCTCAGCTCCCTCCGCCACAACAAGCAATCCTTCTTGTGTGTAAGAAAAAGCCCTGTGAGTCACTATTAGACTCACAGGGCTAAGAGCTAATTGGCTGGGGGAGCAGGTCCAAGTAAGGACTAAAGCAGGCCTTAAGCAGGTCTAAAGTAAGTCCAGAGCAGGTCTAAAGCAGGTCTAAAACAGGACTAAAATACATCGGACACCTAGTGATAGTAACACTGTTTTAGGGCCAGGAACTAGAAACATAAATAATGATCTTTTACCTTCAGAATAGTCTTGGTCTGGTGCTGTGGCCCAAAACGGAGCAGGGTTCTTGTTCAGCCTTTTCCCCTGAAACAGATGAGAGTTTTTAACCATCAAACACACACCTGGAGTCGTTTTCAGATACATCCACTAATAATATCTATATATAGATGCACAGTGCAAACGCCATTAAGATTGACCGGGCTTAGTCCTGGTTCAGTCCTCGTTAAGAACTGCTTTAGACCTGTATTGGATCTTGTTCAGTCCTGATTTAGACCTGGCTTAGACCCGTTATAGACTTTGTTTAGAACTGGCTTTGACCTGTTTTAGTCCTGGTGTAGACCTCATTCAGTCCTGGTTGAGTGCTAGTTTAGACCTGCATTAGACCTTGTTCAGTCCTGGTTCAGACCTTCTCCTTTAAAACAGTTTTATGGTGGGGTTTCTCACTTTTCTCTTGAAGGCTGAGGAGCTGGAGAAGCTCAGAGGAAGCCCCATCTCCATCATCAACTTCGATTCTTCATCCAGAACCTCCTCCTCTGAGTTTGGATCAGCGTTTTCAGCCGGCTCCTCCTCCTCCTCCTTCTCCTCCTTCTCCTCTTCCTCCTCCTCCTCCTCCTCTTCTGGAAGAGAGGACCATTGACTTCAGAAATTCATCCGAGTCATTCCTTTAAGACTGCAGAAAGCATTTTCAACAACCACTCCCGCTGTGCTGAGTTTTCCATTAGATACTTGCTGTTAGTCTGTCACTCGTCCGGTGTCTTGAAAAGGTTTTAGGAGCCAGTTCTGTAGAGGGTAAGCAGAGTCCCCTCGGAGGTAACAGCAGCTATCACCGATATTATAATAGATCCATACACCCCACCGATGTTACGAGTTACGTAAATGACGTGGTCTGACAAGCCCTCCCACGCTGAGGACGCTACTTTTAAAAGATAATATTGTTGGAGAATACTGTAATACTAATACTGTGCATAATAGCACAGTGCCTCAATTATACATAATTAAAATATGTGTAATACAATTTAAGTTGCAGACATCACCTACGGGCCTACACCATTCGAATATGATTAAAAGAAACTTAAAGTTAGTCGTTAATGAACCAGAATGAGCTGTTCTTTGTGGTCTTTGGGACCAGATGAGCAGGAGGGTCTAGGAAATTAGTGGGTCTGACAAAAAGGACTGTGGTGATGATCCACAAAACTCAACATTCTACGACACTTATGGCCATTGGTCAACTCCCTATGGACCTCCCTATGGACCTATGTGTTTGAACTGTTTGATTCTCTGATCTGAGTTGGTGATTTCAACAGTTTGAAGTCCTCTGAGATAATTCAATGTATTCTTGTAGTTGACTTGAATGAAGACCTCGGCCTGTCCCTGTGCTCAGACGATAAAGATATTGTGTGGTTTCTAGATCCAGATGGCTCAGAAGTTGCTGAACTCTGATTTGGCAGAGTAGATATCGAACATGAAGTTGGTGCAGCAGTACGTCATGACAAGGTTGGTCAAACTAACCAAATCGGACTAAAAAAGGTCTTGTTATGATTCTCAAATCCTTAATGATAAAACAGGGAATAAAACGAGGATTTCCATCTGAGCCTTTGTGAAAAAGGTGTTGGTTATAGATTTATTGGTGACAAAAGAGGACCACAGAATATTAGCCGTGATTGCAGTATCACTTTTGGTCAGATTTTTACATGTTGCTCCTTTAACCTTCCAAGGTCTAGAATCATTTTGGGGAACTTTCCTCGCCTGTTTTTGTGTGTGTAAAATTGCTCATAAAACAGTCATCTTTTGATGCAGAGTCAAGCAGTATACTTAGTTTTTTCAGTACAACCTGGGGTTTTAGAATATTCATATTTTGGAGCTGTCATATCAATTATATAATGATTATGGAATCATAATTCCAAAGTCTGTGTCTGTGAGTGGAACGTCCACGCATTAGCCCAACGCGTTTACTCTGAGTTTAATCCATGCGTTCGCTCCACGTGTGAGTCTCCACGTTTTGAGATGATCCTGGTGCTGGTTCCGTGTATGCAGCAGGGGTTAGTAGGGGCGCGTCCTATTCCTACTACTACTCCTGCTCCTCCTGCTCCTCCTCCTGCTACTCCTCCTGCTACTCCTCCTGCTACTCCTCCTGCTACTCCTGCTCCTCCTGCCCCTCCTGCTCCTCCTCCTGCTACTACTAATGTGGAGCCTACTCTCATCTGCAGGCATTGGAAATGGACGCTGTGTTTTCTCGGGGGGAATTCATTGATAAGAATTTCTACCGTATGCGTCTAAGTGGTTCCAACTCCCCAGATTGCAGCGTTTACAAACTGGCCTGGACAAACGACACTCATTTGGGGATCCGGATCCCAATGTTTGGCTGTGGGACCAAACGGGTTGAGACGGAGGGTCTGTATACTTCCTAAACCGTCTGGTTTACGGAAGGGAGGCCACCCGGCTCGAGTGTATGAACCCCACCGTACATGTGGCTGTCCTGGGACATGTGCCCAAACCTGAAGGAACGATTACAAGTAAGTAAGTAAGTAAGTAAGCTTTATTTATATGGGTAATGGGAACGGGAGCGAGGAGGAGGACGGGAGCGAAAGCGAGGAGAAGCCCGAGGTCCCGTCTGGGGCAGGAAACAGCACCATCGCCGCCAACAAATGGCTGGACCTGTGGGTTGTCCTCCCCTGTTTACTCGTCCTCTTCCTCCTCCTCTTCTGCTTCTACGATGTCTGTCGAACGAGGAGGAGTGAGAAGAGGACAAAGAAGAAGAGAGAGGTAAAGAAGGAGAGGGGGGCAAAGGATGAGGAGCCACAGCAGCAGTTTGATGTGGTGGATTTTGTGTAAGACACCACCCTCCCTCAGGATCCCGCTCCAACAGCAGTGGGTGCTGCGCGGGTGCCACGGGAAGACCACTCCCCCCCCTCCCTCCAGAGCTTGGTGAGCTACTACCTGTAGCTAGTAGCCCACCAAGCTGAAACCTACTAATGATGAGTTGTTACTATTGCAACAACACATCATCAGTAGGGTAAAACTAACCCTACTGATGCCCCCCCCCAACCCCACTGCATACAAAAAAACAAAATAAAAAATATTATTAAACATGTTGATGTCTGTATATTCAACTTTTTTGAACACTTCAGATTAGCCCTCACTAATTAACAGCTAATTAAGTGCTGATTAGTGTATCCTAACTCTAACTCTAACACACATGAAGTGTCAGTTATGCCACTTTTCCACAGTAACGGTACAGTACTGTAGGCAGGGTTATTTTGCATTTCCACCAGGGTTGGGCTTGGGATCAGGGTACTTTTTTTGTACCACCTCGGCTGTGGTTCCAAGCGAGCCGAAGCGATACCATAACGTCAGCCGACTGCCTTACACTGATTGGTCAACGAGTGTCGTCACTGGAAGCTGCGTTCGACCCTATGGCAAAAACAACTCAACCCGCCATCTTTAAAACCGGCTGCTCTGCTACGGCTATAATACGTCCTCCTCACTCCAGAGAAATGGAATCGCACAGAAAGCCCCAAAAGGCCCTGGTCGGTGGACGAGGTCCACATGTTACTCTCTTTAGGCCGAAGAAAGAATTCAAAGGCAGCTCGAACGCACAACACGGAGGTTTCACAAGGTTTTCAGGGAGATCGCTCTTGTTTGGTAACTAGGCTGTGGTAATCCTGGAAATAACTGGTTAGCTACGTATCCCGTTGGCCCAACGAAATGTATTTACTCGTGCAAAAGTTTGATTGTCTGTTGTACATGGTGAGCTAGCTACATTTAGCTATCGATAGCAAGCTAAGCTAAAACGTCCTTCCAGTGCTAGTGTGCTATAGAGTTCTCGCGTGACGTCACAAGGGCTTGGAGTTGCGATGCCTCCGCCATATTGGAGAACAAGCAAACGCAGTGTGGTAGTGGCGTGCCCCCGGCACCGCATAAACACGTTCAAACTTTGTGCCGTTTTTGGCTGAAGCAATAGGGGAGAAAGGGACAATAAGTTGTTTTACCGACTGCCAGCTGGCCTTACTTCACATGGCTCCAAAACAGAAGAAATCTCCAAGAAACGCGAGAGAAATGGCAAAAGAACGACTGAGCCGTGCTCGAGGGTGCCCCGTGCTAGTATTTATTAATAAAATATACGGCTCCTCACAATAGACGCAGAAAGCTCCATTGATTTGAATGTAATTTCATTATTTCCACGCTAGTGTAGCCAGACATAGATCCAGAGTGTATCAATAAACACAAATTACAATAAACACATTTAAATGTTAATCGGAGAAGGCATTATACACACATTCTTAGTACACGTGCACAGAGGTTTTCAGAATGATCTGTTAAGGTTTTAATGACAAAAAAACTGTTTTAATGCGACGAAATGCAGCGCGGTAAACCCGGAAGTAACTATCAACATAATAATACACTTTAGGACTCATCTGCAGAGGATCTGATTCATGGATTTAGGTGGAGTATATATTTGGGTCACGAACTGCTGATTTTTAGAATGTTCAGTTTTCATGTAGTTCGAGAGAGTTCTAGTTTTGAACGTCCAGTTATAAGTAGCTGGCATGGCTGTTACTCGCCGGTTGTCCTCCAGTATGGCGGCCGTGGCTACTTGTCACGTGACCGTAGGATCCCTCTATATCTTGCTCTTTCACGTGTTGCCATTCTGTTTTGTGCTTGTACTTAAGTTGTCGTGTGTATATTTATTTGTTTGAGAATCCCTTCCCACAAGTGAGGAGATTACCAACGAGAAATGAGTGACCGGAGTAATTAACTTTCTCCTCATCTGGACCTGGTCTCAAGAGACATACGAACTTTGGATTTTGTATATTGTTGGTTTTGCACTTTACGTTTGTTTTTAATACATTTGTGATTGTATCAAGACTTTGTTTCATTCATTTGTCTGTACACGTGCAGAAAAGGGGTTCAAAAGCAAAAGTTACGATTTCCTAAATGCTTTTACTTCTATTAACATTACATACATTATATTTGTCAGTAAATCAGTATAACCTGGGTCAATATATGAACAAGGGTGGAGACATTTGCTGAATACAAAAAGGTTTTATATTTGGTCAAAAATGAATGTTTAGGCATTTCAATCAATCAATCAACGTTTATTTATAGAGCGCCTTTCCTACACAAGGCAACGCAAAGCGCCTCACAACCCATATAACATCATGCATAAATCATCAAACATTAGAATTTAAGTAAACATAAAAAGACAGATTAAGAGCACAAGATATATAAAATCACACAAGTAGTTAAAAACCGTAAAACATTAAAATCACACAAGGGATTACAATCATAAATAATCATAAATAATCATAGCGCATTAAAAAGATTAAAGATAAAAAACAAATATAAAATCATTCACTTGTATGCACAGCTAAAAAGAACTGTTTTCAGTTCAGTTTTAAAAACTGCTAGAGTAGACGCCTGTCTCACACTCTCGGGAAGACGGTTCCAGACTCTAGCTGCATGAATCTGAAACGCAGCCTCCCCATGTCTAGTTCCGACTCTTGGCACTAACAGAAGTCCAGTCCCTGTGCTCCTCAGAGCCCGAGTTGGTTCATATGGCACCAACATGTCGCGGATGTACCCTGGTGCGAGGCCATGGAGAGACTTGTACACAAGTAAAGCTACTTTAAAATCTATTCTCTGAGCCACAGGAAGCCAGTGCAGAGACCTGAGGACCGGACTAATGTGGTCGTACTTCCTGGTTCTAGTCAGGACTCGAGCTGCAGCATTTTGGATGTACTGCAGCTGTTTTACCGCTTGTTTAGAGAGACCTGTGAACAAGCCATTGCAGTAGTCCAATCGACTGGAGACAAATGCATGGATAAGAATCTCCAAGTCTGCTTTAGACACAATGTTTTTAATTTTAGCAATGTTTCTTAGGTGGAAGTAAGCTGATGATGTCACAGATGATATGTGGCTATTGAAATTTAAGTCTGAGTCCATTATTACTCCTAGATTTCTGACCTGAGTTGAGGGTTTTAGGGAGAGAGACTGGAGGTGGCAGATAACGCTCTCTTTGTTTTTGAGGTCCGAAAACAATAATTTCAGTTTTTTCTGTGTTTAGCTGGAGAAAGTTATTTTGCATCCAATCACTGATTTGTTGGATACAGTGAAGGAGCGAGTCCACTGGTCCATGTTCTCCTGCTGTCAGGGACACATAGACCTGAGTATCGTCAGCATAATTGTGATAGGACACGTTATTACTGTGTATTAACCTACCCAGAGGCAGCATGTAAATATTAAACAGGAGAGGCCCCAGGATTGATCCCTGTGGCACTCCGCAGGTTAGGGCCAGATGGTCTGAGATACAGTTTCCGATCTCCACAAAATACTTTCTGTCCTGTAGGTAGGATATAAACCAGCTTAGGGCTGTTCCAGAAACACCAACCCAGTCCTCAAGTCTCTGAATGAGGATACCATGATCGACAGTGTCGAAAGCAGCACTTAAATCTAACAGGATAAGAACTGAGACTTTTCCTGCGTCAGTGTTAAGTCTGATGTCATTTGTTACCTTCACTAGAGCGGTCTCTGTGCTGTGGTGGGGTCTAAAACCAGACTGGAACATATCAAAAGAGTGATTGATTATTAAAAATTCTGTAAGTTGTTGATAGACAACTTTTTCTAGAATTTTACCCATGAAAGGCAGATTTGAAATGGGCCGATAATTTTTAAGTGCCAAGGCATCCAGACTCCTCTTTTTTAGGAGGGGTCTGATGACTGCCGTTTTCAGGGCCATTGGGAATGTTCCAGATTCAAGAGACATATTTACTATATGCGTGAGTGAAGGTAAAAGACTGCTCAGAACAGATTTAAGAAATCTAGGAGGTAATACATCCAGGCTACATGTAGAAGAACTCAGACTTGTAATTATCATTTGGACAGTTTCATTTTGTACTGGTGTAAAGTGTGTCAGCCCAAAAAGCTTCACTGGCTGTTGGATTGTAATTTCTACTGTGGAGGTGATGGCATTTTTGATGCCTTGGACTTTGTCATTAAAAAACTCTGCAAACTCATTACATTTGGTTTTGGAGGTAAGCTCTGATGGCATCTTAACAGGGGGATTTGTCAATTTATTTACTGTTGAGAACAGAACGCGTAGATTGTTACTGCAACCTTCGATTGTTTCGGAAAAATAAGTTTCCCTCGTTCTACGTAGCACACTGTTGAACTTGCACAATGCATCTTTGAAGATCTCATGGTCAACTTGGAGATTTGACTTTCGCCACTTCCGCTCGGCTCTCCGGCACTCTCTCTTCTGTGCCCTGACAGAGTCCGCTTTTGTCCATGGCGCCTTTTGCTTATTTGTAACAATTTTGACCTTTACAGGAGCAATCGTGTCCAGAACATCCAAAACACTAGAGGTGAGAGTTAAGTAATTCATCCACAGTAGAACACAACGTGTTATCAAAGTTTATCATCCCCATGAAAAGTTCACCTGTATTTTTGTTTATGTGTCTTCTTCTTCTAACAATTGAGGATTCAGCTCGTGCTTTACTATTGAGACACATATCAAAAAATACACAGAAATGATCTGACAGAGCAACATTGGCCACATTTACATTTGAGATATTAACCCCTTTAGTAATTAGCAGATCGAGAGTGTGTCCTCTGCTATGGGTGGGGCCACTCACAT